GTCCTTTAGTGTTTACATTAAAGGCGCCTTAAGGGTCCTTTAGTGTTCACATTAAAGGGGAGGGGAATCCTTTAGCATTCACATTAAAGGCGTCTTAGAGGTCCTTTAGTGTTCACATTAAAGGCGAAGAGTGTTCGGGGATTTTTAATAGTATTTAAATAGAGTATTAAGTTACTCTACGATTACGTCTACTCACTACTGCTTCTAGCACTTGTACACCCATCGTGAACTAAAACGTTCCAACAAGGAAAAATGGCATCATCAGACGTTGCTGTTGGTACCAAGTCCTGTAGTTGGCGCTTGCCGCAGACGAGGAGTCGGGCTTTAGTGTCACTGCCACGAAACCGGTTTTTAACAGCGTCCTATGTGCCTGGCGGTGGGAACCAGATTCATACGCTGTCTTTTCATTAAGGCTTTTGTTGATGTTTTTGGACTTGGACGAGCATTCAATTATGATTATTGTTATTCATTGTTGATGATGTTGTAAAAATTGTATCCATGGCGGTCTCGTCATTGCAATGGCGGTCCTCTAATTCCGAGAGGAGCAAAACGAACTGACTGTTGCTTCTTCTCTTGATTTCGAGCATGGACCCGTGTCTTGTCTCAGCTTCGGCGCGAAATCAAATGCAGCATGTGCCGTGTCACGAGATAGCTTTTTCGTGTGGAAAGTTGAGGAGGGAGAAGCAGGCCAACAAGCTGGTCCAACTAGTGCGACTTTTTTTCAAGGACTACAACAAATAACGACCAGCACCCCTGCTAGTGCCTCTTCTTCTGGTGGTAAAAAGCAAGCTGCAACATCTTCTTGGTACCCGAAAGTGCTGCATCACTGTGAGTGGGACCCTTTCGAAAGCTCAAGAGTAGCGTTAACAGCACGTGACGGTGTCGAAGTGTGGGATGTCGTGAATGAAAAGGAGGTCGTATTTTTGTACGATTTCCCAAGCAGCTCTGGTGGTGGTTCAGGTGCTGACTGTACAGCATCTCCTTCTGTGGTGCACGCAACTGCCTTCGATACTCATCATAGCAGTACGTTGGCGCTAGGAGTGAATGCAGATTTGATGCTGTGGGATTTTCGGGATGTAGGGAAACCGACATCTTCTGCTTCAGGGAGTGGAGGTGTCCAGAAGCCGAAAGCTTCTCTCACCCGAAAAGATGCGCACCTGTTTGGGTTGACAGCTTTGAGTTACAATCCGAATTTACCGGGACAGCTGCTTACAGCGGGCGAAGATGGATGCTGGAAACAATGGGACTTGAGAAAGATGCAGGCTGCTTGTGTAAGGACCTACTAAGACTATCATGTAGTGATGATTACTCGGAATTTGCGAGTGCGTGAACATTTTTAACATGAGTACTCCTACTTGGTATAATCTTTTTCCATTCCGCTATCAGCAGGCGATGAAAATCAATGCGTTTTTCCTTGTGCATCCATGATCTCATCAATCTCTATCATTTTCAGGTGATTCACACGCCCAGCGGGCACAGCCATTGGGTAACCCGAATATCGCATAATTCCTACCACGATCAACTCCTCCTCTCCGCTGGATCGGACTCGCAGTTGCGACTCTGGCGCGTGTCGTCAAAGCCGGCGAATATAGTGAAGACACTGTCCACGTTCACGGCGGAAGATGCGATCTACAGCGCAGCCTGGTCACTGTCAGATCCGTGGACATTCGCTTGTTTGTCCTATGACGGGGAAGTGTCTGTCCACCAGGTGCCGATGGAAGAGAAATATAGGATATTGCTGTGAGTCGTGTGAGGCTGATTTACGGATAAAAGTAATCTGTAAATCCGGAAGTCGATTTCCACTCAGTTTCAGAATACGAAAACGAATTTTGAAAATTTATCTCCTTCCATGGCAACGACATTTGAAGCAGTAGTCACGCATTTACGCATGTTGACCATGAGCGATGCGCGACCAAGGATGCTTGTAAGGTATTGCCACAAGCAAACGCAAGTCCAAGTAGTGTGTGAAATACAAAGAGAGGAAGAAGAGAGCGAGGCATAAAGGGATTCAATTTCCGCGTCAACGTTCAAATCTTTGCTAAAAATATATGCTTGCCGTTCCTGAACACGACATTGAAGAGTTGTATCGTAGTTTAAGACCTGTCTTACTGTTTTTACTTCAAGAAAAAGCATGATGCATTCCGCACGCATCGTTTCCGTCCGTGACGTCACTGCAAAAGTTCGATGGTTGGAGTTGCAGCTACTACCACCATCATCTTGTCATGGAACCCAGCACAAATTGACCTTCCGTCCAGGTCAATGGGCCGACTTCGCTTTGCCGCTTACATCGAATTTTCCTGCAGTTGGTGGCTACTCTTACGTCTCCGCACCCCAGCAGCTAGCAAAGCAGCAAATAGTGGAATTTCTTGTTCAGAAGGAGCAACTCCCAAGGCCTCATACGATGACAAACTGGATTCACAGCACCTCATGTGTGCCTGGTGTAGAGGTCGAATTAAGAACGGGAGGAAACTTTGTTGTTGACGATGGGAGTGGAACCTTCGCGGACGTGGATAATGATCAGACTGAAACAAGGCAAGCGCCTGCTGAAACGCACCTGGTAGCAGCTGGCATCGGGATTACGCCATTTCTCAGCTTTCTACGTGCAGCACAATGGTCTAAGAGGACTCTTGACCACGTTTTCCTAGCTTATGCGGTCCGCCACAAAGAGGATGCGGTGTTTCTTGACAAAATCGAGGAGATGGTAGACCAAAATGGTCTACAATTTAGACTATTGGAAAGTGGAAGGTTAGGGAGAAAATTGGCAGTGGAAGACTTCCTTCTGCATTCGTCACATAGTACCAAAAAGCAACAAGACAAGAACTCATCTACCAAGTATTACCTCTGTGGACCTCCTGAATTCAGCATAAGCATGGAGAAGCAAATGCGTTCTCCGAAGTATGGAATCAAAAACATTTTTTATGAAAACTGGTGGAGTCCTAACCCTCATGGTAGATTGATACAGCCTAAAAGAACCAGGATCCTCGCGCTTCACTGCGTTCCTTCACGGCGTTCCTTAGGTTGAACACGACATGTTCAGGAAAATTGACTGGTAAAAACAACAGAAAAAATGGTGACGATAGACTGAGTGTCAGGTAAAAGCGTTAACATAATGGCACCGCGCTCGCGCCACCCTTCAAAGGGTGGTATGCGCAGAGCGTCGGTGGCCACGACCCAGACCATAACCATGGCGCGGACAAAAATAACTACATGTCGTAGTCTTTATTTCTTGCTTCCGACATGGTGCCTTCTCGATGCAGGAGGTCTTGGCTCTCATGCATTTCGTTTGCGGGTGTCAAGATCAGGGAAGAATCGAGTTCGAGGATCATCTTCAACGCGACGTCAGTATACAGAGAAGAAAGAAGGAACCACCTCATCCCGCGACATCGCCATGAAGATGAACGATGTGACATCAGGACTGACTACGCTGTCGCACGACTTCAACCAACACGTTTTGCATGAGCGTCTACAGGCTTTCGCAGACAACGCCGATGCGACACTGGAAACGCATTTAGCTGATATGAAGCTATTGAGGCAGCAGATGAATGCTAGGAGAAACAACGCAGATATTCTACGAACAACAACCGACAAGCAGATCGAAATTCAAGTGGACGATTTGAATGACGTACTCTTCACTATGATTTACACTGGTAAGTCACCATATATTGTCTCCGATTTTCTTTGAAATCTCATTTGATCTCCATTCCATCTTGACTTTGACATCCGCATATCCCACCACAACATCATGCACAACCAGGCCAAAGACGCCTTCGTCGAGTTTCTGAATGGTGTACAAGCCGGTGCTTTCTCTGGCAACGACGCTAAGGATGCTGCAGAGCAAGAGGCAAATGCCCTTCGGAATGTGCTGAATCTGGTCGCTTCTGAACCCTCTGCCGGCTCCCTTCGTGGCTCCCTAGAGCAAATGATCGCTGATACGGATAATGATGGCGCTCTCGCGGCTGAGAAAACTGCTGAGCTGGCAGCTCTCACTCAAGATGCTGTTTCGAAGATACAGAAGCAGATCGATTTGACGACTGAAGAGTTGGATTTCCTGATGGAAAAGAAGCAGAATGCAACTGGGGAATTTTTTAGATCGAAGTATTATATCAACCTAATTTGCTTAAATGATTTCTTGTTAGGAACAACTTTCCATGCACGACTAGTGCTACAAGAAGAACTGCTCTTATCACCTCATCTGTATTGACTTCCAAAAATAGATACCACTCATCAAGAATCAACCATCCCATGGAAGTAGTTCCCCTCACAATTAGTACGATTCAACAGCAACAACATCACTATGAGGTACGTTTCCTCCTCCCTCGACGATGTGATTACTGCGTCTCGCGAAGAGCTCACCCTGGTCGAGGAATTGGAACAAAAAGTTCGGCCAATGACGCAGCGCAATGTGGAGAGGATACAACGGATTGGTGAGCACGAGATTGCCATGGTCAAACTCAGCCAAGACATTGAGGCCTTTGAAGGCTGCGTAGCGGCCTCTGGAGGTGGAGCAGAGGCAGAAGAAGCTGTGGATGACTGTCTAGGGGAAATCGGTAGAGAGTACACTGCCAGTGGAGAGAACCGAACGGAACTGGCTATGCAGAGTATCCAGTTTATCGGTTGCTACGAAGACAAGGGCGATCGCGCTATGCCGCACATGATTCCCGGAGCCCGCACTGTCTCGCAGTGCTCGCAGGACTGCGCTGATTTTGGGTTTTTCTTATGAGACAACGACAGAATCTAGCTCTAGCTCGTCAAGTTCCAAAATGATTTTTGTATAATTCAACTCGAACAAGAAGGTCAATCATGTATATCTATGGAAATTCACTAGTTGAGTCCAAGTGCCAGACCCAATGTACCTCCTCTTCATGCTCTGCCATCCAATACGGCGCTCAGTGTTTCTGCGGAAACGAAGGAGAGTACGAAAAATACGGTTCTCATCCCGATGCCGAATGCAAAAGTCCTTCCAACTCGCCACCCTGTGTCGACCCTAGTACTGACAGAATGTGCGGTGGCCCATGGCGCAATGCTGTTTTTCGACAACCGAGTGCGTCCAGCTTTTTGTCGGTTTCTATGTCGAAGAAGAGTGCTCCATCAAGAACGAATGCTCCTTCTCCTGCGGTTGTGAACAAAGGGATCCCAACATCGCTAGAGGATCATAGTCTCCTTGCCAAGCTGAACCTTAAAAGCAATCTAGTTGCACCGGATCGTGTCGTGCCTAGTCCGAGCACCTCCACTTCTTCTATTGCGGAAAAGGACAACAGAGTAGCACGCGCAAATCGCAAGAACCTCCTTTCCAGTGCACGCAGCAAGCTGCGTGATGCGATGTCTGAAATGAGTGGGAAGAAAAAACAGGAAACAAGCGATGAAAGCAGTACAAGAGCCACCGCGTTACCAGTACGTCGGCAGCGAGACTCTGAAGTTGTCAGATCCTCTACTTCGACAAGAAGCACTGCGCCAAGCATCTCTTCGTCTTCCACCTCGCGCCTATCTTCATCCACTTCAGCATCCCAGTCACCTCCACGGATAACGACTCTGTCCGACCACAAAAACGACGCTTCTTCCGAGAAGATTCAACTGGCAGCTGATGTGCTGATTCAAGTATCTAGGGCTTTCGGAAATCAATTCCCTGCGCTAGCGGCCTTTGGACAGCGCATGCTGACTCAAGACGCGGAAACTGACGTGAGAGCATTGAATTTGCTTGAAAAACAGCTGCAGACAAGAGAGGGCAGAGCGTCATTGGGGTTTCAACTTATGAAACATTCGCCTATTTACTTTGCTTTTTCCCGTTGTAACTAACGTACAACAACCCTTTGGTTGCTTTTCCTGATTCCTCTTCTTTCCTCTCTCCCCCTCCATTCCTAAAAAGAACAAACACCTCTCCCATCTTCATCCCCCGCACCGCAGCCTCTCGCGGCATGTGCAGTCCGGAGCAGTTGAATAATGCGCGAGAACGCGTCACAGCAGCTCTGGACAAGAAATTGGCAACTGAAAAGGACCTCGTGGAAGCGCAAGGTCGTGCTGCTGTGCTGGAGGCGGTGGCTCACGTTCATAGCCAATCCATTGCCTTGGAACAACAATTGTTGCTTATGATTGAAGTGAGAAGTCATAGTCTATCATTCATCAGAATCAGCTTGATGCTCAAACGTTGAACGTCAAATTCGTTTAATACTAAGTAAAGGTAAAAAAAACACTTCGAAGATTTAGCGCTAGTGTCTACCGAGGACCCATCATGAAAATACTAGATCATACTCTAACTCTCGAATGGGTGATGAGACCTGGACTGCCATAGATGAGGAGTGCCGCAAGGTGATTGCAGACTTGGATGGTGGCGGGCAATCAGACGCCGTAACACAGCTGAAGGGAATGGGAACTACTTTTGTTTATGTCCTCATGGTTTCTCTCCACGCAAGGTTTCTCTCCACTTCCTTCAAATGAATCCATGAATAATGAGTCACTTTTTCTGAAGTTCTCTGTCTTCCTTGTCTGACTAACAACTGTGAATTTGTAGCCCTCCGAAGGCTCACAAGTGAGAAGATATTCTGACTAACAACTGTGGAGATCATGTAGCGGTCCGAACCCTCACAAGTCGTGAGAAGGTATTTTTCCATCACCTTTGCATCCTCCCTTCTTTCATTCCCTCGCGGGCAGCGACCTTCCGAAAGGGCTTCAAGCTGAGGTGACCACAGCTCTGGAAGCATTTGAAGATGAGGTGGGTCAATTCCGCGATGACCTTGAGGAAGAATGTGTCAACCACACAGCGTCTTTTCTAAAAGCGGTCAGGAAGCACATGACTGGACTAGAGAGTGAAGAAGGCGCAGGTGCAGCGGGTGTTGGTTTATGGACCAAGGGCTGCTTTATTTTCATCTGGGTATTATTGAGTAAAGTGGAAGAAATTGTGATTCTTCCACTTTAAGTCTACTTCAAAAATTGAGTTACAACTCTCAATAACCGTGTCTGTAGTAACCATTTCTCTATTCTTCTCCCTAATGGCTAATGATTGAAAGCATGCTGCTCATCTCCACCTGTAGTTTTTTCTAATCGATTCCACCGCGTCCTCCGTCGATGCTGAAGTGATCGCAAAACAGGCTGCATTGGCGACAGCCAAGAGTGAGTTGGACGCGGCACGTGAGGCTTTCGACGACATCGCTGCGACTTGCCCTGGAACACCGTCAGAGGGCGCGCAGGAAGTGAGCCTGAGGGCTGTACAGTTTGCGAAGCAGGTACTGGAGGGGTCTAGAAGGGGAGCAGAGCAGGTGTAGAACAGGAATTGTACTTGTAGCTGCAGTTGCATATGATACAGGGGTGAGTCTAAGTAGACGTGTAGTAGCGTGTTTACTTCTTTTTTCTCTTTGTCTGTTGCCCGCGAAATGCACTCTCTCCGGCGCCCTCCAGACTGTCTGGAGCCATGGCCCCTGAAATCAAGCCAGAAATCTTCTAATTCTATAATTCTAACAGAATGTTGAACTGTGAATGTACAGTCCTTATCTTATGGCACACAGGGGGTTTCGTTGTTCTGATGGCCACGTATTAAAAGGCATTTCAAGAAAGAAACTTAGTGGTCCTTCGTTTGACATTGTTTTTTCCCTATATGCATGTACAACTTCCTTGCACTTCTTGCCCATCTACGCTCTGACGTAACAAGACTGACAGGAGCAGGAAAGATAGTCGCGGCGGGGCGCGTACGAGCCGTCGTCCAAAAACACAAACATGATGTTCCTCTCAACATTGAGACGACCACAAGCGCATGAGATCATACTTGAAGACTTCGCGTGAGAGACGACAAAAGCTTAGAATTTGATGCTTAGAATTGGATTTCTGCAATCATTTCTGGCCACTCACGGCAAAGCAAAGGAATGACGAAACTGTCAAAGTTTTTCGACCAAATGACGAAACTGTCGTTTCTTGGGGTGGCCGCCGTGTGGCTGTCGTGCGCTGTGGTCCCTGTGCTTGGAATTCACGATTGATTTGATTACGGGCGCTCTACTAGCGAACTTGCTGTTCCACTTTCATCGAAGAGGAAGAGTATTCTATCTCGACATCATCCTACATCTCGTAGACGTAGACCCTCCATACTTAAACTTTAATCGAGAAGAAATACAGACCTTTGCCTTGCTGTTTGACTTCGACTTGGAGTTAGAAGATTTTGATGGTAACTATTTCAGATCTCGTCTCTACGGTCATCAGGAAAGTTGGCAACAGGGACATCGGCATGCAATTTCATCAACTTTGCTGCACCCTCTAAGATCATTGTGGCAAGTCTAAAGATAAGCCCAAGACATCAACCATATTTGCGAAACCTTTAGAGACTGCTCGCGAGCCTAAAAAGCCTGCGGAGCCTCCTGAGACAGAACAAGCTGTAGATCTTAGGGGCAGGGGCATCGTGGGTCTGCTGACGATCAAATCGTAAAATACACGAAAGCAAAGCATCCGCTTTATCGGCGAGGACGGAGATGAGAAACATTGAGATGATGACACGACGCATAGAATTTATTATTCTTGTAGCTTTTCTGTTTCTTTTTTTTACCTCGGTCTAGTACTCTCAATACTACTCTTACTAGTACTTCTAATCCTCTTCGCGACAACATCTTATGGCCTCCCTAGGATATCCGTTTGTCTTCTCTGTAGTGGCTAAGCAGAGAACTGGTTCTCTGTGACTCATCTCAAATTGATCAGTTCCTCACTATGACTAACTTTCACTGGCTGCACTTATCTCACGCTTCATCCGTTATTATTCTTGTAGCTTTTGCACTGTTCTTCGTCTTCTAGACTTTATCATGAATTAAGGAATAGGACAGCAGCACTACGCACAATAGATGTACGCACAAAAGAACCACCTTCACCTGCTGCCTCCACCCTTATATTAAATGATATCAAATCTTAGGCAGATTGCACGGTAGATTCACATCATCAGCATGATATCAAATGAAGCACACGCTAACACCTGGGACACCATGACAATTCCCTTCTACAGACAACAACAAAAAATACCGTGCATATTATGAATACCAAATCCAAATGAACCTGAAATTAACGCTGAAGAACTCGAGGAATCTACAATGAACGCGACAAGTGGAAACTCCACGAAACACCAAATTTATCGAGATCGAAATTACTGCATATATAGTTTTCCTAAGGCGGACTGCAGCGTGCACCAGCAGCTACAGATATAGGTCGGCTTTCATCCATTATATTACTTTATAAGGAATTGTGATGCTTCAAATTTTGCTCATACTGTTAAGTCATTATAAGCGATGAACAAAGGTACACCGGCACCGAAGATATCTCACCTGCACAGTGTGAGGTGGAGGCAACGAACTACACTCAACGCGACAAGATTTTTCCGCTTATTTTCATCGTGTTCCTTGCTTCTTCCACTTATGGTGGGTACGCCAGCACCTTTTCAATTTTAGTTGGTGAGGGTAGTTGGTAAGATGTTACTCATGATCATCCCTTCTAATATTATAGTAATTGATTCTATTGAAAATTTTTATTTTCCTAAGCAAAAGTATCGAACAATAGCGAAGACGTGGATTTCACTATACAGGAAGACGTCAGCACCCAACGCACGACACTAATCCACGCAACTGAGAGCGATTCTGGGAGGGATTCTTCTTTCTTCGCCTTTCCCCATGGTAAAGTTCTTGCTAAGACTTGCTTGACTGAATTCGACCACACCCGATTACTATGACAAAAAAAACATCATACCGATACCAACTCTTCAGCAATCTATCCCCAACAAAGTAAGATGGATTCCTCCGCGTCCTATCAGAATCGTGACGCGGATGGGGAAGACGATGACGATCATCGTTCGCCACTGCGCTTCCTGCGCACTCCATTACGGGGGTCAAGCACCTGGTCGGGAGGAATGAGGCGTGCGATGCCACTACCACCAGAGTTCTCTGAGGCGACGTCAGGGCGAGAGCGTTCGACGCCGAGGTCGGGATATGAAGCTCAACAAGGTATTTTTCTTGATTCAAAAAGAAAGTGCTGTCACGGTAATCAAAGTATTCAATTCACGATCGCGTCGTCCTGGTTACAAGTCAACGTGCCTCGCTATGTGCTGCTGCACTGGTAAAAGTGAAATCCGTATGCATAAGTAGATATGACTGACCTTCATATCTCAATGCGATAAAGCAAACAAATCTAAGTATGCAAAGCAAACAAAAGGTCATCTCTCCTTGTCGAAGGATAGTTGGGAGTCGTTGGCGGTGCCACAGTTGGACCATTACCTAGTGCAAACACGCTCTATCAGCGCACAAACGAGTCCGAGTTCATCCCGTGCCCCACTTATATTATCTGGCTCGGATAACGTGTTGCTTTCCGGTGTGGGCGGTCAACATACGGAATCGATGTTAAGACTAAGTAGATGAGTGAGCAAGCAATAGGATATTAACTAGTACAGGAGGTCTTGAGATTTTTATTCACAATATTACTGTCCAAAGAAAGAACACTATGCAGCATAAAATAAATCCTACTAGCTCTAAACAAAGCAGACGCAGCAAACTACAGCAGAGGCCGAAGGATATCCTTCCCGGCGTCAGGGCGTCATTCCTCCACGTCGTCAAAGAGGAGTGGTACGAACCTACGAAGACGCCGGAGACGGGAGCGAGATGGACAAACACTTCTTAAGGCGTTTCAGTAATGGATCATTCTCGGATAGTCACAATCGATTATAAGTATCCGATAGTCACATTCTTCATTGCATAACCTTGTTAAGTCATAGGTATTCGAGAGTCACAATCTTCATTTTTCTTGCTTTTCCTTGTTATAAATAGAGGGAGATCTCTCTCTCTCTCTTTTTCTACTCTCCTAGTCCATGCTAGCTCTTTTCCAAGCCACCTATGCCAACGTCTAAGCAAAGCACCAGCGACCGCACTCGACAGATGAGCGGTTCGTCCTCGCATGCAATGCTACGCAGCGAAACTGAAAGTAGACCTCTTTTGGCCAGTTCAGCCTCAAGCATAGGGATTCCATCATTCGAAACTTCACCCGGTTCATCCAGGCGGATGTCTTCAACTTCATCGGGTTTGCACTTGCTCAATAAAGGAGCTACTTCTAGTGCAGCAGCAGCCTCCTCACGAGGCGAAATCGTCAGCATCATTAACGACCAGCAGGATGGGTCACTGAAAGCTAGGCTCTTTCGAGCTCGGTTGTTGTTGAGGTACCTCGTTCCGACAACGCTGCTCCGGAGAGCGCTGTATGTCCTGACGTTCGGATGGCCCCTCCTTTTGATCATCTTGCATGTCCGCTCAGAAAGAGGCTTAGCGCAGCCTCTTCGCGATTTGTTCGCGATCTTGATGGACGTGTATCATGGCACGGTCTTTTTCAGTAGTCATGCAGAAGTTCTTGCTCGTCGGAGAACACGAAATAGGAACAATAGCTCCTCCATCTACGATGCCGCAAGTAGTACTAGCCGGTGGCCTAGTCTCCTTCTGTGGGTCGAACTCTTGTTTTTCGATGTCCTTTACACGATAGAGCTGACCGCTTTCCTTTTGGGACTCTCCTACATCGTCATTAACTACGTCCGAAACGCTTCTCCGCTGAAAAAAGTAGTGCAGGATCCTAGGAAACAACTATTGGACCGACTCCTCTTTGTCTCGAGAGTTCTGTTGTATTGGATCGAATCCTCAGAAAATTTGGGGAAGCTGTACAACATTTATGGCAACCTACTGTAAAATTGTACTGGTGCTGACGTTGGCACCACTGAAGGAAAAATGGTGTTTGACAGTTAGTACACAAACTCATGTTCACTACCAGAACTTATCTCTACGGGTGCTAGGAACAGAATTATTAGGGATACTCACACACACACTCATGGGGAGGTAGGCAACAGCTACCTACGTAAAGGCCTTGGCCTCCCGTCACGTCCATCTCGTTGCATCGTCCATCTCGTTGCATCACTCTAACCTCCGTCCGTCCCCAAAGTAATCAATCTAGCGGGTTTCAAGATTAGGTGTCCGAAGAGGCCACGGTGGGTAACGCGATTGAGACGTAGAGTTTGCTGGTGTAGCTGCTGTCAGCGGAGAGGCACGGCAGCAGACCCCTATCACATCTCGAAAGCGGAAAATCTGACGATATTGACGGCGCTGCATGACAATTACGGGAGGTTTCATGGTTTTGCGGTTTCCTCTATACTGAAAAGCCTGCATTCTCTTAAAACACCTTCATGTCTTAGCGGTTTCCTATACCCGCAACTGCCCGACACTCCCCCACCTTCTTTCATACAACGCTATTCAAAATCGTAGAGCTCATCTTGCACGATTTGCTTGTCGCTGGGTCTGGCTTTACGAAGAACATGGAGGGCCTGCAGTCCGTCTTTGAAGGCCTCAAAAACACGCTGTACAACTCGAGTTACCAACTAGAGTTGTTGCAAGGACGTCGAACTGGAGGACCCAGGGACGCCTCGGACGAAGGTATTGATGGCAGCAATTACACTCGGGAACCGCCGTCAGTGAAACAGTTCTTGGAAACGGCTTACGCGTTTATCGAAGCGTTGGGTGCGCAAGTAGAGAGCGATGAAGATGACGAAGGAAATGAAACGGATGAGCATTTCTTGGAAAGTGGCTTTGACAACTTAATCCTTGATGTAGTGTCTTCGCAAAACTTTGATGAACAAGACAACGCCTGCAGCCCAATTGTAGATGGTCGTTTGCAGGAACAAAAAGAAGAACATGATGAAGGATTGAGGGAAAGACGCATATCGGCAGGAGCTGAGAAAGAGCCGATCGCGGTAGCAGCAGCAGCAGCAGTCTCGTCTACATCAACCACCTGCTCAGCACCTGCTTCACTGGCAAAAACAAAGTCCCATCAATCCTGCTCAGGAGCTTCATCCACATCACAACATCATGGCAGAATGAATCGCAACCATTTACACCCAGTGCTTTTCATCGGGCCATGTTTAGGCGCCCGAATAGTCAAGGACTCGCGACCTGGCGGTGAGAAGCGTGCTAAGTGCTCTTTTTGGTGGGAGAAGCGACCCACCGTGGACCAGATGAAGCAAGCTCAAGCTCAACGTGCATACAATCTGCACGAAGTGGAAGGAGATGAAGACGTGGGTACCTCTAGTTATGGCAGCCCTAACGCCTTATTTTAGCAACACGACGCTATAGAACTACAGAACTACTTTATAATAGAGCAGTACTAAAATCCAATTCCAACCACCATGCATCTATAGCGCGTTGCTAGAATAACGCGCTAAGCCTGTGGTCATACTGGTGCTGATGCGAGTATTAGCTCTGGAGTGCCGAACAAGCCATCATCTCCTTCAAGCAACACACCTAGGCCTCCAACCACTTCCTCTCCTTCGAGCAGAAAAGTAACTGCCAAAGAGTGGCTTGCTATGTTTCACGGGAACCTAGACAAATGGCTAGAAAGTCTCAAGCCAACGGAGGACGAAGTTGACGCGATTCAGAATGAGGAGCTCTTGTGGAATCGCGGACCAGCCTTTCTAGATCCTCGATCGTACCAGTATATGTTGCATAGTTTAGGCTTTCAGTGGAACGAGGTGTTTGAGGATGATGAAGACGGTGCAATGATAAAGGAAGGGAACTCCATGAACAAAAATCTAGTAGCACGGCCACAGTTGTATCATCAAGAAGACTCTTGGAGCTTTTATAATAGGTCCTATGACTCAGCGGCTAAAGAAAATGATAGAAGACTGAAGATGACAAAAGCTGAGTCTAGGACTCAAAGTAGCGGTGGAGTAGATGGCACAAGTGGAACAACATCCACAAGTCCACCAGATCATGCCATACAGATGCATAGTCGCGATCCATTGCCGTCAGGACGAACGCTCCATGTCCTGCAGCAAACACCCAGCTCTGCAGGAGGATCACTGGTGCCTTCGACAGAAGATCTGCAGAAGACCAGAAGAGATGAGGAAGAACAAGAAGGAACCCATGCAAACGGAGAAGAAGACGACGATTCGAACGTTCCACCGAACTTTCTAGAGCATCAAAGAAAATTCCGCATGGACGATGATTACAACTGTTCAGGATGTTATGGCTACCTACTGTTTATTTTCACCGACAACTTGAAAACACAGGTGGTCAGCCTAGAAGAATTTGAATTACATGTTCTTTCCACCAAAGCAAGAAGAGTTCCCTTTTTATAACGACTTGTAGATCAGGGACTTCGACGGACAACTCGTTTACTTTCATCTCTAACCTCTCTCAGCCCTCCGCAACATTCTACCCTTCTCTCTAACCTCTCTCAGCCCTGCGCAACATCCTACCTTTCCGCGACATCTCGCCTGCTGAAGGCTACGCTGTGCCCTGGACGTTGCTGATGTTCGCCTCGATGATGCGCATAGGCTATTCCAGACGTCGCGTAGGAAATATTTTCTACGACTGGCGAAAGGCTCCGCTTCAGTGGGAAGTGGATGGCACGTTTGAACAAGCACGGTTGATGGTAGAATTGTACCGTGCTCGCTTCGGCAAGCCAGTTGTGCTTCTTTCTTGGAGTCAGGGTGGGCGTTTTGTGCATTCTTTCCTAGACTGGCTTGAGCGAAGTGTCCCAATGGACGAGATGCTGCTCATTTGCGGACAACTTGGTGCTGATGTCAATGGCCTCGAAGACAAGCCAGACAAGCTCCGACAACTGTACAAAGATCTCCACGTGAAACACTGGATAGCGATTGCGACTCCTTTTACCGGAGCTCCGAATGCCTTGCTAGGAGCATTGATGCCGCATAGCGGTGCGAATTACTATCTTGGCCAAGTGATTCCGTGGATACGTGATTTGGATTTGAGGAACATTTATGGAGGAACAAGGCCAACTGATATTTGGGTTTGGCACGACTTGAAGATAAGTGGAAGAACTCTTGATATTTTATAAACAAACTCCTGTATTTGGATTTTACTTGGTTTCTCAATTTGGATTTGGATTTGACGTTGGTAAACAAACTTCAAGCTGACTTGGTTTCAGTCTGAATTTGACGTAGGTAAACAAACTGTATTTGGATTTGACTTGGCTTCATCGATCTCTCTCTAATCCCCGACCTGCTCCTGGCCCGGCGCTGCTTATCTACTGCCCCAGCCAGGCTCTTTGCCGCAGAAAAGCGATGTGGTCATGCGAGACGCGCGTCAACGTGTTCACTGTCGCTTCGAAAGCGTAATCGTCGCTCAGCGTCGAAATCAGCTCGAGAGGAAAGAACAAAGCGATCAGAACCTTGATGATGGGCAACTGTTACGGCCAGTACTGACGTGGGTGTCCTCCTAAGTAAAAATAACCTTATAGTAGTACAACAACTAACACTACACTACTTGTGAACTACTACCATTATAGCATGACCTTGACCTCCTCTAACAAAAGCGCTCACAGACGACAGCACTGCAAGCCCTTCGACGTCGACGTTGCAGTCGTCTTCATCGTCGATTAGCAGACGGGCCCCCGACCAAGACTCGTCTCACTCCATGCCATCACCAGACGAGACGCATGAAGGCGTAGAAATGAGAGAGCTATACGAATGTAACGACCTCCCTGCGATCTTCCTCCAAGCGGCCAACCGATGGCAGTACTTAGCAGAGGCAGCCGAGAGTCGATTCAAATTGCGGATGCGTACCTTGTTGGAAGGTGCTGCGAAAGAGATGAATTTTAGTAGTGTATTAGGAAGCGCTGGCGGTGGTGGAGGTGGTACGGAAGGTCTAGTTCCTCCTGCATCTTCCTCTCTAGAACAGTGGCAAGCGGATATCTCTGAGATGAGCATAGAGGAGATTGCGGACAAGCACTATTCCGTTATGTCTTTCGTGCGAGAAGAAAGTGACGACGAAGAAGAAAACGAAGATGCTCTTGCTCATGATAGTATTGTGTTGCGGGATAGAAATGCTGAAGCTGATGCAAAAAGCAAGACGGCGGACAAGAAAGCGGATAACGATAACAGGACAGAAGCAGTGCCTGTCCTCCTTGGGACGGAGATAGATGAGGAAGATGCTGAGGACACTTCGGCATCGAAGAATGCAAAAGCGGCCACTGCAACAATAGGCAGTTGTACTAAAGGTGGAGTGGAAAGAATTTCTAGTGCTTCATCCATGCGCGATCGCAGCGCGTCACCGAGAAGCGCAAGCGGGTGGAGAGATAATGATGATTATGGCCAGTTGCAGTTGTCGTCCTCTCTACTTGAATACTACTAAATGTATAACTGAGATCATTAGAGAGTGAGCAGAGATGCAAGCCTGATCGACAGATAAAAATGCTGAAGAAGTAAAGAAAAGACCTCTAAGTCCCGCTCCTCCCTCCCCGCCTGGAAATTCTCGATACCGACGCTCGGGACACTGGCCAACATTTCCTAGGTTTCATGGGCTTCGGCAGCACATCTTCATCGAGCAGCAGTACTTCTGGCGACTGCTCTACTAAGAAATATCGGAACTCCTGCAAACAGCGGTCTGAAAAGCTAAGGTCAAAGTTGTCCTGTCCTTGTCGGAACCGTGCCCAACTAGAGGAAGCCCGTTTGCGAGTCCATCAAGCGGCCAACACGCAATATGAGCATGTCCAGACGTTGCGAGACTCGATGCAGGCCACCGTCTTCAACATTGACGGGCTGGCGTTGAAAGATGATCCACAACACGCCGAACGAGAACAAATGCTGCTCCACATCAAGACGCGGATTTTGACAGCCGCGATGCCAGAGGTACAAGAGTGGGCCAAGGCGAACGAGTGCATGAAACTGTCACAAGTTGTAGCATACAACGCGAGAAGGCTGGATGAGACGCATGCTTTTCTTATGGAAGATCTTGATCTTGTAGGTGCTCAGAGAAGATGATCGTGGTCCTCGTGAATTGTATCGTTTAATATGAGCACCTTCCCCACTCAAAGGCAAGAACGCTTCCAAAAGTGCTCATCAGTCGGATGATGTTCCTGTTAGTAGTTCTAATTCTCGAAGACTACGGCCACCTAACGTAAACACTACCGCATTTGTCGGAACCAAGATTCAAACGGGTTACCAATATCGCTACGACGATGGAATCGAAAACTTTCCGACCAAAATTTTCTATACGGATGGGGATGGAACGGTATACGGTTAGTACTTTCATTGCCATGGTTGGCTCATGTGATATCACCAGACGTAAGTACACTGTTGAAAGTATTTTCTTATTTTCGGCACTACGCTTCTACGCGGATGCATCATACAACCACTTCTTTCTCAGGTTCCCACCGAAAGCGCAGCTGCTGCAAAGTATTGGGCTCGAGAAAGTTACACAGAACGCATAGGCTTTTCATACTCCAATCCACAGCCTGCAGCTACATCAACAAGGACAACTACAGGTCGTAGCACAGGAACAGAAGCGCCGGATGCAACTACTTCGACGACAATTTCAACTACAACAACAGGCCCCCGACAAGAGATTAAGAATCACCATCCCAGGACATCTAGAAAGAAGCGTGCTCCCAGTGCTGCAGAGTACAGGAAGATTTTGAATGCGCGCGACAATGCAGAAGCAGCGACTCAGATGGGAAGGTTAAAGATGGATAAGAGTGTAGAGATGGTAATTTTTGAGGGGATGGGGCATTTGGATACCCTCTATTCGAAAATGACCGCAGATTGTATCACAGATATCCTGGACACCATCAATGGGACAAAGGTAGCTTAGATCAAGAGCAGGCGAATAAGGTTTTGTGAGGTTCATGTGATTAGAATCTTCTTCGTGCAGCTCTCAAGAATATGCTGCCAACATGCCTCATCTTCATTGCGCACCCGCACCGGTTTCGAAGAAAGCCCGACTATACCTAGAGACGCATAGACTAGAACTTCTAGAAGTATACGTAGGAGATGAGTCTTCCGTTTTTTCTTTTCCATATCAACTTGAAATTTTAATTTAGCACATGGATTTGTTGATATAATTGATTCATGCATACGTTTCCTTTCTTTTCAATTTCCGCTACTATTCAACACGCTGCTCACAGGCTTCCACGCATAATTGATGGCACATTTGCCCCTGCGATGATGAGACCTGTCATAAACATGAAACGCACGTAAATCGTTGCCGCACACAACCACAACATGTCGCCGTATTACTTTTTTGCTTTTTTTTTGCTTGTCCATAACGACATAAAGCACTACCTACGAGCCAAAATGTACGTCGTTGTTGGAAGAATAAACAAAGAGCTCGTAGTCATAGTACAAACAATCCTTGGCGTCACGCTCACGCAGAAGGCAGGCGCACGTCGCCTGTTGCATCAAGAAACAGATTGCATCAAGAAACGACATAGGTATATCCCTTCTATTGACGAAGAGATCTGAACTAACGGTGGCCTAATGCCATGCCAAAGATCAACATTGAAAAAAACGATCCGGACGGCCTCCTACTCGTTCTGCTAAACCCAAACTAAACTCTTGATATCATGAGAGAGACAGCAAGAGAGAGAGAGACGCCTATGTCAACGCTACGTGCGCAACTATTGAATGATTAACTGAAGGCTCCACGACACAGGAGCGAACCTTTGCAAGATGTAAAAAGGATTATGTGAAGGCTCCACGACAGCACAACAACAGGAGCGAACCTTTGCAAGATGTAAAAACGATTTCAACATAATATCACCAAGATGAAGACCTTGCGCTTTGCACAGCCGAAATCGATCCCTCGTGCGAATGAGGCGTCCGTAGATGCTTTGACAAGGTCGCTTCTCGGGGAAACGACTAGCAGCTCTTGCACGTTGATTGGGATAACGAAGAAGCAGGAAGCTATCAAGCCCGAACATGGAGAAAAACAGGAGCACGAACTACCTGGCACTCGAGCATCTTCTTCAGTCAGGCCTTCTGGTCGAGTTTTGTCGTATCTCAGAGGCCTGGCTACAGTTGAGTATACGGGTCCAGTGCGAATCGGAGAACGAGTCTGGTTCACTTCGGACTTAGAAGCAGGTCAGAGCAACGTCAACGTGCTGTCACATTTGGATGCCCCCTTGCGGCGTGCTACATCTTTAGGATTAGGTGTAGTCACTGGGTTTTCGTCGAAAAATGCCGTGTCAGTTTCAGTGGTTACTACGATGGGCATGGGAGGACAGATAGGAACTCCGTCTGTTGCATACTTCTCTGGAGAACCGTTGCAACTGCCTCACGCGTTTGAGACAGCATGGGCGGCGCGAAGTTCGATCACTGCTGGAGTCAATCTCGCCATGGCCTTGGACAAGAATGCAGTAGAGGACAGGTCTCAGTCCTCTTCCTCGCGGTGTATTTTCGGTAGCACATCGGCAGCGTCTACCTCTGCTAGTGGTCTCCCGATCTCCTCTACTAGTACAAGCATTTACTCCGTGCCACGGCTTTTTTGCGAAGCTGATAGGGATCGACATAGGCCTAGCGGAAAATTGGTCGAGGAGCAGGCGACTGAAATTGACTCTTTGCTGCAACTTAGCCCAGCGACCGCTTCCGTGGCGTCAAAGTACTTGATAGTACGAACGATTAAATGTGGAGATGATTGAAAGAATATTCAGCTAGCACGGCTGGTTCTTACCTTCTTTGGTCACTAATGTCTTGAAGAATCTCTAACATTTCACACTGTAAGATCATAGATAGTGCTCAAGTGTTTTTGCTTTCTACAAGATGCAGCATCATTGACAGCTTCGTCACGTTTCTCTCCGCTTCAAAGCTCATTCGGATCTTTTGTCCCACTCATTCCAATCGGCCGCCCTTCGCTTTCACCAGGACACGCGCTACTGTCTTGCATTCAAAACCGAGAGGGCCCCGGACATCGCCGATTATCAGTGGAAACTATCTCGTCGACCTGTGCGAAGCATTACGGCATGGCCAGCGAATCACTCTCCGCGGCCCCACTGGAGGTGGCAAAACTCATTTTCTTTCGTCCTTTGTCCGCAATTACACTCGAGGCCAGAGCGTCGTCATTTGCAGTACGCAGAGTTATGAGATGAATGATTGAACTGCTTCGAAAAAGTAAGTAAGTATATGTTCTTGACGTGAACTACTTCGGTCGCGGAGGTAAGTATGTTCTTGACGTCGACCAGCCTCGTATATTTATAAATAGTAATAGTTATGATGATTATAACTTGATGATAGTTACCCTTTTCTCTTTTCTATCTTCCTCTGGTCTTTCTTTTTTCTAGTTAGGTCGGCTCCACCACAATGTCAGTGTTACTGTCCTCCAGCTGCATAAATGAGCAGCTACAGTCGTGCCAGTCTCGTCCATCTTGCTCTTCTAAGAACACGCAAGAAAGTATGCCGCAAACAGTGTTGTGTTTGCCCAGGATTTTTCGGATCCAGCTGCAGGAGAACATGCGTGGCTCACAATGCTTTTGGGAATCCAGTACGCGAAAAGACTTCAGTTAAGGGTTGCCAAAGAATTAGAATTACCTCCCTCACTACCACTTCTACTAATATCCTACTAGTAATATCCTTTTTTTTGAATTTGTTATCCAGTAGAAACGTAGTCACGGACGTTCTGACAAGGAACGTGACGCTGTAAAAGCCTCTAACTCAAGGCAGTGATCAGCAGCCGCTTCTCATCATCGATGACATGCTACAGTTTCAAGACGTGAGCAACCCTAAAGCCTTCCTTCCGATCACGCAACTGCTCAGAGAGGCTTTTAACATTACGGATTCTCTCTTTGTCATCTTCATCCTCATCCACTTTTAACTGGCTTCACGACTATCATGATTTTCGTGCTTTGAGTAGTAAAGAATGGCACGTCGAAGGGGGACGCTAATAGAAGATCCTCGATAAACTTCAACGATCCTTTTGTAGCTAGACCTAGACGAGGTCTGTTGATTCATCAACAGCATCGTGAAAAGGAAATAGAAATTGACAAATACCTGTACTTCTAGCTCTAGGGAAGTCATTTTGTGAGTATTGTCTAACAGCAGCTTCGACGTACCCTCAGCCTCAGGTGGTAGCACACATCACCAATCAACACTGACGGTTTTCACAGCAGTTGATGCCTGGACCCATTCGCTGGCTGAAGATGGCGCAGACGTCGTGCTCACTTTTGAGCACCACAAACCCAATTTTGAGGACCTGAGGAGATATAGTCGCTTCACTACAGGAGCATTTTCCACAACATGTGCATCTAGTAGCCACCATGACGTACACGTTGGAGGAGGAGGAGGTCTCACGGACAGGGATGTCATGCAAACACTGGAGGATGCTGAGTTTGCGGCTATGAAAGCAAGTGCCCGTCAAGGATCATCATCGTCATCTTCTTCCACTCCGAGAACAAGATTTGTCGAAAGGTGTCTCCTAGAGGATCAAGCCGACAGTGGAAATCCGCATGACATCACTAGTTGCAAACCGTCCCCTTGTAGAAGTGGTCCTCCAACTTCGACTTTGCTCGACAACATAGTCCAGAATCTACTCCATCGAACTACGCAAGGAATGCGGATGCAGGACAGGCTGGATGTCAATCGGGATTTAAGTATTCACGTAGACACATGGGACAAGGAAGAAGCAAATGCGATGGCAGCACCGGAGATGATCCTTAACAGTTTCAACACCAAAGCAGATGCTAGGTGGCGTGGAAGTGGTAGTGCTGGTGTACAGAGGACGAGACTTCTCACTTCTAGTTCATCGTCCGATGCTGAGTCATCTTCTGAACAGCGTACAGCTTCACTTCAAGAACAGGACACGGAAAGAACTTCGCCTGTATCTGCCCTAGAGAAGTACAAAACTAAGTTAGTCGGCAAGTGTGCTGGCATAGCAAGTATTTTGGGTCGACGGGCGACGAAAAAATCTACACCTTGGGTCTCAAAACATTTGAACTTTGAGAATAATACCGGCGTATCTTCCCCATCTTCGGAGGACTTCTTCAACCCCAGCACGACTAATGGAGAGGGATCGCAAGCAAATGGTGATTCTCTACAACAATCCACCACGCATCAAGACCTCGCACCCCCCGTATCAAGGGAAGAATTAGCCGTGTTAGCACGTGCGTGCACGATCTATCATTTCGCGCATAAGCCAAGTGTTGTAGAGGCAGCCACTTTTAGAAAAACCTTCTGGCACAGGTTTAAAAGCACCTTTCCGCAATTCCTAGAGGCAGGGATGTTTGAACAAACAGATCCTAGGAAAAGCAGTGAAATATTGAATCTCCTGGATAAAGCATTGTTAGAAATTCGGTATGATTTTGAACTGGTAAGGCCGACATTCTAAGAGTTTTCGATTTTTGATTCATTCTTGCGCTCGCTCGTTCTTTACCTCTGCTCGTCTTCATCTTCAGACAATGAACTACATTTCAACTCCTTGTGGTTTCGCGAACACTTGTCACACTCGCCGTCTGAGCAGGTGTTCGACCAGTGCATTGACCTCGTTAGAACGAAATTTCTCTCCACCGTAGAGGCGTTGATATCTGTGGCGCTACAACGAACTGTGATGATGTAGTCCTAGTGAGTCGTCTTGGTCTTACATATTTTTTTTCTGTATGTGAGAGAGTGGAAAAAAGCACTTTACTACGAAGAGCTTCTGTCTTGTGTATCTGTTTTCCCATGCGAATCTGTCGTGGACTACGAGTAAGAGAAGAAACTCTGTTTTTCAACTCAAACGTCCACGTCTGTCATCAGTCTGTGAAGAGTTGCTCCGAGATGAGTCCGAAATGAATATGTGTAAGTGAGAGGAATTATTTATCATGCTTTCTATTTTCCGCCCTACACATACACGCGAATGCGAAGCTTCATTTTTTCCTTTGCGCCTTGCTGCGAAACAACGCGCACATGGATGGTAGAGCATTCTGGCTTCTTTCAGCATGTAAAGCACATAAGAACCTTAGTGTTAGTTCCCTCAGCATGGAAAGCACATAAGAATCAACCACAGCAACTTCGACGTCCATGTGGACGAGAAAATGAGGCCGAATAAAGCAGGGGGCGCTGGTATATCTTTCTTTCAGTTTCGAATACAATCGATAAATCAAATTTGATTGACTCGCATAGACTTTATCAAATTGCCATGTATGAAGATTCCTCAGCACAACGACCACTGTTGTAGTATGACAACAACGACGAACTCTTTGACTTTAACAACACAAAATTTTCAGGCACCCGCGGCGCAAAAAATGCCGCCTCCAATAACATAGTTTTAGACCTTCCTGGAGACGACCTAACTATCAATCTAGGAGATGGAGACGGAGCTGTTCCTTTAGCCGTCGAATTAAGGCTCAAAACAATTCACTTTCTTCACGGGTCATTTTCTTTGGCTTCCCCCCTACCTAGGATTCCGAAGAAATGGAGAGAGGAAATGAATTGTTTTGGGAAATTCCAATCAAAAGTGAACGTGAGTACATTTGGGGCATTCCAAACGTCACTCGCTTCCGTGACGCACCGATTGATCTCGAAACCGTGTGGCAAAGGAAGAATGCATTGGAGACCAGTTGTGGGAAAATTTTGTTGAGAGGAATCACTCAAGAAGATGAGCACGGAAGCACTCAGAGTGGAACAGCTACAGCTACAGGAACAGCTACAGGCTCATCTACTTCTGAAGTTGGATCTCCGACATCTCCTTTCTCCCCAACAGCAGCCTCTTTCGGAGGACCTTTCGGTTCTGGAGGAACATCCTCTACTCCAGGAAGCCCACTAACCGGCACGAGTCCTGGCGGAGGCGGGCGGTGGAACAGACGTTTCAGTGCGTTGAAAGAGGCAACAAACCGACTAAGGGAGTTGGAAGTGCAGGAGAAGGAATTTGGAAAGGCGTTGGAAGAGTAGTTGCATTTTTTTTTGATGACCTTGTGGCCTTTTTCCTCTACAAGAACCAGAACAGTATAAGGAAGATCATGATTGAGAAGTTCTTCCCAAGTCCAATAATTTGCTTTGATGATTGGAATAATACAAAGCCAAAAGTCAGAACCACCTGCAAGAACCTAAAATATTTTCAGAGAATGCGCCACCGCCTCCCGCAGTGAAGAGCTCGAAGAAGCAGAGAAGGCCCCGCAGATAAGCGGCAACCCAATAGATGAGCCTGTCCGACGCCCTCAAAGGGAGGCTTTCTGGACAGCCTTCAGGCCTACGGTTGCTCATGCCGATATCCACTTGCTTGGTCATGCTAAGACTGTCGCTGCAAGTGGGTCGTCGGGATCCGGGCATTCTGGCGCAGCTGGCTTGTCAAATAAAGCTGGGAGTTCTTGGGTCAGCAGCGGTACTTCTTATCCGGCTACAACTACAACTTCAACAGCATCTTACAATTCATCTTCTGGAGCAACAATCTCCCCTTCGAAAAAGCAAACCAAAGCCATCTTAGCTTCCACTCCTCACCAACACCGACTAAAATTAGGATTGATCTTAGATGTGTCGCAAGGAGACGAGAAATATTTATCTCATCCAAACCTGCGCAAGTCTAGAAGCGTATGGCGAGAAGAAACGGGGGATGATGAGCGCAGAACGGAAAGAATTCGAACATTGCAAGAAGCATCTTCATCTATTTTTAAGGCTCAACTTTCATTGCCCATTGGGGTCGGTTGGTCACTGAGATCGAAGAAGCGACCCATTCTTGAGAGAACAGGGGAATACGAAGGGAAAAGGGGAGAGCTTTGAAGGTGGTCGCTTCCGTTCAGCATCAGTGGCCACTGACTGCTGACCTTTAAATCTAGTACTACATCTTCGTCGAATGCTAGAGGTGAAGGTGAAGATGGAGGAAGGAAGAGTCGTCGCGCGACGGTTCGCGAAGATGTAATGCGCCGCGCTGCAGGTGGGACTGAGCAGGCTGAGAAAGACAATAACCGACTAGCCGCAACGAACACCTCAAATAAAAACAGTGCAACCGTAGTTCTAGTCGGGGGCAGCAGCAAAGCAACATCTAGCAGCTCAGCATCTCCATCCTCAAGACAGAGAGCAGAAGAAGCTTTGGAGCAGCAAAGGGCAGAGGAAGCAGAACGAGAACGGTCGAAACGATTAGAACCGGTGCGGTTACTTGTTGAGGACTACTTGCAAACCGGGAAGTACTCGACGAACTTGCACGGGCAGCAATGCTTAGATGGTGAGGCAAAGGCAGTAGATCGTGACGATGAAATCGAAGTGTTTAGAACGAAAAACAGAACTACTAGAAGAAATGGCGCCGGTGATGGAGAAGGAGCCGGAGCTGCTAAGGCTCAGGGTGGAGACAAAGACGCGAGTAGTCCTGTCAAAGCTGGTAGCAGCAATACAGCGTCTTCTACTTCAGGTCAAAACAAGAGTGAGCGATGGAACGTACCACGATCTCACTCAGCACAGCAACGTGCGCGCAAGAAGTGGTTAGACAGCCAGTCTCTAGCTGCAGGTTCTGCCGCCCGTGAAGGAGCATTATTACATCGCATTGACGCTGAGATTCACGCAGAGACGTTGGTCAGGGAAGCAAAGTTGAAAGCAGAACAAGAAGCATTGGAAATCACAGATGACGATCGTGAACAGGATGACGAGGCAGATCAAGCAGGGGATTCTAAAGCTCAATCGGCAGATGATGCCACGAGGACTGCACCAGCCCCTACGTCAGCAGCATCACCTTCTAGTGGAAACAAGAGTGTTCGATTTACAGGAGCTTCGGGTGCTCCTGCAAGTAATCGGAATAGTCACATCAAAGATTTCTCCGCACTACGAACAGCAGCTAGTACCGATTCCCTTCAAATGCTCCACCTACTAGATGAAGCAGCCTGCGCTTTCCTAGATGATCCGGAACAGATCGTCCCTAGTGTAGTGAACCGCGTTTTTGAGGTTTATCCGGCTGCATCGCAAACTAGTAGAGCAGTTGCAGATTTGTTACAGCCAGATAGTCGAGATCATACATTTGGCCAATTGAAAAAACCCGGAAGCTCCTCACGAGAAACACGAAAAACGCCGTTTTTGCCTCCTTTTGACGCGTCAGAATTGGTGCAAAATCTTCACTCAGCGGCGAAACTTGGTTATGAAACTACCTTAGTAGGATCATGATAGGCAGTACTAAATTTAGCAAGCATGAATTGATGCTTCTCATTCATAAGTTGTACCGTAAGAGGAAAAGGATCCTGTTCACAGGAAGAGAGGCTGCTTTGCGGGATGCAGGTCATTTTTTGTGTATTTCCTAAATGGTTTGTTTGTGAATTGAACGTAGTAAGTAAATGCTTTGAAGCTGCACCTCTAACCGTACTACCCTCGTCCCTCGTCATCAAGCAGCACAGCCGCGCCGACTAGTCCCGGCGGTAGCTCTTCAGCGGCTGCGCCGAGTACAGCAAGGAATGCGGATGGCAGTTCGACACCAGGCGTGATGACACCCACGCCATCCAGGAAACTGTCTTCGGGTGGAAGGAGTAGGAAAAGGTCAAAGAGAACGTCGTCGAACACCTCTACAACCACCTCCAAAGTAGATAAAAATAAACCTATAGGTATAGCACACGGCGCTTACCCTGTGTCTTCAACTAGCTCGACCTCATCAAGTTTCTTCCCCCACTACGCTGCCATGCGCAAGCAAGCCGCTGTGCGCAGTCTTGTGCGGCAAAGAGAAGCTGCAGCCAAGAAATTCGGCAGCGAAACCTGCACTTCCTGGGTCCTCTCCTCTGGCACTACAAGACTATTGCCTGGTCGCGAAACCGCTCAGGCCGCAGACATAGTGGCGAGCAAGATGCGAGCAAAACGATCGAAGACACGTCTACAGAAACAAGAACGAGATGAATTTTTGACGAAATCAGTTTCGGAAACGTATCAAGATGAGGGGCTGGACTATGCGCGATTGCAGCACATTGTGGGCGACCCTGAGCAGGATCGATTGGCGGCTGAAGATTAAGGCTTCTCTAAATGTTAATGTGGTTTCTCTTAGGTAGCATCTTGGGCTTGGCGGGCACGCTTTCGACGGGAAAAAAGGTAAAAAAATTCGCTTCAGGATGCATTTGATGGTAAGTACAGTGAATCGTCTAAGAAACGAAACAACGACTACGCGCCGAAGCGGAAGCGGAAGATGCTAAGAGGAAAAGAGCGCAACGAAAGCGCAAGAACACAATCGGACTTGGTGCCGTTGTAGATGCAGGTGGGGGCAAAGTTGTAGCTGAAGTACTCGGAGCTGCAAAAATCAATGCTAGTACCACATCAGGAGCCCCATCAACATCATCCTCACCAGGCCATTCTCATGGACCATCGTTCCCAGGCAAGTTTTTGAACTCAAAAAAGACTACAAGCAGTTCTAGATTAGGGACCGATCATGTCACATTGGATCAAGCAAAAGAAGCATTGCTACCGACGGGGGGAAGAGACCCAGAGTCTAGTAAGCCTGTGAGAGGCTCGCCTGGTGCTCATCAGGGAAAGAAGAAAAAAGCTAGGATAGGAACGGAATTAAGGATAGGAATAGAACAAGAAGGTCCTTTCAGTGAGGGTGGTCAAGGAGCTGGAGGAGGTGACAAGAAAGAGGATGCAGAACATCAAGACAAACAAGCAGAGGGCCAAGAAAATATTGGGGAAGGCGATGAAGATGGAGCCGATGCGACACAGGTGGAAGGCGAAAATGCTAATGCAGATGAAAACTCACCAAAAGCAAAAGCGAGGAGATCAAGGTCACCAGGCAAACAAGACGAAAGCTCATCTGAAGAAGAGACGATGTCGATTTTTCCTAAGCCATTGCGAAAAAGATTGCTGCGTGCTGAGAGCAGCCTTACGATGGAGAAATAGTCTTTTCTTCGAATCATGTTCTTCAAACGATAATCTTACTTGGATATAATTTTCATGAAGATGTTGATCCACCTATACCTATGTATTAATTTGTGTCGCTCGTCGTCTAGAAGACCTACCTTTCTTCTTCTTGTCAACCACTGGTGCTCCTCTAACAACTCTCTTCTCGATCCTTCTTCCCCTCCACGTTCCGGTGCCTCCCCAAAGCCCAAGTCTCCTAAGAGTGGCCAATTCAACCGCTCAATGGGCAAGAACAATGTGCGTGGCGCTTTGCAGAAGGAGATAGTAATGAATCAAATGAGGGAAGCCAAAGCACAAGAGAAAATTGACCAGGCAGGCCAGATTTTCCGCAAAAAACTAGTAGAGGTGTCAGAAAACATGGTCAGGCGGGAGCAGCAGCAGATGGTGGCGGCACAGATGAAGAAAAATCAGGGGAGGAGTATTATGGCAGGATTCTGTTCGTGATGGTCATGGTTCTCGAAGTCGCTTGAGGATCATGAGGAAATCTTCACTCAAGTATAAGGTGATCATACAAGAATCTCTCCATCTCTCACTGGATAGATCCTAATGATGTATAGATGATTGCAGTCAGCAAACACTTCATCTAATCCACACAGACACCACTTCCTTAGCCAGAGCAGCAACAGTCTTCAGCAACAGTATGTGCGAGACCATAGCACCCTAGTAGATGAAGGCAGTAGTTGGTCCCCCGTCCAACGGGATCTCATGTTGCGCATGGTCAGTGAATCCGGCAAAACAGAGGACGAAAAGGAACAGATACAGCGAGAGGCCGAGAAACGACGATACGAGTCTTTACCCACAAGTTTGAAGATCTATGAGCAACAGACAGCGGGCAAGGATCTGAAGAAGACGGAGGCGAGGTGCCATGCACATTCAGAAACGCTTTTAGAGGCAGTGGCGCGAGATACGCCAATGGCGAGGCATACGGACAACCGCGGAACAAGCTTTGGCGGAGGGGTGAACAAGTATGAGGGAGTCACTGTTTCTTCTAGTGGTAGTGTGCCTTTTGACATTTCTTTATCTTTTACTAGTTCTACGAGTAGGAATGGATTTTAGTTCATCGCAAGAGGAGCTGTGTTGAGTCTGAATTTCGAGGGGAATGAATAAGTACTAGGACTCTCTCTCTAACACTAGCTACACCCGCCTTCCGAACTCGATACCACCGCCATAGCCTCCGACGGAACCGGAGATGGAGGCTTCTCTCTGGCCAACCTACATCATCCCATCAGTCCGACGTCTAGAAAAACCGCTATTTCGCTTGCAGGAGCCGCATTACAAAGATCAATGGCACAGGAAGAGACTGTACTTCGAAGTCGACAAGATGCTATTTCTGGAGGCGCTGCGATAGATGGATCCACATCGCATCATCTTCAGGGTGACCTCCACGGAAGTACTACAACTACAACCACTTCATCAGGGGACCCTTTTCAACACCTGCAGCAAGAGCAGCATTCTCTTCAACGTCAAGACCAACATCATCGAGGTCCTCAAGGATACAAGAACGGAGACCACGAGGAATCCTATACATTGTACGATGAAGAGCAGCGTCTTTTAGCATTGAAGAACCATCCAAGGAACAAATTGCCGCCGGATCCCTGGGCAGGATATGACTTGTTAGTTAAGGCGCCATTCAAAAAATATTCAATACCTCTTCATCAAGATGTGGCTTAGAAGCAGAAGCATTTCTCCTTCCGAGGTCTCCTGGTCTCCTGCTGTCCTCTTCTACTCATAGATTCTAACCCCAACAACAAGTGTCCCGCAGAGGACGCGCATCGAGTTCCGAACTTCTTCCGGCAAATGCCAGGCGATCCCAGAGCTAAAACGATGCCAAATTTCAAGAAGAAAATTCGACCTTTATCGCTTGCTGGTGTAGAGGACCTCCTAGATTCACAGGATTACGTGGCAGCTCGCGACCCTGGTGCTAAATTTATGGTTTCCCCTAATCCATCTTCAGAAGCATCCCCAAGAGGCTGCTCAAGGGGAAAAGGGGCCTCGACGGATGCATTCGAGATGGATTAGGGTGAGCGCTAATCATTACCGAAAAAAACGCGGTTGTGTCAAAGACACAGCAGCAATACTTGGAACTTTCATGGGTGCGATGTCTGGAGGAAGTGGTCCGTCTCCGAAAATGATGAATTATGCTGGCCAGGAGTGTTGTACTAGTCTAACCGTAGCTTAATAGCGTGCTGCTGACCCATCCGCCTCCCCACTAGGAACACCAACACTTGTTCACTTCCTTCTCACGAACAACTTGAGTTCTTGGTGACATTGTTCACGTAGTATCATGCGAAGTCTAGGAGTCATCGCAACAAAGCCTCAACATACTCGTCTAATCCTCAAACAGAAGAGGTTCCAGTTCTCTCGCCGAAGCCGCTGCCCGCTCACGTGGCGGAAGCGCTGAAGCTGCCTTTTTCTCGGAGACGCAGATGTCCGTTCTCGAAAAAACATTACACGATAGCGTCGAATACGCGAGGACTGTCAAAATCGCCGGCATATCCAAGTACCACATCGACGCCCAAGCCAGGATGAAGGCCTATTTATCCCCGGCAAAAACCACGACCCTGGAAAGGCACGGCAGTCTACAGGTAGGCGAGGGACCATTTCGAGGACCTCCGGAAGGATTTTTCGGAAAGCAAGGTTCTGCTCTGGGTAGTGGAACAAGTGCCAGTAGTTAAGGCTTCCCGAATTGCATTCCTCACTACCCATCCTGACTCTTTTCCTAGTGTAGTAGTAGCAAAGAAAAGAAGCCCGGGATGCTCTGTGTAATTCCGTAACCTCTAAAGTAGTCGCACCATAGGCCAGTATTCCCAGGAGACTGGAAGTAGTACGATGCCAAGACCGCTTGCTTGGGTGCCGCAGTTTGCAACGCCAGATATGGCGAGGACTTCTTCGCTTGGAAGTGGGACTAATAATGTCGTTGCGAACCCAGCAATCGCAGGGAATCGATACGCGAGTAAGAAACAACAGAATTATGAATGAAGGCAGGCTCTGACTTTACCTGAAGATGGAGTATTCTTCTTGCTTGATGAGATGAAAGAAAAATGCTACTTGATATGCTGGCTCAGACGAGTGAACAAAAGCATGAAGATAATGATCAGCCCGGATCCGGAAAAATTTACTTACTATATCGTACTACACTTTTGTTTCCTAGATAGACTTAGACGTGCTCCACCACCGGTATATCGTACTACAGCACTTCATGATTGTTCATTAGATCTTCTGCTTCTGCTCTCCATCTCGCCCTAACCTGCAGCCCTCCGTTTCAAGTGGCATGGGGACAATTTTCGGAAGTTCGACGCCAACGAGCACGACCCTCGGGAATTGTTGGCCGCACTTCATCCAGCGGAAAAAACTCTGTTTCAAATGTCTTTGCCTGAAGCCCGGTCTCACAATGTCCATCTAGATAAAGTCTTGGCGAATGTGCGTCAATCTACTCCTAGTGGAGTAGGTGGGAGAAACAATCATAGTACACGACCTAGTAATGGCACAGCTGCTGATAAGCGCAGTACTACAAGTAGAACTACAGTCACTTCGGCTATGGTGGCTAGTGCTACTTCTGTTTCACCTACCAAAAAACTAACGACACTCGGAGGAGCCAGTACGAGTGCAACAGCTGTAACTGATGATCTGATGAATCTCGGCCCTGCTTCCGAAACCGCAGCTTCTTCGCATCTAGACAACGAAATTTTTCTCCATGGTGCCAAAGCTTACGCTGAGCTCTGTTTTGCCGGTGGGCTGATTCCGCAAACGAAGCACGTGATTGTTAAGGCTAGTACAAGAAATCCATTTCACAACAGGCATCCACCTGTGACCGTTTTCAAGGCGAAAAAGGTTTTAGCATGCATGGACTTCAAGATGTTGGATTTTCCTTCAGCTTTCTAATATTGGCGCCGACATAACCCGTTTCGTCGCTCACGCCGATGACTTACAAGACCAGGAACTGTTGGCCTTGACCGTCTTGTTGCAAAAACGGCCCCTACGAGAGCTTGATTTGAGCGATAATTGCGGCATCACAGACGCCAGTTTCGTCACTTTGTTGCGCACAATTTCCGACCCAGCAGGCAGCAAAATGATGCGCACTTTGCGAAGTCTGAATCTATCCAACTTTAAGGGTTTCCAGTTCCACATTATAGCATGATCCCGCGTAGCGGCTACCATTTTTCACTTGTAGTTTCCCACCAATTACAGGAAAGACGTCAAGGATACCTGTTGAAGAACGCAATAGCGCAACCACTAACAACTGCTTCGGTCTGGGCAATCAATCTACGGATTTGTTGGCTGAAAAGTTGCCCAGATTTCGAGGGTTGCAGCATGTGAGTTTTTCAGGATTGAAGTCTCTAGCTCCACCAGCTTTGGCACAAATTTCAGCGACCTTAGGTGTCACGATCCCGGTTTCGCACGTCAGCATGTCGAATGTGCGGATCCCAGCTGATTTAGCCCCTTCTGTCGTTCACAACTTACTCGAAAACATTCGCTTACGAAGTTTGGATCTCTCGTGGAACAATTTTGACGCCGCGACGTATGCAGTCCTCAAAGACAGGCTAAAAGCACACGATCAACTCCAGATGTTGAACTTGAGTAACACCACAACGATCAAAGAAGCAGAACAACAACGAATTGGGGGTGGTCAAAGTGCCGGATTGATAGCAACTACTTCTGCAGCAGGCACGACTACGACTAATCCCGAGACAGGAGGAAATCCTTTACACATTTTTCTAGAGGGATTGCGAGATTACGAGCCATTGGAAGTGCTAGACATCTCGTGGAACCGTTTAACGGCAAAATCTTGCTGTATCCTAGAAGCAGCGTTGTTTTACATTATGTTGAAAAGATGAAAGCCTCCTCCATGACGAGGGCCTCCTCCTCTTTTTTTTTGCTCGCAGTTCGTTGTCGTGTGGTGATAATATTGTGAGAATCCGAAAATTAGCCCTTCCTTCCACGCAGTGTCGTTGCTATCGTAAATGAAAAAATTCTTCATCATCTTCTTCACCTTTTATTACTAAGTAGAACTACAACAACTTCTGACTTTGAAGAGTGGTCCTCGGTAAACCTTAATATCATTACCACCCCACATCACGGAGTTCTTGCCCTTCTTCATGTCCTACGACGCCCTCCAAGAGCTCCGCGTGAATTCCAATCCTATTGGGGTTGAAGGATGTCGAGGTCTTTTGCGTGCCATGGTGAAGCGCAAAGGCTTGCGCAGATTGGACCTCCAAGGAATGATGACTGCTAGCCACATCACTTCGGACAAGAAGAGTAGTGAGGGAACAGGTAGTGGCAGTTTGAATACGAACCGTGGCTCTGCTGGTGGGGATAACACTGAGCAAGGTGACGACACTGGGCCTGGTGCGAGGCCCGGAACCGCTTCATTGAACCCTTTGAAATCTGTGCAGCGTGCTATCATCGATCCCACTAGCGGCAAGAATAGTCTGGGCTATTCACTGTGGAATTTCCTACAATCGAACGCACAGAGGTTGTACAGGCTTGACCTCAGTGATCCTGGCGAACGAGCGATTTTGTACTTGCTGCTTCAGCTACGCGATCAACTGCCAAAAGGATGCGCCAGCTTTCACGATGACCCTACTTCTTCCGTTCCGGTAGAAAGTACCTGTTCTCGAGATGGGAAAGGCGCTTGGGAGATCGACCACACACATTCCGGACCCCTGCTCGTTCGCTTCACCTTTCAAGCAAGCCTTCCGCTATCTGCCTACAACCAAAGCAGCAAAAATGCACCAGGATCACCTGCGTCTCAGATGAGCAAGACGAATGCGTTTAATAGTAGAACAATAGAACAAAGATCAGCAGCAGGAGCAGCACCAGCAAACAACAATACCAGCAGTACTACAGCCGACGAACCTGCCTCTGTACGAATGCTCCGACGCGCACGGGAATTGCTACGCGTTCAATGTGAAAGAGTACAAGAGATACGATTGGCGAAGATTTGGAAGCAATTTCTGACGACTGCCGAAGCAAGAGATCAGCAAATCTTTCTACAAGCTCTTTGTCTCGATTTCGTTAAGGTCTGTGATTGTGATTCATCTTGAGATTTTGAGAAGCTTCATCTTGCTCGGTTTCGTTTAGGACTTTTTGCTGGAGATTGAAATGGAAGCGTGTATTAAGTAGTCAAAGATGAGCTTCAACGTCTATTTCAATTTGGTGGGCAGGCACAAGCTCTAACTTCAGCGTCTCTCTCACTTTCGTGCACATCTTGATCACCTATGCTCCTTTGATGAAGCACCAGATCTTGTTCCACTTGATGACTGCCATCTCTGGCGTGCGCGGGACTGCAAGGGAACGATCCCAACTTTTAGTCACAAAGCACTGCACCAAAATGAGCGACACCCTGAAAGTGCAGATGTACGGACGCAAGTTCCTAACCTTTAGACCGGAAAATCCAAACGGCTTTTATTCGTTGGAACTAGAATCCTGTTGCGACTATGCGGTAGCGGACGCTCTGATGCTCATCGATCGATGGGAAATCAAACTGATAGAAGATAGGCTTGGCATAGGGAATAGTACCACTGGTGGTTCCTCACCCTCCTCACCAACTACTGCATTTAAGGCTGCATCCCCCGCAAGTTCTACGCAAATCCAGCTCCCCCAACTACATCTTGTTTCCGCTTTTCAAGGGACGAAAGGAGGCACGAGAATGCTCTTCCTATCCTTGAGGATCATGATGAATTTGTGTTAGTTCTAATATATCAGGAGGCGCGCGCGCGGGAGACTTCGATAGCGATGGAGGCGGTGCGGGAGGACTGACATTGCCCAAGAATCATCCACTTTTCAAAAACTTGGCGCATTACTCGCAGCATGGCAATAAAAGCCACTTCCGCAACGAGGTGATCAACGAGATACCGTTTTTAAGGTGACGGTAGTACACCGCAGATCATGCATTCTCAAGAGCCCACCATCTTCCTGTACTCCTTATTATTTTCCTAAGCAGGGAAACAGAGGCTAGGGTGGATGCTCTCCACCAGGATGCGAAGACGGTAGCTCTAGCTTTAATGTTTGAAATGAACGCGACGTTCCAACTCCCCTGCCGGACACGCTTAGAATGCGACTTCGCTTCTGGTCGCAGGCCGCCACGGAACGCAAAACCAATGTCTGATTTGCAAGTGAAGAACTTACTCGAGACTATTCTCGCTTCCAATTGCAGTTTGCGTGACTACAGAGCTGTGTTACAGGCCTTGTCGGACAAGGTGTTCCTTACCTGCAGACAACTTCGACGATTCTTGCAATTGTTCTTATGGTTCTGGTTGTAACGTTCGCAACGGGCGTCATCTACGTCTAGTCGTGGTAAAACTTAAATTACTATTGGTACAACTGAGCAGTACCAGTAGTTTCATCTTCTAAATAATATCCGTACAAGTACTTACAACATGATTTACCCCTGGAGTGGGTATAGTTATTCAAATTCACATCAACCTTCCTGCTAGTGCGGAAAATTTCGCGCTCCCTCTAATCCCTATGTCCCTCCCGCAACTCTCCCTCGATTTGGTCGTTACGTTTTGCACCAGATGCGTAGATTGGTACCGCAACGAGAAAGTGGTGCGCTCTGCCGTATGCAGTACCTTGTGGAATTCGACACTGAAGAGGCGCTTGGGCTCCGTCTTCCTCTTTCCATATTATGCCATAGGAGGTCATGTTGTTGCTCATAATAACTTGACACGATACAAGATTATACCCAAGGAAACGTTAACACCAATCCATGGTTCTGACAAGACAAGGAAGGTCATCATGGAGGAGAAGTTCCTCTTTGATGTCGTTCCCTATTATGATCATGGTGGACGTTGACGTTGAGTTTCCCTTTCCACAAATTTATTGATATGGTAGTGCTGAAGTGAGACTTCTCTAAGGACAGACGAGTGTGACTATTTATAACTCGATGTTGTTAATTTAACTGTCTGATGAAAAGTTGTTCCTCCGAGCACCCTAACCGCCTGAAGCCCTTCCTATTCGATCCCTTAGTCTTCTAGTTAGTGTACTAAGTATAATAGAACAATTTGTAGGGGTGCCCGATCCAGGATGGGATGGAACGGATGGACTTCCCCGCTCCGCTAAGCATTTCAAGTAGGACCCAAGGACTTTGGTAGGTCCATCCGATCCATACAAGTGAGTCCATCCTACGCGGCTCGTTATCTATAAACTATTCTAGTATAACGTTAAACTTAAAAGTTAAGGTGCCATCTTCTAACCATTCGTCCAACCAGAGAATTGCAACTTCAAGCTCGATTTGCGTTACCACGAAGACCGGTTATGTTTGTTTAGTCTTCTCCAGTATGAGAAGATAGAAGATGGCGACAATATTCCCAGCGACAGCATACATTTCGACAACCCAGACAACTTGGTCTGGAATGGGTACTTGTGTTTTTTTACGCCAGTACGTTGGCTTTGGCAATTCTTCGTTCTTCAGAGGCCATGCACACGAAAAACTCGAAAACAACCTTCTTCAGAGACCGAAGCGCCTTCACAAACTACGAACGTACAGGTACCTTCCAAAAACTTGGGAAAACGAGGCGCCTAGGCGTGGGAATCTGTCTCTGTTGTACGTCTGTGCTCCAGAATTTGCTGAGACGGATTTTCGACTGAGTATGGCAGCTATCTACGGGAATTGGAACGTTGATTTTTCAGACTTGAAAGCAGAGGCTGCGAGGATAGATTAAGGCATGGACGACTGGTCCTCAGAACCTTCATCCTTAGTCAAACAAGAGAGCATCGACGAGACAGAGAGAGTGAGAGCATCTTGTTCCTCAGAACCTTCATCCTTAGTCAAACAGGAGAGCATCTTCCTCAGAATCTTCAATATATTATACTTGTTCGTTGGTCTCTTTTTCAAAAGGAAAAGAGGTGGCCTCTTTTTCAAAGGGGAAAAAAGAAGTGTCAAAAGATCGATGGGACTCTCAGAAAAGATGCAGCAACGCCGTAGCTCTAAATAGAGTGGTGGATGAGCTTAGAGGAGACCCCAAGCTACATGCAAGAAATGGCCATCTACTTGCTGCATCAGTTCGAATCGTTGCCGGTATTGCTATGTTCAGAAATTATGTGTTGAGTACTTTGATTCTTGAGTAGATTCTCGACAGTATGGGTGTGCACGTACACAGCAGTAGTGGTACTAGTTGTAGTTCTTGTATTTTTTAAGTTTCATTTTCATGCATCTTCCTGCATCAGCAACACTGTTCTTCTTGCATCAGCATCTCTGTCTCGACGTCAGCTAGGCAGTGTTAGCCTTCGTGGAATGGAATTTCACCGAAACCCAGCAAAACCACCACCACCACCAACCAGGATTCCTTCCGCTACCTCGACAAGCTACGTGTCAACTCGGTAACTATGAAGATGTGCAATGACCGTATCCTGAAACTCGGCGTAGCACCTCAATTTGCGGATAAGATCCAGAGTTGCTTCCGATTTCTGGACCGCACTCGTGAGGGGACACTTAGTTAAGAACAGTTTCCAAATGGTTTTTTTGAATTTGCTGTGGACGTGAAGGGAAACTTTGCCAAGAAGAGTTTCAAACTGGTTTTGTAGGGCTAGGGCACGCGTGAGGGGAGACTTAGTTAAGAATTTCAAACTGGTTTTGTTTTTGAGTATCTATGAGGAGACACTTTCTTAGTTAAGTACAATTTCACTAAAGTGGTTTGGTATGTATTTCGTCTAGTAGTAAGTTTAGATTTAGAATCATTCACCGCCCATTCCGATAGGAAGTGGTTTGAGCATGATCCACCTATTCCTATGCACGGGGGATTTACCTAGAGTGTGAGTGCCTCTCCGAGTAATAAGAGTAGGGTTATGGTAATCATCAATACCCTCTAAAAACCTTGGGTCGAATACAAGGTTCTCTCGGATATTTGGAGTGAGATGTTTCTGGGTTTAGAAGAGTTTCTATTCTTCCTACGAACGAAAGTTACGGCGGAAAAAATTGCTGAGGAAAAGTTGCTACTGGCGTCTCAACGTTATGGCTATGTATGTATACGAGTGGTGGAGCCAATCTAACTAGGAAATGACCTAAAAAGACTAGGAAATGAAGCTATGTCTGTAGAAGCGTAAATTCTATTCATCCACTCCGAACCGCAGGTGTAGTCCTCCTAGTGTAGTCCTAGAGAAAGAATGCGAATCCGAATGCCAAAGGCGCGTAAGCGCACCCCAAGAACCAGATGAGGCACTATCTAGTTCCACTTATAATCTAGTTCTCTTAATTCAAATTCTCTCCCTCTAATAGCCTCCACCAAAGTTTTCTGAGGCTTGGGAAAGAGAGAAGCATGTTAGAAGAAGCACTCTGACTGGTGGTGCACTTGGAGGAGCCCTTCGTTTGCACACCCCACCATCTGCAGATCAAATGAATACGGGAACGAAACTGGTACTTGTTTTATTTTTCAGTCTGTAAGAACAACTGTCTTCTTCATTTTTAGTAGAGATCAAATGAATACCGGAACGAAATTGGTATAGACTTCTTGCCTTCAACTTCATGTTCATTAGTCGAAACCAGATGAATAAGAATGCGCGATATGCATAGGTTTAAACAGCTGAGATGTCCCAGTTGTGCCGTCCATTCACTCGGACCTGTTGAGCACGTGTGATGCTTCTCTTCTCAATTGAAAAAAAGGAGTGGTGGTTGTGTAGCAGGCATGCAAGTGTATGTACTATTGTTTCAGCCTAAACTGCAGAGTCACAACTGCAACATGTTGGCAATCCTTTTTCTACATAGTTCTGAGAAGCTTTTAGAACAACCCTTAATCTTCAACTCTATTAGTCTTCAACTCTACTTCCAGTATCCAAATCCATCCTCCATACTTCACGGCAAATAACTACAGGTTATTCGCGAGAGTCTTCCAAATGCACGTCCCTCTACAATTCGCCCCAGGGTAGATGCAGCCTATCAACCTCCATCTAGTACGATGGTAACCAGCATCAAAGAAGAACCTGATGCTGAATTGGATTATGGACCTTGGACCTGGTTCTCAATGAAGATTTCTTGAGCTCTTCTAGCCAAGATGAATCCTTCATCATGAGTTAGTAGTTGTAAACAACGTACAGAAATTACTGTTGATTAGTGTTAGTAACACAAAGAAACTGTTGAGAGTTCTTCAAATCTGACGTGTGGTCCTTGTTCACCACCATGACCAAGTAGTCCACAGCTTTAACGTAAAGTTGACAGCAGTAGGAGTCCTATGAAAGGAGCCTCAGGTGCGCGATCGACAGGAGGAAGACGCGAAGATTCTGCGTCGTCGAAAAACGCAAGATATGATGAATAGCTTTGTGTTTGTCCGCTGTTTAGTATCCAGCTTCTAGTGCCATATCGTACTAGTAGAGGCTGCTAGAGTCTTGAAAAGGGTCGTGTTGGCCTTTATTTCAATGCTGTTGACTTACTAGACGTGCTTCCTTCGAACTTGATCATTGAAATCGATCATTATCTGACCTTCATTGAAATCAAAATCAAAATCTTTCATACCCTCCCTACCAAGTCTGCAATTGGAGGCGCGACGGTTCGATTTGCGGCAGGAGCAGAACGTGGGAAACAGGAAAGTTCCAACCAAAAATTCCAACAACCTTCTTTCGCTGACAAAACAATCAGTGAGAAGTTTCGAGCTCTAAGGCTTTCTGCTCGTGCTCTTATCCATCTTGTTTCTCCAGACGAATTACAATTAGGGGGTTGATCTGCAAGGAGAGCAGGATTATACTTGTAGTTGTATTTGTCAAGATGAATCATAATTAGGGTAGAAAGCCCTAAGCCCTGCGGATGATCTGCCAGCAATTCACGACTTCACAGATAGGAACTTTCGGCTGGTCGGCACACGTGAGGTCTGGGACGCTTTGGACAGGGACGAAGGTGGCAGTATCTCCATTCGAGAGTATATTGTTATGCTTCGAGAGGTACAAGTTTCATCACCTCTAGCAAGCCGCTAATGCACCTGCAGCGCCTTCCATACGAAGAGCATGTGAATTTCTATCCCCGTGATACCCTAACCCTTGTTGACATGAAACAACTTCACCTTGTACAACTTCACCTTGTTGTACAACATCAACTTGTGCAACATACTCTTGTTGACGTGAAACTACAACCTCAACTTGTACAACTTCACCTTGTACAACTTCACCTTGTACAACATCAACTTGTACAACATACCCTTGTTGACATGAAACAACTTCAACTTGTACAACTTGTCGTCCCATCGTCGAACGAAGGCATGAAAAACTAAAACAGTCACTAATTGAATATCAAAAATATTGGTGTATGAAATAGATTGTAGGTTATTTAACTTCACTGACTTACCTCGCAGTTATAGATTAGCTAATCAGAGACGCACACACTGAAATAAGGAGGGAGAGGTTTTTGGTAGCATTGTTTTATACTAACGCTTAGTATAAAACAATGCTACCAACTACTCCGTGATGAAAGAAGTGACTAGACTAAAATATTACTTAGACCATGATCATGGATGTAGTTCTTCTAAGCAAACCGCAATTCGTCGATACCGTTACAGTCGACCCAATCGCTTTGTCCTCTTCAACCTGATCAATGAAGACGGTGGCGATATATCCAAAGAAGAGTTTCTTGAGGGCATGGAGCGGTTGCAATTATGCTGGCTGGAGGAAGAGGATAGAAGTAGAAGGTTCTTTAGTATCCTTTCTTGATTAACAAGACTAACTGCGTCAGCTTGTTCTCTACCCTTTCTTGATTAAGACTAACTACAACTGGGTTCACACAAGACGTAGAAGTAGACTTTCTTAGATGGAAATCAACATGGTCGTAAGACTGAGAGTCTCAGACATCAACATCCACACATTTTTTAAATGTAATGATCGACGTGATCCCCTATACTTACCTAAGTCTCTTTAGCGTGCTCTCTTGCTGCAGTGCGGTGATGCTGGTGGAGGTAAGAGGACTCAAAATCAGAAGTCATCAGTTCTTCGCTGCAAAGCCTATTTTTACTGTCTCTATGCCTCTAATGAAACGGAAAGCGTTTAGTCATCGAACTTCTGGATTCGATAGGAAGGATGCGAAGGTACCTCCCAAAGGGAGTGGGGGGAATACGACTGCGGCAGAAGGGAATTTAAGGCTCCATCTTGGTACAGGTATACTACACAGGTGAATATTAAAAATTCAAGTTGGTTCTAGAGGACCCCACGCCAGTAGAAAAGAGTCATGACCAGTAGAAAAGAGTCATAACACCACTAGAAAAGAGTCACACCAGATAAAAATTGAATGCATACCTCACACCAGTAGAAAAGAGTCATGCGGGAGAGTAACCGGAAGAATGAAGAATCAGGCGCTTGGTGGACTAGAAGATCTTCTGTATCTCTAGTATCTTCTAAAAGTCGATAGCATTTCGTCACCTGCATCCTTGAATAGCCTTTTCGCTGACCGCACCAGAGAGGAGCCAGAACAGGAGCACACTGCTACATCTTCAAACGCCGGTAGTAAAGTTAAGGGTAGGCTAAAGGTGCTTTTCTTGCCGCTTTTTATGCCTCTCCTAAGGGAGAAAGGCATAAAAAGCGGGGTAAGCGAGAACCAAAAACCTACCTCTAATAAAGGTCGTGGTCCTGCTGGTCCTGCGTCGACGCACCGTCGTGCTTCCTCGATAAAGAATCGTAGAGGTAGCAGAGATTCCTCGGCTTCCTCCTCTGCCAGTGAAAACAAAGCGCATGTTATGACTTAATAAGGAACAAAGACAACATGGTACAACTGGTACTCCGTAGACGAGATCGGGATGATGAAAGCATACTCCCTAGTACAGGCACACTATTAAGCATACAACCGAATACCACTAGAAGACAATTGACGATGTGGTCTCTCTCATACACCATGACCACGAGGCAGCATCAGAGAGGATTGTGAACCGTGAGGAGTCGGATTCCGGTGAAGATGGAGCGGATGAAGATTCGCGCGCCTCCTCTTCGTTTAGCGAAGCTGCGAGTTCTTAAGGCCTTAACTTTGAACCCGAACCGTCTCTAAGAAGTACTAAAGCTAATATAACATGAGTAGGACTTCTATCATGCTTATTTATAATATTCACACAAATAAGTGAAACTAGCACAGATGAACCAGGAATGAGCCTGAAGATTCAGGGCTCAAATTGAAATGATGTGGGCACGGGCAGCACCAGCACGGGAGTCGGTGAAGAGTTCTACTCTAAGAAATTACTTCGTCCTCACGTGGAGGAATAATGAGGGCTGGAGACGACGGTGGCCTTCCAGTAGACTCGACAGTGACAATAGCATCTTCAGACGCCAAATCAGAAGATGAGCAAGCGTCAGAAGATTAAGGGTTACCGAATTACATCCCGCACTAGTGCAATCCTTGGCCTTTTTTCAAGTGGAAAATCGGTGAAGGAAGTTCTGAAGAATGTAACTCGGAAACCTTTAAGAAGAGCGGGGTAAAGGAGCACGTGCAACTGCAGGAGTAGAAGCGGAAAGGAGAAGACAGCCTTCTTTTTAAGATGAATGATTTGTAATTTTTACCTGGAGAAGAGTAGTTCACTAGTCATGATTCATTCAGGCACTAAGTTTTTACCTGCTCGAGCGGTGTTGTCCAGGCCCCTCTACTTCTTGGACCACTTCATCCGACTATCTTCTGCATGCATTTACTTGTGCGAATGCAGTAGATCGGAAGTATTTGGTGTCTCCACATTCTACATTATTACTTCAAGTTGTTCAAGAACTAGTTGTATGGGTTAGAAGAAGCTATTTAGTTTATTCTCCAAGTACTAATATCAATTTGATCAAGGTTTACTCAGGTGCTACTTCTTCATTGTTTACCGAAGAAGTTCTTGGTCTAGTATTACGTAGTAGAGAATGATAATGAACGTGAACCCCGCCCACTTACTTTTCACGAGCACGACCGTGTTGTTTTTTCATTCATATTTCCTTTCAGTATCGCGACTCCACTTTTTTTTTGCGTGAGGACTCACTTGTTGCTCTAATCCTCAAGAATAGCTGCATCCACGAAAGCGATGAAAACAAGACTCATTAGACGGGAGTCGAGGGAGCGGAAAACAGTGATGTGGGCTCAAACGCTAAACTTTGAGGATTTTGCTCTCTCCGAGTCCGATGAAGAAGACGGAGAGAACATGGTCTTCTTGTAGAATGAATCAGGGGAAAAAGAAACTCCTGCAGAGAGCAAGAGCATATTACTGTGGTACTATAAACAAGAGGAAGCTGAGAGCCGCGGCGACCATGGTCTTCCTCGTAGAAATCAGGAGAAGAAGGAGGAAAATCCGTATTCCTGAAGGCACTAGAGGACTGTGGAGAAACCGAAGTGAAACACTAGAGGACGGTGGAGAAACATGAGCTTTCTTGAAAGCGAAACAATTGTGGAATAAAGTTAACGTCTTTTTGAAGAAAATTAAATCTCGTGCTCGTCTCAGCAATCCTCCATTTCAAACTACAAAATAGAATAACAGATGAAAGAACAACCCGAAGACACACTACACGATTAGTAGCTCCTTCGGCTGTCGTGCTCGTGGCTTCGTCTTCTGCATACAATGTACAACCGGTGTCCTCCAAACTAACTTGTTGCACAAATACAACGTGAACAGAGCATCTTCAAACTCAATCAATGCCAATTCATCCGCTCACTTTTGTTCAAGTCCTTGCTGAGTCGTTCGTTAGTAAATGTAAATGTGACTTAATGGTGGCCCTAATGCTTCAGCGTACCACTTCTGACGTCATGTTGTTCATGCTTGATGATGATGTGCATATGGTGATCATGTATCATTTCCGGTTCTACTTCGTTTCGCAGGCCCGTGCCTCGATATCTAAATCTATGTCGTTATTGCTTGGTCTTCGTGTTTCAGTTACTTAATTGTTAGTCTTTCATATTAATGCTTGTTATCCTTTACTTAATGTCAGCCTATATGCAATTCTAATCTTGGTCTTGTTATTCATTTACTTGAAATCTCATCTAAAAGTTCCTACAAGTAGTCATTATGATTTTTGATTTTGATTTCTGATGCACTTCCGGCACGAGTCATTTTTGATTATGATTTCTGACGTAACAACTCATAAATATGCTATTTTTCTTTCAGATTCAAACCATCTTTCTTCTGGTCGTCATACTGTCAGTGAGAAGGGCCGCGTCCTTTCCTCGTCGTGTCATTTTATGTTATCCGATTAAGTGATCGCAACCACTCTCATTTTAATTCTGTACATCACAACGCACAACAATCAGATGAATCAATGACAATGCACAGAGTAAGAAGTATGGCTATGTTGCATGCCTATGCGTATCACGACCTTTTTTACATTACGAGATACAACAGCAATGAGAATGAATTACGACGATAATCATCAGGTGGAGTAAAAGAACTTCGGCAATATTGTTGGCAAGATGCGCGACCTTCTCACCTTCAATACAGCCTCGAGAGTATTTTTTGCGATGCTACGCACCCGGAAGCTGCCAGTGCCATCTACTGCTGGTCTTCTCATGTGTTCAGTGGACAACTGAGAGACATTAGATAAGTAAAACTATTCGACGTTTCCTCGTAAGAGTAAGTACGCCTTTGACCTAGTTCTACTTTTGCAAAGCAAGAAACGAGAACTGTGACAGCGTCCCTTCACCTTTTTCAGTCGCTAACAAAGTCTGGGCGATCGCGTATTAATTAATCATCATGATAAGGTGAACGCACTAAACTGGATCGAGGGGACAATCACAAACAACAGCGCACCACCCCACAAAGAACATGACGACGGGGGAAAGAGAGAGTCGCGCCAAGAATAAGGACTGGGAAGAAGTAAAATCTAAATCACTGGAGAGGACCAGGACACATGATGGTGCGTGGGTGGGTTATTTGCTTAATTGAGCTAACGTCTCATGATCTTCTTCTCCGATGTGTTTCGCATTCGCTTTCGCCTACGGAACAGGATTAGTACTAGTTTCTTGCCGATGTTGTTGTCCTTTCGCTTGTTTCGCCTGCTTCGGTTTATCTCTGTATAGAAACCCCGCTCCAAATCCGGAGAATGCATTTTTCGTGCTACTTCCCCTCGCATTTACTGCTTTAGGAAGTTGTGCCGCTTCTCTACCACCAATTCCTTTCGTCTCCTGCGGAATGCTTTTATCCCTCGCTGCAGCTGCAGCAGCTGCTTCTACTTGCGGAGGTGCAGGCACTCCATGTGGCCGTGCGCCGGCTGCTCCCCCTGAAGGAGCTTGGCGCAGATACTGGCGAGGCCCCTCCAATGCCCTTGCCATTAGCCAAAAATTGAACAAGATCGGCATGTCTACAACGCAGCCCATGAGAAGGGTATTGTAGACGTCGCGAAGGTATTGATCAGGCGGATATTCCGCACCCGTGAATCGCTTTACGCTGGAGACTATTTCACCCCTATTCCTTGTAAACCGCAAAAATTGGTTCACTTTCTCCTGCATTTGCGTTCTCTCGGCTATCCATCGGTCGCGCTTCAGCTTGCTCGACTTCACCAACGCACGAACCGAAATAGGAGAAGACGAGCCGTGCGCAAGCGCAGCCGGAAGCGGAACATCAAGTCTAGTAGAATCGGAACCATCTGTCAAAAGTGCATCCAGTGCTTTCTCCGCCGACGTGGCTGCTTTCGTCATGAGCTCTGCCCGCCTGTCCTCAAGGTTCCATATCAACGGGGATTCACGCGTTGCTACGATAGAAAGCTCTGACTTTAACTTATTTATTTCCTCGTCATCTTCTTTAATTTCCTCTCTTCTCTCCCTGAGAGACTGCCCCACCAATGGGTCCTGATCCATTGCCCTTTTCGTTTGACGCTTTGCAATTTCGAGAACTTGAAAATCCCCTACCCCTCTGCCGCGTTGCAGTGTCAATAGCGCGGTCGAGAAATATAACTTAGTATCATGAGAGTGAGAGTCACTGAGCCACGCTGCGTCCATGATTTTGTTCGTGGGCAGAAGGAGAAGCAGCGGATTTTTGTTCGTGGGCGGAAGCTGCAGGAACCCTGCGGAGTCCTCCGTAGTTTTAGAGGTAGCGCGTTGGGGGCGTCAGTTTCATATTACCCCGCCTTAGCCATTTTTATGCTGCCTCTCTCAGTCCCACCTTATATATAAGAGATAGAGACAGAGAGGCAAAAATAACGGCGTGGTAACAGAAATTATACCGAACAATGCGTAATAAGAACAATAGTTTTTATGCATTCGTCCGCAAGACGGTCGATGCTATACCGGTCCAAATCATGGAAAATCATATCCCTCTGAATGTCCCCCAGGACCTCCTTAATTCCACGAAAGAGGCGCGCCTCCACTCCATAGTCTCTATTCAAGGCGGTTGCTTTGTTCTTGACCCACCAGGATCTGACTCTATCCTCAGTTCTTGCGCTGGGTTCTAGTTTTTCAACTACTTCTCCGGCAGAAAATGTCTGCGCCTCGATCAAAAGGATTCCTTCCAAGAGGTCACGCACGGTGGCAAGACTCTCCTGCAGCGAGATTCCATCTCGGAGGCCCCCGCCCAGCGATTTCTCTCGTATCATTGAGAATTAGAAGAGCTCGCTCGCACCATTGTTGTCGTGCAGCACGATAGTAAAGTAGTACTTTTTGCTGAAGGGTAGGGACTAGCCTAAGACGCACGAGGAAAAAACTTACTGCTCACCGGGTATGGTACATGAAGAATAAATACAGCACGGCGGTGCAATAGTACGATATTAAGAATAAAGATTCTCGCACAAAACTTCTACTACTGTGCAGGAGACTGCGAACAATCCTCGAGGACGTGGCCACGGTGGGCGAGGTGGAGGAGGAGGAGCCCGACTGTGCTTAATATCATGATCTACTATAAATTACGTCAGCAGTACAATGTCCAGGATACAGCCGGTGATCATTAGGATGGATCGCCTAGATCTAGAACAAGAATACAAGCAGGAGGCCATAGAAAACATCAAGCAGGAGGCCTGCAAATTGTCGCACGTCATGGTACGCCAAGCCGCGCTTCGAAATATCCCGAAACTTCTGAGATTGCTTGTGGGCCATTTCTACATCATCCCGAAGACGAGCAAGGTGCGGGTCCCTCTGATGTGCTTGTTTGCGGGTCCCCACCTTCTCTGGTGTCATGTGAAGGATATTCTGACGAACCTGCTCAAGAACTGGCCGGAACAACTCCTTTGCAATGTAAACTCTCTCGGTTTTCAAATTGTGCAGATGATCCTCGAGCTTCTGCTCTGGGACATCAGGAATCTCACCCGGAAATATGATATACTCCACGGTACCATCGACGGCGCCCTCAGGTGCTCGACTTTTCTCACTGGGAGAGCCGTCTTCACGCGCCTTCTCCTCAGGCAGATTGCTCTCGAACTCTCCCACAAGCTTCTCTACTTCTGCCAGAGCTACCAGGTCGGCGGCATGCGCCGCATCTTCAAGGGGATCACCAGAAAAAATGCGTGGTGGCGTTTCAACATCTTTTGCTTGCTCTTGATCTTTTTTCTGCATGCTTGCAACGCTTGAAGCTTGTCCTGAAGAGGCTGCTCCGCTGTCCTCCTCGAGCTGATGAGCAAGATCATCCAGCACCCTTGTCTCCATCCAGAAACTGGACAAAGTATGCAAATCCACAATGCGGTACATTAGGAGAGTAGTCAGGAGTGGTCTGAAGGTGAAGTGGTCGTCTGGCGTCTGGAGTGAAGTAAGAAACCCATCGATCTCCTCCTGCCTTCGGCCTCTCTCTGTTTTCAGCCGTTCGATCTTGACACGGCTCGAGCTCAACATCTTCAGGAAAACTTTGTAGCTTGGCTCTGGCCGCTCTTGCACAGTTGCAGGCCCATCCTCGATTGATTTTAACGCTAGCTCCAATGCGTATCGACTATTCTCGTACCGTTCGACAACCCGCGTCATGAGCCATTCTTGGAGCGAAAACATACAACTCATTTCTTCAGCCCATTCTTTCAGAATCAATTAGATATAATTTCATCTTCAAGGAGGAAACGATAAAAAATGGCCTGACTGTGGAAATGAATTGTAGCGAGCCTTAGGCTTCGCGCTCCTTCTCGTCAATTTTTGCGGAGATATTATTTTGCAGTTGCTTCAACATGCGATCAACATGTGGCGGTGGCAGTGGCAGTGGGGTTTCCACCGTGCCCGCGCCGGCTGCAAGAAATCGCTCCGCAAAATCGACGACCAAATCAAAATCGCTGCTGCCAATTATCGCCAGCATTTCCCGAAAATGTTTCGCAGCGCCGTCCTTATCGTCATCCACCCACTTACCCCCCATGATCGTCCGGGCAGGGTCTTTCGGATCTGCGAGAACTTGTTCCTCTCCTATGTCTTCATAAAGACGGTCGATGCTCCGGTGCCGCAATAAATCGTCAAAGATGACATCTCTCTGAACCCACTTTAATACATCCCTTATTGCACGAAAGAGGCGCGCTTCCACTCCACTACACTCTTTATCCATCACATCGACCCGTTTCTCCTTGACCAACCAGCTTAGCTTATTCTGGTCAAAAGAGCCTCGGGCGAGTCTTGCGGCCATGTTGGAGCGGAGTTCTGTATCAGCTTCTTCGGTGGGAAATATTTGCGCTGCGACCAAAAGGATGCCCTCGGCAAAGGTACACACCCGCGCAAGAACCTTGTTTATCGGCCAACGCTGTCGTTGATTTAGTGCACCGGAAGCTTCATCTTTTTTATCTTGCTCGCCTTCTAGTTCTTGCACGCGTGAAAGTTAGAAGTACTTGTAGAGCCAGTGTTCGAGCCCCTGCACCAGCTCCAACAACAGACTTATCTATTTATTAGTGCGAGAGCTTTTTTTCGAAGTCTAAACATATTCCTACTCGTGCTCTCGCAGATGAAGCAGAGCGTCCAGAAAGTCCTGCTAGATTGTGATCAACATGCACATGCAGCTTGTTCTGAACATAATCAAACAACATCGGAAAAAGCATGCTGCTACTGAAGGGAAGATAGATGAGCAATAGCAAATTAATAGGTTATTTTTTTGAGCTTGAAGATATCGCTCCACGCACTTCTTTAAACATGTTGAACTGAAGCCGTTCACGGCTTGCGGGCCTCATTATAATGCCTTTGCTGTTGAACCGAGGAAGGCCAAAGACTTAATATTTCTCTAAAAAGAGCCTCGTCAATATGATTATAGATACAATATATTTTTGCAAGGAAGTAAGTCCTCGTCTGCGTTTGTTTCTCGCCTTAAGAATATGCACGATGTACAATTTCGGCATACTCACGCACGTCCGCATGTGTCAGACCACGCTTCGAGATCTTCCGAAAGTTCTGCAGTATCACTATCAAACTTTCGACATCCTTCCGAAAAGCAGTGAGCGTCTCTATTTGCGCCTCTACTTCTGCAAGAGTTGGGGACTCTAGTAGGGTATCCTTCTTCACGTTCTTGTAGGTGGTCTTTAGTTTGTCAAGAAGTGGTCGGAGCAACGTCTTCTCAATAAAATCTCTCTGCCACTGCAGAGTCGTCCCATGCTGCGCAATTTTATCATCTGGGACATCTGGGATTTCACCTGGCACTATGATATACTCCAGCTTTGTCTCAGATAGAGTGCTGGGACGCTCCTCTTCTCGGACATTCACGGACATGATATCCAAATGCCGAAACTTGTCCAAAAGCCTCTCCAGTTCCGCCACAGCGTCTGCTCGTCTTTGTTCTAGGTCCTCTCGAGATCTCGCGCTAGAATCTTCAAGAAAACGTGGAGCATCAACAGCTTTTCCTTCTATAACAATATCGCCAGTAAATGTAACCTCATATGCTCCTGGCGTTTCCACTCCTGAACTAGAGCTACTTTCATCTCCTGAACCTTCCTTAATAGCGTCAGACGATGCTGCCTCTGCTGCTCTTACTGAACTATCTTTTGGTAAAGCTCCCTCAGCTGCTGCTTCTGCTCCACCATCCACTGAGCGTCTTTCCGCTACAAACTTTAAAGCTTTCTGATGCTGCTGCTGCTGGAGTTGTCTGAAGAGCATTCGACCGACAGCGTTTGCAGTAAAATCCTCTCCACTGCAATGCCGCACAATGCCATAGAAAAATTGCAAGCTTGCCATACCATTCCTCCAATCCCATACTTCTTTCGCCATCGGGAACGCAGACGACGCAAGCTTGTCTCTCGCAGTCTGCTTGGCGTTTTCAAGTGCGGTTGTTAGACTTGGAGCTCATCAACCTTAATAAAAAACATTAACATTTCTTCAGCCAGGCGCGTTGATGCTTCTTTCTGTTCCTCTTTGCGGGACCTCTTCAAGATGCTTCTGATCATGTTGAAAACGGCTATTTAAGTAATTTATCTGATGCCGATCATGTTGAAAACGGCTCACTAATTTTTTACTAGGCCGAGAACAAGGTAGTTGTATCTCTAGTTAGAGGTGCGCAAAGTCTTAAATCTATAGTCGCTCCTGAAGCTGCAGCTGTGCGTTTCTGTTCTTCCTCCTGGTGAAGCAGTGCGTGAAAATCCAAATCCAGACATGCTCCAGTATCCTGGATCTTCTCTTTCAACTGTTGCTCTTTCTCAGTGAGCGCCTCCACCTGCGGCCCACCCGATGAAATGTCGCGCAAGCGTTTGCCTAAATCGGCTGAGAAATTAGATCTACTTCTCATTCTTGTTCATCTTCGTCCCCAACAAGAAGATGAGACCTTACATATTATTCTAACTAAGTTGTTTAATTACTTACTTGTTTCGATAATTAAAATATTAAGGTAGTCGCACTAGCAGTTGAGTTGTGGACATACTCACAACAAGATGAATGGAATCAATACACAAAATCCGCACGCTGCTGATGATTGACACCGGGTATATCCCCTCTAGCTCTAGGCTGAAGGGGATGCGACGTAGTGTGCTACGTGCTAGAAGTTTCCCACAAGTAAAGTCCTTGTAAGCCTTAAAAGAGTAGGCTCTTAGGCGTGCGGCCGCAGAGTCGACGAGCTCATTCGGGAGGAAGCCCTTATGACTGGGGACCCGATGATTAGGGCTATTAATAATGCATCTCTCAACTGCATCCTTGAAGGGTATCGCAGTGAAATACCCTTTCATACTTTTCAAGGATGCAGGCAAAGATGCACTAGTGGGGGCCTTAAAATGAAACACCACAGCGATCCTTACTCTCTTCTCGGAGTCGTTTCCAATGTTAACACCCTGAAAAAGCGAGGTCCACTCTTCAGCGATCGCGCGCAAAATACCACGGTACAACACCAAAGCCCCTTGACTCTCTTCAAAAAAATCCTTGACGGCCTGCTCCTCCTCCTCAACCTTAGTATTATAATCTTGCGTCCCTCTATTTCCCTTAACATCAGAAGGTGAACGGGAATGGAGGCTCTGGACGAGCTGATGTCTTCTCTTCCGATGCTGATCATGACTGCCTCCATGATAAAAGACAAAGGACGAGGACTGAGCTGGCTGATCGTCTCCGGTAGCGCTATCGCCTGCCTCAGGTGCAGCTGCACCGGGCGCACCAGCTGCGCCGGGAGTAGCGGCTGCTGCATCGGCGCTATCGTCTTTGCCTCCAACGCCATCGCCCTGCTTTTCCTTCTCAGGGCTAAAAGCGTTGAATTCTTTTTCTAGGCGGACGCCGTGCATGAAGTATTTCTCCAGCAAGGTAATTGCGTCGTTCGAGTCTGTCAGCACTGGAATCTTGATCACTGGCGTGGGCGTGTCAGGCTCTGCTGCAGGGCCACCTTGTGAAGCGCTGCTGGAGAGGTGGCCCAAGTTATTTTTGATTGAGTCTAGATCCCCTGCCAGCGTAAAAGCGGTTGTGGAGCTGCTTTCAACAGCGCCATATTTAAGGAACCGCAAAGCGTACCAGATTGCATGCAATTCTGCGCAGGTGACACTCCTTGCACAGAGGATATTATTTTCAACCTCAAAAGCCCGCAGATTGACCAAGTTCTTGCTTGAAAATGTCGAGCCACTTCCTGCTGTCCACATGTCCGAAAAATATTGCTCGCGCAGTCTTGTCGGAGAGTAGACCCAGGAAGAAGATGGCGCTGGCTGTGCTTCTTTCAGCTGAGTAGAGTCGTCGACCCACTGAAACGCCTTCGGCCGACGGATGTAAGCCGAGGCACAAAACATGTGATTGGATGCCGCTTTTCCTTGAAGGCCCTGCACGTTCGCATCTGTAGCTAGATAAAAGATATCACGCTGAAACATAATATGCGCGCTCTTATCCTTCCGCTTCTTCGGAGTCGACTTGGCTTCTGCTGTCGCGCCAGTCTTTTTACGACAAGGACTAGACTCAAAAAAGTCTTTCCCGTATATCACTTGGGCAATACTGCGCTCAACCACATCCGTGAGGAGCCCGTTTTCCAAATCTAGGCGAGCTCCCTCCTGGTGGTTCTCTATCTCTTTGAAACGCTTCCAAGCTCGCGCTGTGTCAAGGAAGATTTCCGCCTTCAGAAAATTCTTCACTTTTGCTGCATCAGCTGCACCCGCTTTCACGACCAGGCCCACCCCAGCTGCTGCACCACTAGCGCCTGCAAGACTTGCAGAAGCGCCAGCGCTTCCTGTTCCTCCTCCCCCACCTTGAGCGAGGCCATCCTCTTGCTCGACTAGTAGCCCCGACGAGAGTACTGCTTTTTTTAGAACTGAAGGGAACCCATCTGGTCTCCAGCAACATCTTGGACCCCCTTTTCCCTCTAAAAACGGGACAAAGATGCGGGAGAAGATGGACGTCTTGTAGCCGTAATTTTTGTAACAGAGAGTGCGTCTGGTAGCCGACGTCACGTAGGTAGAAGCCGGAGCGGTCAAGCGGCACAACGCCCCGACTGAGGTACCATGGCAAATGCGCGTTCAGAACTAGGTTTAGGGTGAAGAGAGGCGGCAGCTTCGTTCCTCGAGAAATCTCCATCAATCCTAGGGACCGCGAAACCATACGCCGCGCATCTACTTGCGGCGCCTTTTCTTTTTCGAGTACTAAAGCGCTCTGCCGCTGCTCTCGCGCTTGTTCATTTTGACGGGCAGCGCCATGCGCTTTTGCTTTCCCTTTTGGTTTTTCATTTGCAGATGTTCCCCGCAGCGGTGCCGCTGATACTGGTGAGAACTGTAGTTCAGTCACGGACTTCATAAGTGTCAGAGGATCCACAGCGGGAGTCTGCGACTGAGCTGCGTTCGATGCCAGGGCAGTACGGTAGTCCCTCGTGTGTTTCTGCATCGCCTTGAATAAAGTCCCGCGCGCTCCTGAACTATCCGAGGAGGACAGACCATACGAAACGAACTTTGCGATCTCGTAGTACACCACCTTTTTTTTGGTGTCATCCCCATCCGCTCTGCCTTGAGTTTGTAGCTTCCCACGGATCGATTGCAAGAAGGCTGCCCCAATCGCTCCAGTGTCCACTTTGCCAGGGGAAGCGAATGAAATTTCACGCTGCCACAAAAAGGGAACGGGGTCTCCAGCGTTTTTTACAGGCCCAGCTGCATCCTCTGAGAAGATCTGGCTTTTTGGGGCCACAGCAGTGAGACTTTCGAGATCAGGAGGACCCCAGAACCTTGCCGCAGCGTCCTTTTGCTGGTTATACTCAGCCGACGGGACACGGCGGCGCACCAGGTACTTCGTCGAAACAGCTGAAGGGACACCGTGCGCAGCAGCTCCACCACCACCACCACTTTTATCACCGTTAGAACCAGACGCAGGAGGGGGCGTCCACTTGCAGACATTTTTCACCTTAATTGTCACCTCCCGCCTGTTGCCCTTCTTTGAAGCATCAACACCATTTCCGGCTCCTTCCAATTGGCTTTTTATGTCACGACGTTGCGCGGAGTAGAAATTGTGGAGCAGCTTCGAATACCAGCGCAGCTCGCTCTCCGGTTCTACCGCGCCGTCCTCGTGCTGATGCAGTGTACATTTATACAAACGACCTCCTAAAAGAATGGCGCTTTGGCTTGATGAAATTGCGTCGACTCCTGGTATCACAGCCTCGAGGTGCTCTTCCTGAAATTGGAAGCGTGCTGGCGTCTTTGCGCGGCTTTTTTTGACAAGATTGGAAATCGATGGGACTGCGTCGCGCTCGTCGCTTTGCCCTCCACCACCCTGCGGAGCTGAGTCAGGCGCGAACATTTGGAGCGCTTCCTTCCTGTTGATATTCGTATACTCAATGTATTCCTCTGCGTACGATGCGTACTCCCACGGCACGAGATAACCTGCGGGTGCTTTTTTTTCTACCAAAGCATTTCGCCCATCAAGGCTCTCTGCGCTCCTGCTGATCAACTGCAAGCCGCCAGGTACAACTAACTTCGGGGGGGGCCCTTGTTTGCTCGAATGTTGTTCACTTTGGGCTTTAACTTTATTCTCTGGATGAAACCAGCGCACTCGAACACGAACTCCCGCAGCACTCGACGCAACGCGCTCCCTTTCGCTGTTTACGCCTTTATTGAAGATTGCCGAGAGAGTGAGAGAGATCGAGGTCATGAGGATATACAAAAATACTCGTCTTTTCTCTACTAGAAAGTTCCTGCTACTAACATATATGAGGAAAAAGAGAAGGCGAGATCTAGAAGTCAGACTTAATGGGGCGCCGTTTCAACTTTCAACTACAGAGAAAAGCCTTCTACTTATTTCACCTCCTTGCTATTTAATCTTCAAAGGTCACCTATCGTTGTCGATACTGTCAAGAAACGAAACAAGAAAGCTTCACTTTAGTTTGCTTTGTAGGTACTAAACAAAACAACCATGACCAAGCAAACAAGCGCAAACAAACACAATGGACTCAGGATCAAGTCTAAAAAAATGACGCTGCTACCTTTATTATCGTTGCCGCCATCTTTTGGAGGAGTTCCTGCACGTCCATCACCCGACCCTTTTCCTCGACCTCCACCTTGTCCTTTTCTTCGGCCTCCAGCGCTGCCCTGTTCTGAACCTGATCCACCCTGTTGAGATTGGGAATGAGAATCGCCACCGGTGCTTCCGTCCTCTGTATTGCTATCATTTCCGCCTTCATCCTCATCCCCATCTTCGTCCCCATCTTCATCCCCAGAAGCTGATCTAGAGGATGGATCTGCAGAGGATTTCCTCTCGCGTAATTCGACAGGCTTTCCCGCTGCATCGATAAACTCTGCTTCTAGTGTACCAATGAGCTGCGGATTCTGGTATTCGTGTAGTTCCTTATCTTCATCCGGGTTCCACCACATTTCCCGCACACTCGTCATGTCGAGGGGATCCAGCAGAAGGACAATTTTTGTCTGTCCACTTCGACCATTGTCCAAAAAAACTTCGAACGCGTCCAAAAAGTGGTGTGCTGTCGGTCCGCACTTTGTGGATGACTTAGAAGAGGCTCTTGCAGAATTGAATAAGCCTTGAAGCAGAGAACTGACTCAGTGCTTGAATCTGCACTAGTACAGTGCACACACATTGAATGCATTTATACATACTAACTATCTCAGAAGTAGTGGAAGAACATCCCTGGCTTCGGCTTCCTTCTTTTCTGCTAGTAAAAGTAAGAGCCAAGAATAAGGATGGCTGTAGTGCCGGATGTCGGTGTAATTGAGTCTAAAAGTTGGAGTGTAATTCTAAAAATTCTGCAATTATTCGGCAACGAAAAGTAGAAGATCTAAAAGCAGCAATTCGGCACTACTTCTGCAACTCGGTAATTCTGCAACTCGGTAATTCTGCAACTCGGTAATTCTGTAACTCAGTATTTCGGTAGTGACTACCTACTTTCCCTTATAATTTAACACACGGAGAAAAATAATAATTAGCCTTAATAGGTGGACGCTCCTCTGCAGCCGTGCCTCGCTTTGCGCACACGTTCCGATTCTTACCTTGTCGAAGCCGATGAAACTGAGTACGTGCTGGACTTTTATCCGCCCCTGCTGGATTTTCGTGCATATAAGATGGGTACACATTACGCCACTCCGAAGTCGTCAAGTCGTCCTCTTTATTTCTCCACCTGCATATTATTTAAGAGCGCATGTCCATTAGAAGAACATCAAGGATCTTGCATGTGTATACTGGTAGGGGAGCACGGTGGCCACGTACTTAATCGTGAGCGCATATGAAGAAAATTTTTAGTTATTGGCCACCGTGTGACGGGGAGGCGGCTGCCCTCGCCATCCCTTAGACTCGTTCGCGTTAGTCACCCGCCAAGCACATCACATCGGTCAATAGCGTGTGGCGATTGGGTAAGCTATTGTCTACTGTCAGAGTAACTACTCGCTACGAGTTGCTTTCTTGGTGGCTGGGGTCCTCAGGTTACTTGCTAACGCGGTGAAGCAAGGTTGTCTGGGGCCTTGGCATTTCTGCCCGCCTGCGGGGGGATAGCTATGTGGCACTTTGCTGATAAAGTGAAGAGATGATACTGATAAAAAAGGCTCACACTGCTTGTTGTCAGGTGAAGAGTAATGGTGATGAGAGGGAGGTCACATGAGACAGGCGATGAGGAGGCTGCATGAGATGAGAGCGAGAGGGAACCTACAATTGACAAGAGATGATAGGGTTCGGGAAGGTTCGCAGGTATAATAATTGGCAACATGCAGCTTCAAAGAAGATGACTCATCCGACTTCGTCAGACTTCTCCTGAGCAGATTACTTGCCTACTTGCTTCTAGTCGTTCCACTTCCACTCATTTTCCTCTAAGTCACAACTAACTACAACAGCTGCGTCTGCATTATAGTAGTAGTACTATCACTACAATATTGATGATGAAAGGATTACGAATACGCTTGGACCGCGACCGAAGTCTTCATCAATTTTTACATTGGAATTACAATCCTCTGCGCCTGTATTCTTAGAGCAAAAATGACCTCATGTGCATGTGAACTTAGTACTGTTTTTCCCCGAGGTGGAACCCGGACGACCTGTAAGTAAATGCGTATTACCTATCCCCCAGGTGGAACCTTGTTATGGAGCTTTCAAAAATCTCCCGGATATCCTCCTGTGTTACCGGCACTTTCTCGCCCGCTGCGTCCAATTTGGCCATATTCTGCATCTCCACGAAATCACGCTTAGGCTCGTCAGCCAGTGGACAGGGGTCGTCGTTTAGGATGGTGTGCACCATTTTAGCGCTAGTTTTTGAACGCTATCCCTGGTTGATTGCTGATTGAGTGAGTTGGTTGCCCCTTTGCTTCCTCTTCATCACTCAACAACATAAGTAATTCCTTGGTCACAACCACGGGATAATGGAAGTTAGCCTTAACCATTGTCCGGTAGATTTGGCGCACTAGCTCCGGAGAACTTGCACCGAAACAGAAAAATGTAGTTTGAGGAATGCTCGGAGGCAACACCAGAAAAAGCATAGTATTTAGTAACAGAGTCAACAGGCAGGACAAGGCTGAAGAAAGGTGGAGATGGCGATGGTGATGCGGATGAGGCATCTTCAGCCTACAACTCTTCCTCCTAATGTAGTTCGTCCACCCCATCTTCAGCATCTTCTGGTTGATGAAGGAAAACATCCACATGGCCTTCGTGGTCACGATCAAAGCGGAAGCCACCATCTTCCGCTTGGAGGAAAACATGTTGGCCTCGTCTGTGGTCACGGTCGAACGTCGTTTTTCACCAACGGGTACGGGACTCAATTTTTCTCCTTCTTGTTGAAAAAGGGTTCAAACCTCAAAACTTTGCAACGTTGCTGTATAGATTTGAAGAAACAAATGGCAAACGATGTTTTTGGAGCGAGGAAGACCAAACACTCAAATGGCAAGTCGTGACCGAATGTAACACGACCTACTAGATTGATAGAAATACAGAAGGACAAGGGAAAGGCGAAATGGGAAGATAAGTGGAGATGGGAAAGCTCGAATATCACAGAAGTTGTAAACCTAAACTCACATCTCACTGGCGCAAAAGTTCATTTTTGGCGGTAACATTTCCTGGCACATTACATCAGCATCAGGATAAAGATGCTCAGATAAAGATGTTGCCACCAGTGGTCGCACGTGAAGTGTGAAGAACTATATCCACAATGCAGTAACATCCAAATCCTCTTCGTAAATGATCCCAGTCCGCGATTACACTACAGAAGTACGCTGTCTCCCTCCATCAACAGACCTGAGTCTTCGCTGTCCTGCTCCTCTAAGGTGAAGTCTCAGACAGAGGAGGACTAGTAGACCACCCAATCTTGATGTGATTGTGGACGCTCAAGAGACAGAGTACTAAGTAGCAGCTGTAGCCCCAATGATCATCTACTCTCTTGCAGAGGAACAATTCTTCCCAGAAGTACAGAGGAAACAATCTCTCTAGTTCTCAATCCAGATTTCCGTGGTCTCTCTAGTCAGTACAGAGAAGTTTCTCTAGAAGTACAAAGAGTCAATCCTGATAACAAACTACGACGAGTATGATCTCAACATCTCTAATTTACAACTATTTATGTTTCTGCCGGCCATCGCAGTCACTTCTGTGGCCTTTGCCGTCTCTCTCTTCATCTCTCCTTTCTCGCAGAGGTGGACATGACTCTTCTCGCAGTCACAGAGACATCCTAAAGACTCTACTTCTCCCTCTGCTTCCCTCAAGCTGCCATATGAGAAATATTGAAGTTGAGCCAACATCTCCATGATAGGAGTATGATCTTCTTCTCTACACGACCTACAGGGTGTAGTGAACACTCGGCAAGATGTTCTTCCGAGTCCCAACAACAGGCTCGGTGTCGGTAACTGGGCATGTGGACATCGCTGCACAGCTCAGCACCATACGAGATAGCAGTAAAAAGAGTCCGTTGCTATGATTACTGATGTCCAAATACAGTTACAGAGCTGCGGTCGCGGTTTGTGGGGATCATGGGTATAATAATACATAAATTCAAATGGTTATGGTAATGGAGGGGTGGAAAAATAAAATTGCGGATGTTGTGTAGACGTAGAGGTGCTGGGCACACAACCACATCAACTCCAGATTGATGCTGTAGTGGGTACCTCACAAGGTTGATCTCACATTTCCTGTTGTAATCCCGCAGCAACTGTTTCCGGGAGTAGCCTTGCCATTTTCAATCCAGTTCCCATATCCAATTTGACATCTAAGCCAGCTGGTATTATCATCTCTGGAGGCACCACTTTCCACTCTCTCGTTGGCTCGAAATCGATGTGTCCACTCATCTCTGGTTCGCGCACGCCATAGATTAGAGGTAGGAGGAAAGATTGAGCTTGAAGATACGCTTATCTTGATGAACAGTCGTGGTTAGAGTAGCAGGTCGAAATAATGAATGCTAGGAGTTGACAGTTGGCGTTTCTAGCTTGCATATCTAAATCTATGGCTTTCCTACTTGAAGAAACCATAGAGATGCGCGTAGAGATGTCAACTTCCAACCCTTAAGAAAAATGAATGAAATAATGACTGTGCCTAGCAGGAGGTGTCTGCAGTGCCTCTCATGAAGAAGGGATCTTCAATTTACAATCATGTTGATGTAGTTCTTGACGATCAAGATAGAACATGAAGCTCCTCAAGAGTAAAAAGGCAGAAGCAAAATGTAACCCGACTTGTTCCATAACCACAAGTGTGCTGTCCCGTCTCGGACGACGTAGCGTTCATCTTTGACGTGATACCCCATGATCTTGCACAGTGTTCCTTGCGCAACATTCGTTACGTTATACACCCGGATCATCTGCCCAACATGGAAAGGGCTATCAGCCGGAAATGTCAGCGAAACTAAAGGCTCATGAGGTTCTGCGTGACTCTGGTGATTCCCGCTTGGATGCTGATTCCTGTTCGGCGGGTGCTGGTTTTGAACTACATGTTGAACTAGATGATGGTCTCCTGCAGCAACGACAGACCTTGGCTCCCGCACTTCTAAATAAGACTGCTCGCGGCCATTCTCGTACTCCTTTACGGCCTCATGAGGAGGCGGGGCCTCAAGCATTTTTAAGTGCTGGTCTTGAGGAGCAGCCATGAATTTATTTTTTGTAGTCGATGAAAAAGAGTCACGACCATAGACGTGCGAATAATTGAACACGATCAACCAGAAAAGTAGTGACAAGAAATAAGAAGTTAAGGCAAACCTCCTCATGGTCTTGAAGACAATGCCATATAACTTGAGGAAACCCAAACGGTGCTTTTCATGGAACTTACTACAACGATGATGCTACGGAGTCCACATTCTGTTGTTAGATAATAGATAGTGTCACACAAAAATAAAAAAGATACGCTTGTTGTATGATCACCAACACCGAAATTCTCGAATAACTAGAAAGGTGCGTAGTACCTACAAGCAAGAACCTGTGAAAAAATGAAATAACAAATTGATGTTGAAGATTGCGCATCAAAGCAGCATTTTCATGGGATCTTCCCTAGTGTAGAAGATGCGCGAAAACGTCTTCCATCTCTACACATCTACATTTTCGCAATATTGAGTAAATCACCATCGCATTCGCATAACTCTAAGGAAGGAACAATAATTGTTCTCTCTCTCTCCCTCTCATCTCGCTTACGCTTTGTAGAGGAACGAGCTCTGTATTATGGGATCTTACTCTCCAATTTTCTTGGATCTTGTACCTCTAGGATCTTCGAAACCTTTTTTCTTGGAGGTTGAAAACATATCAGACCGAGTGAAAAAGCCTTGCTGAAGAACATCATACTCGAAGGAGTAGAACATGAAGACGTCCTTGAACATCATAACTAAGCACTCAAGCGGAACTGCTGTCCTTCATCTTTTCATTTGCATAATTAATTAACATCATCCTGCTCGAACACACTGACGAAGAAGATCTCCTCATGACTTCTTCTGCATGGTATTAATCGGACTTCTCATATCAAACAAAGAGTAAAACCTAGTCAGCGACGTATAAAAATGGACGACTCAAGTTATCATCTGACGCCCTGCTGGAGGACCAAAACAAGCCTGAAAATCTATTCAAAAGTTTTCGCGTACAGGAAGACCCTGCTGAAGAGGACGGAGTGCGGCTTCGTACGGGCTGGACCGGCTTCGCGGGATCAAGTTCAACAACAACTTTACTTCCACCAAGAGCTGGAGCGCCGGAAGTAAAGTTGCACTTGCAACTTCTGTTAAGCAGGTCAAAAAAGAGACGACCACGAGTAGGAAGAGCAGGTAGAAGTACGTCTCAGATACTGGCATAGCCGCGCCCCCGTCGAGGTAGTTTTCAGTATATTTATTATATATAACCTTGAAAATGCTGTTCTTGCCACGTCCTGGTGCGCCCAACATCATGACTATCATCGTTCTGATACTTGCTGAATTGGAGATTATATGCGCTTCTACCTTGCTGCAAAATCCTCTAGTAATGCCACGCTTGCGATTCGTGTAGCTTGTCTAGCGCCATTGAAAACTCGTTAGGATACTCGTCAGGTCATGGCATTTCTTCAGAAAAATGTTGAAAAACGTCTTCTCTCGTATCTTGAAGTTGAAGACCCAGGAATATTAACAAGTAGAAGCACAACTACCAGTTACAGCACTAGCAGATGACGAAGAAGACGCGCCAGTGACGTCTAAGTTCGCGGAGTGTCTCTTGTTGCGTGATCTGGGATCTTCATGTTCTGTGGTCTTTGTCTTTTATGCTTTTCAGAAATTGTGTTGATCAACAATTTTTACACGCTCATGTCCACAGCAATATTGATAAAAGTTTTGCTTTTTGACAGCAATACCGATGAAAGTTTTTCTCCCGAAAATCTACTTACTCGACTGCGCAATCTCCAAAGGGCGCTGGACGACGTCCGTTTTATCTGCCTGTAGGCAGTCGCAGGACTCGGCAGACATTTTTAAACGTCGAGTATTGTATACAGTTGTATACGACTCGTTGGTGTGCACTGAATCAAGGCATAACGTCTGTTTCGGGGTTATGTAGAAGAGGTAAAGGTCTGGCGAGGAATTACAACCATTTTCTATTTCTTCGAATATTAGGGACGTCATCATCAATGAATTATTATCGCATCGGACACCGTCTCAGTGAAGTTTTGCCACTCCTGTCCACTTTGTGATTGGCGCACTGCTTTATGATCCATCCTCTTCTTCCTCGAGCGCTTCTTTTACAAGAATTGGATCTCAAAAACCTGCTCTAACTATCTTGTCCATCAACTACATCATCACCAAACATGTCGAGTCCGAAGCCGAACCCCCATGCACCAGCATCGGTATCTATCCTATTCATCTTCATCGTCATCGAACATGTCAGCGCATTCTTCACAGCTTGCGCAGGATCTTTGCGCTGCTGTCTTCGTCGCGCAGCTGGAAGAATCGAAGGCATCTTTCGCCAGAAACTTGTCACACCGGAAACAAAACCATGCGCCGTCAGCTTTTTCATCTTCAATAGCCGGACAGCGAAAACGGATACCACAAGGCTTACCACTTTTGAATACTTGGGAATTAGAAGAAGGCGTTGTTGATGTATGTGTAGATGGATAAGGATATTTATGGACTAAGTAGAGGGGTGAAGTTTTCGGTGTTGGTAGTTGAAGGCATTTTCAGAAAAGAATCACGAGAATGCGATTCTCATCGGTGGAGGTTGCACGTCGCTGAAGAATAGCGCAGCCTTAACTCGTTATTTTAGCAACACGTTATTATAGAGCAGAATTTTAGTAGAGCAGTACTAGAATGCAACCAGCATCCTTCCATCTATAACGCGTTGCTAAAATAACGCGTTAAGCCTGTCAGCAAGAACTACTTCTATATATAATTTCTCGAAATTCATGTCCATGTTGAACAATAGTACAACTGTAATCTACTCCATCCTTAATCGTTATCGCCGTTACAATCGCCTGTTTTTTTGCTGGTACTGCATTTGAATCCACCTCACTGATAACCCAGCCGACTTTTACACCAAGCTCGGCTGCATTTGCTGGTAAAGGGTGTACTTTGACAACGACATTGCGCTCGATATCCATACCAAGCTTTCCAACGGGGAATTGGGAAATTAGATCTGACTCTTTACTTTACATGGAGGTTAATAGGACGGATATCGTATTTAATAGTTTGAATAAGTACGCAATTCTGAATCTGGTGGTACTAGTTTACTATTCGTATTGAAGAGTTGTCTGATTCTCTGCTGGAATTACTTTGAACCAAGCTGACGAGATCATAACAGTAATTGTCGTATTTCCAGGCCATCCAAGTCCTCAAATTCTTGTTCTAGGTCGATTTTCCCCGCTCCTTCCCTCTTCTTGGCTCGTTCTCTTTCCTTCTCAGCTTGATTTTTCGCGTTAGCTTCCTTCTCAGTGCTTTTCTGCGCTTCGTGTCTGGCTTTCGCTGCCGCTATCAAGTGAGCCGTAGCATCGTAGGAATCCGATGGCTTCGAACTGCCGCCAGGACAAGTGCGTCGAATGAAGGAGAAAGTAAATAAGCATTGGGTACAGGAGGTTCTACCAGTAGTGAGGATCATCACCCAGTAGTGGGGATGAGCATTTCAGGGCGTAAATGTGCTAGGAAACCGTGTGGCGTGTAAGGACTTGCCAATGTTGGGCAAACAGTGCGGCTTCGTACGGGCTGGACCGGCTTCGCGGGCGGCAAATGTTCTCCTTGTATCAGATTTCTTTAGCGGGCACCATGAGTGGCGGGCAAATGCATCAATATTTCTGCTGTTACTCGAGGGCACTTCCGGACGCCAACGCATGATAGGCGGCGGGCTCGGGCAATGCTTTCGTCGGCGCAGTGTCACGCCGCCTGGCTAGCATAATAATTTAGCGGGATGGACGGGCAGCTTGCTGTGGGCGAAGTTTTTGTGAAGTTCCGACCTGCATCGTCACTTTTGACACTACTTTGAGTGTTCCCTTTCTCGCCGGGGAAAGATCACTTCTTCAATGCGCGAAGACATTGATCACCAAACAAAATTCAATGCATAAATACGTTGTAGCAAAATAGGCAGTAGTCGTACAAAAACAATAAGTTTGCATCCTATAATTACATATTACTCCATTACGTCATTTTCAACATGAGCATAAACTTATCCGGTCCCCGGCTTGTCGCGCCGCACACTGTGCAGAGTAATCGGTCGTCTCCTATTTGCTTCTTCATGGTAGAAGTAAGACCCATAGCCAAAAGCTCAGCTTTGCGGTCTCGCGTCGCAGCCATTTGAGCCTTTTGATCGGTCTTTTTAGACCGGGCATCAGCAGCACGCGACATTTTGTATAAAAAGGACTTGGAAGGAAACGGAAATCAATTACGACACAGGAAGGAAACGGAAAATAAGGAAATCTTAATGCTTCTAACGACGACTGATGAAGACGTACTAGGGGCTAAATTCGCAATTGCTAAGTTTTTCTCTGTAGAAGGCTACTGACGCACGGTTGATGAAACAATCGTCCTTGAATGACCCAAGTAGCTCTTTTATTCCTGTTGCAGGACGAGCCAAGATTTAATAAGAGATGAAACTGTTTCCTGGTGCTAGCAGTGGTCTTGTGTAGGTAGCAGTAGTGGTAGGTTCAGAGGCGGTGTGCTCGTTTTCCTAGGTAAAAAACGACTCTGCTAATAAATCTTAGTGGCGAAAGTATTCTTTCTCGTCAGATCAGAATCGGAAAAACAAGATGGCTTTCCTTGATCGTAAGAGTCCGGACCTCAAGAGTCCTAGAACTAATTCGGGCAAGAAAGTGTCAACGTGACGTTCATCCTCCTCGTCCGTTCGTGGCATTTCAAACATCATAGTAAGTAAGTGAACAACGACCGTGATCAGCATCTGGAACCACTGCATCAAATATGTTTTCGTAGTGAGGTTTCTTCAGTCGATTCTTTGGTGTGTTCATCTTGGTAAGACAGAGTGAAACTTGCTGGTTTGCGAATTCCGAGACAGGCATAGCCTTTTGCAGCTCTCAGGACTGGGACAGTCCTGCGGACATAAAAAAAGCTTCTCCCTAACTTGGTCTCACCCCTGCGCACGATGACATCAACAAGTATTGACATTGAGCATCCCAAAAAACACCATGAAATCACACCCCATACTTTTGCTTCTTGTTTGCTGCCTCCACCACTCTTCTTTCATGTCCATCTCCTTCAGATGCAGATGCAGTTCTTTTGCCGGCCGCAAGTTTCTCTTCTCGTTTCCTCTTCATTTCTGCTTGTTTCTGCTTCAACAATGCCAACAACCTGGCTTTCGTGTCGACCGCTTGCGTCAGCGTCTGCGACACTGCTGGCTTGGAACTGGTGACATAATAATTAGTTGTTGGCGTACTAGCCGTAGTGGTTGCTTCACCTACAACATCGTTGCATGCTTTAGACTGGTGCGTTTGAGAAGCGTCAGCAAAAACTTTTGCAGCATTCGCTGGCGGTTTCGTTGTGATTGAAGATCGGCCATCGTCCATGCCCAGCTCCTGGGTCTGCTCCACTGCTTGCACTTCTACTGCACGAGGAGACGTATTAAATGCTTTCTCGCCTCTTGCCATCTGGTCCTGTGACAAAGACCTCGAACTCTTCATGATCCGTTCGTACTGTTGCATTGTGCTCAGAGTAACCTGTTCAAGTTCCCTGCTCTCGGCTTCAGATGGTTGACCTTCCGTATTGGCCCTTCTGTATTGGTTCTTCTGTGCTGGTTCTTTGAGCCCATTTTCATCGCCTCTTGAAGATCCCAGCGCTTCGCGTTGGGGCACGCTTTCGCTCCTCTTGATGTGGTCATTCGGAGTAGTATGAACACCATGATGTTGATCACTTTTCCACAAACCCGACGCAAACGCACGCCCTAGGTCAGGGTTTTCGGAAGAGGTGGACGCCGACGCTCTAGTACTGGTGCTATCTGCAATTGCTGTCGCAGTTTCTTCTCCTTCGGTAGGGTCCGACGCCTCCAGGGTGGGCACGGCAGAAGGTTCTTCATTTTTCGTTGCACTCTCCAGTGTTGACCTGGAACGACCATGTTTGTCATCAGTTGCTTCTGTGACTACATCTTCCATTTTCAGCTCTTCAGCAGCTGCAATCTCTGCTTCTTTCACCCTCAAGGCTTCTCCACTTGCCTCTGCCTCCAAGACACTCGTGTTCTCGGCAGCTGCCTCTGCCTCAAGTGCTCTCGCTTTCTCGGCAGCTGCCTCTGCCTCAAATGCTCTCGCTTTCTCAGCAGCTGCCTCTGCCTCAAGTGCTCTCGCTTTCTCAGCCGCAGCGAGCGCTTCAATTACGTCCTCGTCAGTTGTTAGACATGACTTGCTTCAGTTTCGTTGGTGAATTGTTTCTCGTAATAAAGCTTGAACTTGGTGCGTTGATCTTGATACCTACTTCAACCGACAAAGATACTCCACCTACTGATGCTTCCACAAAATCATTGCTTCCTCAAAATGTTCGTCCCTTCATAACTATTGATTACACATTGACATCACCTCAACAGGCAGATACTTCTTCTTCCGTATCAGCTCTTCATCATGTCCAGCCATATCTCTTCCAAAAGGCCATCGGCCGCTGTGCGGCCGCCAACTACCTTCGAAACCGTCTCCCTCCTCCAGTACGCGTCAAAACGTTCCAGCAATTTGGCTTCGGAATAGCCTGCGTCTCTCGGTTTTGCTGCTAGGAAGGGCACCTCGTAACCGTCTTTTAGCAAGTAGGGCACTTTGCCTATAATATTTGGTTGTACTACTTTGACGAAGTGAATGTGAACGTTCTTATTTTGAGATCCTCCCATTTAGTTTGTGCTTGATTTCCAGCAGAAAATGATTCGAATGGATGGTAGCCTGCGCTGGACATCGATGAACTACCAATCTCTACTTAACTTTGTGCCTTCCGCCGGAGCTGATTCGGCTAGTAAGTGGTAGTCTTCGGTCAAAAGGAACGTCACAAATTTCCTCTCTTCGGCTGTCGCATCTGTGTGGTGAAATTGGTTGTTTGATGAACCTTGTTGTTGGGTAGAATTATGCGGAAGACTTGATGGTGTGTTGATGGCCGAGAAGATATGTTTTTCTGTGTCAACATCTCTAATATCAACGATGTACATGTAACAGATTCTAAATATCAAAGTCGACGTGTATCGCAAAACTAAAACAACTTTGGATTTTCTAGAACCCTCTTCTTGGTTTTGTCTGGGACTTATTGACACCAGTTCTAGCACTGAACACGCTAGCTGGCAACACGGAGGTACACCAAGAATGCTATAGCATACCCTTCGTCCAACGAAGCAATAGAGAAAAGACTTCGGTGGATTTATGCAGGTTGCGAATCTGTTGTAGTGGAATTTAGATCTTAGATCTTAGAGAGAGATAGAACATAGTTTTAGATTTAGACTTTTAGTTTGTTTATCTGTAGCTGAATCTAAAAACACCCTCCTCTTCTAAATTTCTTCTTCCAAACGACAACTTTACCTCTTACTAGACCTTTTATCATGTTTGATCTTTATCCGGGCCATAATGACACTCACACCCATACATAGGACAATGGGAGGAGCAACACGAGGGACACCGTTTTCTTCTAGCATACCCGTCGTCCACAAGTGGCATGAAAACGATACCAAAATAGGCGTCGTAGTGGCCACAAGTAGATTTATGAAGGTTGCGGAATAGATCTTCAGCTTCCTATCTTGTTGCTTGAGAGATTATTTCTTTGAGCTTGAGTAGATTTTAAGGTTAAGGTTCTTCAGGAAATACAACGCTACGTCTACTAGGCACTTCCCAGGAGCTCACAGATGAAAGTCACACAGACACAGAAAGTACAAAATCCTCTACATGTTCGCATTTTCAAGCAAAGTAAAGAGAAATCTAAATTTACCTTCCAAGGGCAGAAACCTCTTCGGCGCACCGTCTTCAGCGAAGGCGCTCGGTGGAGGTAGGGATTCTGTTTTCAGCGCAATACTGCCAGGTGGAAGCAGCGCACCGTCATCTAACTCCAAGCCAAATTTTGTGTACACGTTCCCGTAGTTATCCCTTGCGAAAACACCAGCCTTCGAGTATCGTCTTAAGTCGCCTTGGTTGAAGGAGGCGGACCAGGTATACAATCTCGCATGTTTCGGCAGGTTATCGCAAATGTTCTCCAATTGCCACACCCGGTCTGCATCCTCCGACAAAGGTAAGCACGAGGCCTCCAGAAACGTTGCGACGTTCATGTCGATGGGGATTTCACCCAGATAGATTAATGATCTCAAAGGCACGGCGCGACCCGCTATGTCACGACGCTCTGACTGGGGGAGCATGGCTGAGCGACCTGAGTTAGAGCAGCACAGTGCCTTGTTTTCTTAGCTTCCAGCACCTGAATGTAAATGTATGCTGCAGGCCACGACCAGGTGAACTCAAAGTTCTTGGAAGACTAAGATTAAGATTAAGGGCAGGCTTCTGGCTTGCCTCCCTTTTCTGGCTTTTGTGTGCCAAGATCGCCGGAAGGCTGATCCCAGTGTTATCGTTTTATCCAACCACTTCCATCAAAAACGGGATTTCCATCTCTCGTCCATAAATGCCAAATTGTCCATGCAAGTCGAGGTAGTTGGATAATCCGCCGAGTCGTTACGATTTAACATGTCATTGAGCGGCAGGTCGTTCTCCAGACCGTGTCTCAGCACCTCACTGCAGTACTTCATGTAGGACCACTTTCGGGATTAGAGGTACTTCGCCTGCATCTGCAGGTCAACATCTGCGTAATATGATGTTGTATTCTAACAACGTTTTGATCAAAACGGATGTTGAAGCTGATACGTAGTAGCTTCCAACACGGAAGACTAAACTTACATCTTATCATGCTTGCATGCTTGCTCCTACATCAACGCTATCCCAATCTTCAAATTCTTACAACTTAAATACACACTTTCTATTTTCGCATTTCTCTTCATTCATAATTATAATACACGTCCTCCTCCAACATGCGCACCTTAGCCCATTTCGGCTTCTCGCGCCATCTTAAGGGCGCATCGTTGCTCTCCATCGCCCACTTTATCCGATTTCGTTGGGCAAAGTTCTTCACCCTAGAGAGACTCCCACCAACACTTGCATGTACCAAATCTGAGTACTGTAGAAGAGAACCCGTCATGCGGCACGTGCCCTTGCCGCCGCGGAAACGGGGACGAGAAAGCTCCATCTATTTGTTTTTGTTGTTTTGGGAGATAAGTAATTACAAGGAAGGTGGTTAGGACGTAGGAGGAGGAACAGGAAGCAAACAAGGATGGCGAAAAAAACCACACGGAGAAATTATACTTACGCCCTATGAAACAAAAGGTCAAAACTGAGCGCGCCTCTATCACAGATTAAACAGGAACCTCCTTCTGCGACACTATTTATAAAACTGTCGTTGAGCCATGCCCATGCATATGCTCAAATGCTCAAAGTTTGCCGTGCTTCGTTACCCGTTATGGTCTTGCCACCGGTTATGATTTGAAATCAATGCCCGCAAAGCTCTAAACCGATGAAAAAACAGGGTCCAGGTACTCCTCATGCACTCCAGACTCTCAAGTGGTCACAGACTACTGCGTCCTTCCCTCTCTAGCTCTTTTAGTAACCAGCGTCCGCTTTGCCCTGTAGCCGCGAGTGTTGACACTACTACCTGCCTCTTCATCGCCTTTTGCGGTACCTGCGCGCCTGTGCTTGCTTGATTTTCGTCTAAAGAACTTGATTGTGTTTCTTGGAAGACCTAAATCGCGATTGCGTTTTTCTGTGACCATGACAGACATCAATCTGCGGCTCTCGTGAGAAGCGTAAGAAAATCCTTGTGCGGTTGCGTAAGATAAGTGAAATATTGCGAGAAATGTGCGTTAAGAAGGATGCGCTGTGCGTTAAGAGTTCCTAGAAAAAGCGAAGGAGCATACTGTGCGAATGCTCCAAGAAGAGCAGGGAGTGCGCCTTGTTATAACAGCGTAGTAAGACTTCAACTACATCCTGCTACATTCATAGTTTAGGACAACTATTAGACCAAAGTATTTGTACAAGAACTACAACTGAGTCTACAAGAACATGTTGAATCTAGCAAGAGAGAGAGGAAGTTGACGCTAAGTGATGAGACCGACGTGGTGCCATCTTGATGCTAAAGCGAACTTCGCTTTCAACAACAGAGCAAAGAATAGCAACAAAGGAGCTCTGTCAACTACACTATTTTCGCTTTCAACAACAGAGCAAAGAATAGCAACAAAGGAGCTCTGTCAACACTATACAGAGCAAAGAATAGCAACAAAGGAGCTCTGTCAACACTATAATTTCAAGTCACTACACTATTTCAAGAGACTTGGCCTTCTTGACAATTCAGTATCCTTATCCTCCATCAATTTGTTATGCGCGATTTGCCTCTGCAGATGCTGTAACGTTGTGGCGGAATGCCGGTTGTTTGCCGCTCCTAAATCTTTCGGCTTCACTGTCAACAAGGCTTCGCGTGATAACATAGTGGACTCGTGATATCTTTGCCCTGAAAACCTATGTATTTTCGTCACGTCCTGCTGGCCTTCGATCTTGTACCCATGCTTCCCGTCTTTGGGAGGTCCTAGCTCCTGCTGCCAAAGCAAATTGCTCTCGTCATCGTCGCGGAAACAAGTTCCGATTAGAAGAACCGCGGGAGTGTAAGGATGCGAAGACTCTTTTTTCTTAGTAGTTCGTAATTCCGCAAAGAAGGACCTGCTATTTTTTAGTAGTACCTGCTATTTAGTAGTACCTGCTATTTAGTAGTACCTGCTATTTAGTAGTACCTGCTATCTAGTAGTACCTGCTATAATATAGTAGTCTGCTACATGGATCTAGAAGTTCTAGCACGACAAATGGGAAAAATGTAGACGATAGTGGATTCTCTGCCATAAGTATTTTGATACAAGCGCCATGCTGTGCTGCAGTGGTCCCACGCACATTTCCAGGATTGGAAAATCCCTGATGTCTTCGCCAAATGGATCGATCATTTCCCCTGCTACGCCCAATATGCCAAACAACACCACCTGCTGCGCCACTAGCAGGAAGAACGTTGTTACCCTGATGTTGAAATTAGTCATGGCGTCGAGAAAGCATAAGTAAGCGGGAAGATGACCGTGCTGGACGATGAAGGACTGAACAAAAATTAACTGAAAACCGTTGACGTTTCTTTACCACAAAATTCAAATTTCCAAACCGTTTCCGTCATAAGAATCATCATAGCGATATTCGTGTTTCAGGATGATGTTGAATCCCTAATATCACTTAAATCTATTTACTTGTATAACAAGAAAGTACAGTGACTCCCAGAACATCATTTGTCCCCACTGCAGCCCCACTCGCGTCGACGCGAAGGCGATCTCCAGGAGACAACTAATGCCCACTGTACTGCTCACCAAGTACGTGTAAGTCGGTGGATACTGCATTGCTACTAATGACCGTATCTGCTGACTTGCGTCTAGCATTTGCAGAATGTGCGTCATTCGGTTTCCGGTGCCAGGATCCGATATTAAGCCTTTGTGGTTGGCGGCTAGCAGCACTCCCAAAAGCTTGATCGTGAAGTACTGGCTCAGATGTTCGCTATAGCCTTCTTTTTTCAGTTTTTGACACTCTGCTTCCGTAATCAAACCGTGAGACTTGTCGCCAAAACACCTTGCTAGCGGGAGGAAAAAACTCCGAATTAGAGCTCGTTTTTGGATCTTTTTTAGCTGTACGTGTTTCTACCCAAACTGTAACGAGGAGAATCCTTGAGCCTGACATCTTGACTACGCGTTTCGGCTGGCGGGTGGGCGAACTGTACGTGGAACAAAGTGTTGAACTACAACTACAACGTTGTTGATCCACTACAACTACAACGTCGTTGATCCCGTTCCCGGCCTTCATGTTAAATATATATTGGTACTTACTAGTGCCCTTGTTCATAAGTTAACAGGGTAGGTTTCTTTCGCAGTGCAGAGGAGAACCATGATTCTTGCTAGATGCACACACCGAACTTCCTCTTTTAGGCACTCCGGATGCTTCCGAAAGTCCACCAACGCTATTCCTATGGCCTGATCCGTGATGTCGCTCATATTTCGACATGCATCGTACATTGCGTAATACCTGGAAGTTTTAAAGGTTGGTCGTTGATGTCTACGAGGGCGCATTGTACTGGGCTTTTGAGGTGGTGCGTAGCGGAGGTGGTAGTTGTTTATCTGATGTCGGGTCACAACTACTTTGAAGATGAACAATTATAGATGCGACGTGTCACTTTGTGGATCCTTTTCGGTGACGATGCGAATCCACTCGGCAATCTGCCGAGTGGATTTCCCTCGCGGCTTCTGCTCAATATCTACAAAGGAGTCAATACCTCTTAATCGCCGCATTTACGTAGAAGACCACGAAGAAAATGGGCAAGATAGTAGCCAACATTTCTGGTACGTAGTCGGAACCATTCTCACCCCAATCGTTACACGTTGCGTTAAGCTCTCTCCACGTGGACCCGTCATCCAACAGTTCGACTGAGAGAGCACACCTTTAGATTTGGTCGTATTGGTGAAACGCATCAATGGATGTTGGACCGCAAAATGAAAACTACCTATCCCTAGCACCAGTACCTCCATCTACAACTTAAAAAAAGCCCTAAAAACATGAAAAAAATGGGAGTACTGAGTACCTCAGCACAATGGCAAAGTATAGTCCTGCGGCCGGCACGCAGAAACCTCGGTTGGCGTAGACAAGGGTATAAACGTAGGCTGACGTCGCGCGGATCTTTATGAGCATCTCCTTGAATGCGTCCCAGAGTCTTACTTGCTCTTGCTCATGATCCGCAGCACTCGCCGCGACGGTTACGACTGATCTATTTGTGTGCACTCGCACTTCATCTAGTAAAATACGTTGTAAAAAGCCTGGGACAGTAGTACCCAAGTCTTCGCCTGACCTGTACAAGGTCTGCGAAAGAGCGGCCGACGCATCTTGCTGAGATGCTGAGGAGCCTTGCCTTGGTCTCTGTGCTTGTGGATGCATGTTGTTGGGCATAGGATTAGGAACCTGTTGTACTTGTTCTTGTTGAGGCTGTTGTTGAGGCATGTGCCCCTGCGCTTGTTGCGCGTGTCCCCCTACCATACCTGCCATCATATGCTGTTGCTGTTGCTGCTGTATAGCATTCTGCTGTTGAATCATGTTCTGCTGTTGCTGGATGATGTTCTGCTGCTGTTGTATCAGATTCTGCTGCTGCATCATTGCAGGCTGTGCCATCATAGTACCCGGTGGCATTTGCTGCTGCATTGCCATCATAGTACCCGGTACCATCTGCTGCTGAGGCATCATAGCACCTGCGGGCACAGCACGACCCTGCACCATCGAGTTTGGCTGCTGCATCTTCTTTGTCTTCGTCGTTATAAATCAGACGACGAACAATAACAAAAACCAGCCAGGCAAAGACGATCAGCACAACGTTCGAGATATGACATGATTTTGTTTATCTTGAGATAAGGTTGCGACATCCACATCCATGTTCCGAATACAGAATGAATTATGTTGTCCAGACAATAGGGATTCATAGGATGGACAAAGTCTGGCCCGAATTCATATAGTACTAGTAGGTTGACTTAGTTGGTAAAGTACTTAAAATAAGCCATAACAAGACGTGTGGTGTTCTCATTCATTCAATGGAGAAAGTGGGAAATTAGTGGGTAGAAAATAGGGGTGGACAACAGAGGGTTTACCAGAGGGACGCCGTAGCTCACAGACTCGCTGTTTCACTGTGAAAGTTGATGATCACGTCAATGACAGGCATGTTGGTACGTAGAAGAAAGATATCCACCTACAGATGACATCAGTGGTGCGTCGTGCACCACACACTCGCCTCTACTCGAATACAGATGCTTCTGGATATCTCTCATGTAGACCGAGCATCAACAGATGAACTTCTATACAGAGTGAATGAATGAATGAATGTGCCTAGCAAGAGTGTTTATTACACGAACACGAATGCTCATCTCTCCAGCTGCTCTCTGTCGAGACATACTTGATCATGTGCATGATGACGCGCGGTATGCAAGCGCATTCAGGCAATATTATCTGCTTCTGCCTTGTTTCGCGTCATCAGTTCTGTACTAGTTGTATCATCAGCTTAAGACCACTTGTAAAAAAATCCGCTTTACTGTCGAGTTGTAGTAAGACCACTTCTAAGCCCACTGAGTGGAGGTAAGAAGACTATAATCGTCATTTTTGGGGATGCGCACGGGGAAGACACGGGATGCGCACTGGGATGGGGATATTCAGGGACAGGGGTGAAGATCTATGTCAGTCTGCAGAATTTGGCGATTGCTCTAACAGTGGTGACGCTAACATTCCTCCAGGTGCTGAGGATGATGAGGATGTTGCGCCAACTGTTGCACCAGGCGCCAATGGAGGTTGCTGTTGTCCTGAACTGGTTGCTGTTCCTGTTGTCCCTTGTTGAACACTGGTGCTAGAAGATGTAGTAGCTGCATTTGGATTCGGGATGGCACCCCCACCACCAAAATTGGAATCCGGAAGCGAAGCTAAATCGCTATAGACTGAGTCAGCATCATTGTAGAATGTGCGTGCGATTGCATCGTCGTCATCACCTGGTCGCAACGCGTTTCGACGTTGACGTTTTCTCACGGGAGCCCAAGAACGTTCGGATTCGTCGTCATCTGTAGGAAAATTAGCCACAACCGAGTCTGACAAAACATCCCGCTCAGATCCAGATTGCATGCGCTTGCGACAGAGGAAGGTGGCGATGGCGGAAGGGAGGATGAAAGTAGAGGTCGTGGAATCAATGTTTATTATAAGAGGGATAGATGTATTGAAGTGTGAAAAGTAGCTTCAGAAACGAACCTCGCATGTGCGTGTGCTGCTGCTGCTGCAACGACAAGCATTATTAACACGGCCTCCGAACATGAGGCTGTTCCTGCAAAAATCACATGATTATTATCCTGAACTCTAACAGTCAACACAAGTCATAATCGAAGCATCGTTATTATCCGACGTGTCAGCGTTGTCGACACTACTGGATTCGCGACTACCGGTTGTGCGCTTATTGGGCAACGCTTTGCCAGCAAAACTGGCCAAGGAACATACTTCACGCTGTTGAATGACACCGGAAGACGATGCAGACGCAGTTCCTGTTTGGGGTTGGAGCCCGTGTCCGTGCCCCTCTCCAGCTACTGGCTGACTCACAGGCGCTTCTCCTTTGTCAAACAAGCGTTCCCCACTGAGTGAACGAAGACTGAATTCAATATCTTGGTCAGATGTTGTCCCTGGGGTGTTCGCAGCTCCAGCATTAGAAGAGAGGGAACGATCATCCGACATCTGAACGTTTAGGTTTTCAGCTAGTAGTCCTGTCCCTGTGCTGTTGTTGTTGTTGTTGTTCATTGGAGTATTCAGATTTGTTGTTCCCAGTGGAGTGGGTCCTAGACCGTCGCCTCCATTAAGTGGAGCAAAAGACCCTGAATTCATCATTGACCCTCCGGGAGGGCTCTTTTGAGGACACAGCGGTGGGCTGATCATCCTCGACAGCATCCCTTTACCGGGAAATAAGCTAAGATGATGACTTTGACCGCTAGTTGAATATGGAGTACAATTATTGGAAGAAGTTGTAGTGCTCGTACTACCTCCTGCAAAACCAAGATTAGGATGCTGTATTCCAGAGGATCCCGATAATGATGACAGAACCCCGGTACTAGTGGTCCCAGTTGTCGGTCCCAGATGTCCTGTTAGCACGTTGTTTGCGTTATTCATTGCACCAAGCGCGTCGCTAGAACTACTTCCAATATGTGATGATAAAGCCCCCGCCATACCTATCTGCGCAGACGATGCGATGTTTGAGGAACTAGAAAGTCCTTGTTGGGGAAATGCAGCACTTGGTCGGTGAAACGAAGAGGTGCTGGCGGCATGATCACCACTTCTAGAAGTTGTACTACAAGCACGCAGTAAGGGACCCATGTTCATAGAAGTAGTAATGGAAGATGTTCCACTCGAAGGCGGAGGCTGATGTATTCCTACTAGAGCAGAAGAAGAAGTGCCGGTCGTGGTTGACATCTGAATGCCAGCAGCGGGTGACAGAAAGCCGGCTCCCATTCTTGACGCTGGCGGGGGTAGAGAGGACGAGGACATGCTTGAAGAAGATACAAGTCCCAGACTCAAAGGAACACCTCCTCCTCCAATTCCGGAAGATGTTGAGCTCGAATTTGAGGATGTTCCGAGTCCACCTATTCCACCTACTCCAACACCTTCATCCAACCCCAAGTTTGCACCAGAATAGCTTTGGGACTTCCGACTCCGTTTATGCGCGTCAATTCCCACTCCATGGGCGTTTAGTTCTTCCTCTGGTGGTAGTTGCTCGTCCTCTAAGATAGTGCTCATTAGTAGATTTGCTCGTCCTCTCGACGTTGTTCCTGGTTCATGACCATCTGGCGAACTAGAGCCCTCTTCTTCTTCGTCTACAGCATCCTGCTGCTGAACAACGTCACCGGAAGAAGGCTCCTCTCTTTAGACGACCTCAGTTATCACTGGAAGAGAGCATCTACTTTGGCGTGCTTTCCCCTTTAAGTAGACGGCGCCAAAGATGCTCCTTCTTGAGATCAATTAATACTACTTCCTTGTAAGCCTTAATCACTGTGCAGCAGAATGTTCGTCGCCCAACTTTCTTCCAACTGCATCGTCGATCCTTCAGAGGACGCTGCGAATAGGGGTACCGAACCCCCGAAGGCATTATCCATGATTCCTAAAGAAGAGCTAGATGTGCCAAACAAGCCGGGAGAGGAACAAGGTACTACTGGGATACTAGGTTAGATGTACCGACACCGGCCCATCTACTTTCTTAGAACATCTTCTCTCAGGAGCTGTTTTCAACTAGAAAACGGCCCAGAAGAGATACTGTTGGAGAAGGAGACGGGTGGTCGGCGTTACCCGTAACTAGAGGCGGTTGCGAAGGAAGTATTGCCAAACGGGGAAGATGAAATATTCATGCTTTGAGAGGAGCTACTACTTCCTCCACCAAATATCCCTCCTGAGGGACCTCCTGCTGCACCACCGAGACCAGTTCCTTCACCAATCTGTAATGTAGAAGATGACGTTCTTGGCGACGCTTGACTGGCTACGAGCACGGAATTGTTCAGCGAAGATGCACAGATCGGGGCACTCTGGCTATTATTTTCAAGTTGTTGAGAATGAGATAGAGATTGACTGGCACCACTAGGCATGATTCCTTGAGTAGCTGTTCCTGGATTGTTCCCTAACAGTAGCATACTGCTGGCACTCCCACCGGCTGTACTTGGAGCAAATGCTGAACCTGCACCACCAATGGCAGATGTCGAGGCTGCATTGTTGAACGACGTAGAGCTAGAGGATGTAAAATTCATCATAGTCATTGAGATTGACGGTGTCGTACTGTTGCCAGTGCCACTGCTATCTACCGTGACAGTACCAATTCCTGTCGCATTCATGTTAGCACTACCAGCAATACTCGAAAACCCTGGCCCCCCTGCACTGACAACGGAACTCGCACTTCCACTGCGGCTTCGTGGTGTGTTGGCCATCTTCAGGAAAGTTGCGCTGCCCACACTAGGGGTTGAGGATCCGGGTAATATCGCCATTTGCCCACTCTCGTAGCCAGCGGGATAGCCCATTGCGGCACCACCAAACCAACGAGGGCTAGGTGCCGCACCGGCTCCGGAGGAACTGGCACGACCGCGACTGGTGCTTCGTCTCCTTACTTTGCTGCTGCTGCCGGGTGCGAGTCGAGGAGTCGCGATGGACCCTGCACGCCGACCACGCCTTGAAAGATGCGAATTGTAATGGGAACCGTGGTGCTGGTCTTAGATGAAGCAAGAATGATGTTGATACAATACAATCAATACAATTAATCAATCTCGCACAAAGTTCAGTGCAGACTGCCTTAACACTGTGATTTTTTTAGACGTAAACCTTGAGAATTCAACAACAGAAACTTTTCCATAACCACGAAGAGCCGTTGACAAGTTTCACTATCTATTAAATATGAAGAACTTCTGCATAACCACGAAGAGGCGGCGACAAGCAGAAACCACTGAGCTTCTGGGAGTTCACTTGCTTATCTCTGAGATCCGGATCCCGAAAGTCCTGTGTTCCCCTACCTCCTGTGCCACTACCAATAGTTGTCTTCGAAGAAGGGATTGCTCCACCTGCTCCACTGTTCAAAAAAGTTGCAAAAGTACTAGAAGAACTATTCATATGTGGCCCTCCGCCTCCACTAGGTCCTCCCGTATTAAGACCCCCTGGAGGACCTGGTCCTCCTGGTACAAGAAAAGAACTACTACTAGAAGAAGAGGGAGTCGCTCCAGCTGCAGATAATGTCACTCCTGGTCTATTAAAACCAAGAGAAACCCATCTTGAGAGTCACCTTGGTTCGTCCCGTTTTCCCTATAAAAACGGGATGAAGATGCTGGGGAACAAGATGCATATCTTTTGACAAAACTGACCAAGAATTGTGGCCTTAAATCTAGGAAGAGGAGTAGCTGGGGGTGGCAGTATAGGAGGTGGCAGTATACTCATGTCCCCTACCATGTTCGCTGACGTCCGAGGTGCGCTGCCATCCGTAGGAGTGACTACGACAACCACATCAGTATGTAGGTTCCTCGTTAGTGTCGCTGTCACCTGTCGCTGTCCCCTTGAAAACCGGGGTACACCCATGGGGATTGAGGTGGAAAATTTACAATTAGCTACTTTGAGACTACGAATCTAGCACTGAAAACCTGCGATTTCTCTTGATCAAAAAAGGGAGATTTTCACTATCAACACTACCAAGGCAAAACGCGGAATCTCATGCGGATTCGACACGATTGCGAGCTTCCAAAAGTTTCAACTTTTACAGAAAAAGAGAACCGAGCTTCTTACGCTGTCCAATTTTGGACAGGACTAGTACACGCGACGCCCCTTTTTCCCATGTTTTCAAGGGAGAACTACAGAAAAAGAGAACCGAGCTTCTTATACTGTCCAATTTTGGACAGGACTACACGCGACACCTCTTTTTCCCATGTTTTCAAGGGAGAAACTTCCGCTCTCATGAAGATGAATGTCGAACACGATCGAAGATCCTCCGACGCATGCCTTCTACCAGCGGACGAGAGACCAGCACCACATGGCGCGGCAGCATACCCGGCTAAGTGAGTACCTGCTAGGACTTACGAGAGAAAGTCCAGCGATAAAAAACTCAGAGAGCGAGAGGCAAAACCCTCAGTCGGCGACAGCTTGGAGAGATCGGGACCGCCTCAGCCTCGAGCAGGAGTTTGCTCTAGACATAAGCACAAGGCCGCTCAAGCAAAAGAGACCCACAGCAGAGCCTACCTAGGCGTCATAGAAAGAATGGCCACAGCGACCCTCCGTCTTAGAGGTCGACCACCCGCGAAGCAGAAAGCCACGCCGCCTTGCAGGTGAGCGTAAGCAAGTAACGACGCCCAAGACACAAGCCAAGATAAAGCGAGGCGGAGGAGGAGCATCGCAGCATGAACAGAGAAGCAGTCCAAATACCTTAAAGCGAGTACGACATGACCTAATACTTGCCCGCTTCACTTATGTGCTCTTCCAGCCATAGAATCTAACCTGAGCGCACGCCGATAAGGCGCAGCGGAAGACGCTGCAAGGTATTCAAAAGCTCGAAAAGTTCCTGCGCGGATAGCTATCCAGATACTCAACATTTCTGCAGTGATGTGTTTGCGAAGCGAGGAACTTCAGCCACCGAGCCCACGCAAGAGGCTACCAGAGCAGATCGCTACACGCATAGCCATGCCCCTTGTCATGTCGCGCCACCTCTTATGGTGTCACTTTTGAGGCCGTTTAGCCTTCACGCACCTCTCTACTCGAATCCACTTCATCGAAAGAATAGGAAGTGCACGATGATCAATAACAACAGCACTCGCCAATGATGTCCATATTGTTCCTGAGATAAATTTCCTCAGTTTCATGCGGTAAAGTGCCTTCTTGTGATCAAATTGTTCTTGTGATAAAGTTCAAACTTTTCTTGTGATAGGGTTCAAATTGTATTGCTCTTGTGATAAAGTTCCAACTTTTCTCGTGATAGAGTTCAAATTGTTCTTGTGATAGAGATTGCCTCTCAACTCCTTTGCTGTAGTGGCACAGCTGTCCAACACGCAATCATCTTTGTTAACATTCGAGCAAGCCCACCCCCTGCCCCTGTCCGGCTTCCGCTGGTTCACGCAAGTCGCGTCGCCTCCAAACTTCCGCAAACCAACGCGCACCACACCCAGCCATCCGGCTGCTTCATGTTAGAAAGATCAATGAATGTCTGTCACGGGCAGCACAGTGAAAGTAAATGTAGACTCAGAGCGAGAACACCAAGCCACGGACGGACTCACTGAAAATACTGTTTATAGTTCTAGCATCCTCACGCTGCCGTAGGTCGCGCCCTCAATGACAAAGCGGGCCATTCGTAACTTATCAGATGCGTCAGCGCTCTCACCCTAGATGCACCAACCAACTGGAAACGCCTCCAATCTTGCCCGCCAGACTAATGACTTCAGCGTCGGGGCGGTCAATCTCCACAACAAGGCGCTTCAATTCTTTCAGGAGCGCCATCTTCACCAAGTCCTTGTCGCCATCGTATCGCTTCAAGCAAAATTAGAGGCGTCTGCCAATGAGAGCCAGTCGTGAGTAGGATGGTTTCTCTTCAACATACACACAAGGACCAAGAGGCTACGCTTGCTTCTCAGCCAGTCTATGGCCCTAAAAACCAACGACAAAAAGTCTAGACGTGCTCAAGTAGCCTGTAACTATGCACCATCCAAAGGCTAAGCAAGTAATCCAATCCACACAAAACTTAAGACTTTCTAACTGTATTGCTGCCCTAGCAGATCATTACAGCAAGCAAGGCACGGCTTTTTTCGCTGTCAGCCACAGAAACGCCGAGGGCTTGTAGTTGGCGTCGCAAGTGCCTCGGCTCGCTGCACACCAGCTCCGAAATCATTCGCGTTACCTTTGTTGCAGTTTCAGGCACATTATGCTGGCGATTGCCATAGGAGCGACTGGTTGCCATGCGGATGACATGGATGCGATGTAGCCAAGCTATATTTTTCTATTCATCTCATAACACGACTAGAAAAGTAACGCGCTATACCCACTAGAAGACAAAAGCAACATAGTAGCATACGATTCTTCAGTTAACACCTTGCATGGACCCTTCACCAACGGGTCCCCCTTCTGCTTCTGCGCCTTTGCGTCTTGCGGTGCTGGTTCTTTGCGCGGCAGTTCCTCACAAGCCGGAGAAATGTCGAGAGAGACAAGATCAGCACCAAGCCCCGCCGCGGGGGTAGTGTGTTTGGCGCTGGCGTCTGCTTTCGGCGCCTGCTTCACTTCTGCGCCAGATTCTTGGCCCAGATCAAGGCGCACGACGAGATTCCCCATGATGTTTGAGTCTTGACTGTGCTACCTATGCGTATCTATGTACCAAGCAAAAGGCGGAAAAATTTCAACTACTTTGTTAGTTACATAATTACACGCGAGAGCTAGCGTTTTCTTCGTCGTGTTTTGTGTTCCTCAGGGGAAAATTAGCGGACAAACCCGACGGAGAACAAAGGCATCAGGCCAGCGTCATCATAGGCATAGCCTTCACTCGTTTCTCTCTCGTTGTTCTACCAAATGCCGACGCTAGTCAAGAGGCACGACTGCAAAACAACATCACCCCGCTCCCATTTCATTCATTAAGCCCGCCGCACTTTCTCGCGCAGCACAAAAAAGCCTCCACGCTCACGCCCGAGCGCATTTGTCTACGAGAGCGAGACACGCCCAGCCCATGAAGGCGATCCTGCAGCTTTTTCAAGAATAATAGCTCAGCCTCTTCAGACAACATGCAGGGAGTTCTCGCGAATCATGGCAGAGCGAGGGAGCCACAAGGGGCGACTAATCTTTCGCGGCAAGATTAAGACGAATCAAGATCCTTTAAGAAAATTCCACACTTAAGGGAACGAAGACGCAGAGCCTTGCAAAAATTGACTAGGATGCAAAAAAGGCCAAGACGCTGCATGGAATGAGGTCAGTAAGTTCGTCAGCAAATGACGCCAGTACGTTGATCACCCTAGATAATTCCAACTCAGTCGGTGCCGCGCTCTGAATGCGGCGACTCTAATTCTAAATTTGGTAAGACTGCGCGGCATGATTTAAAACAGTAGAAGCTACAACTACACCGCCTAAGGGATTAACTGTAACTCTGGCGGGTGTGCTATCGTTAACATTGCGCCGCTCTCCCTTTTTTACTTTACAGCAATGAGCTGAGTGTAGCCATATGGACGCGATGGAGATGAAGCGGATGGCGCCATGGCGAAAGGCAATGAATGCGCGCAGCGTTCTTTGGCTACGAATCAAACAAAAACGGAGGCACAGACGAGGATCACTTAGGCAACCCGAACGATATAACGAAAACGATCAGAACGAGGCCAACAAGCTGGCAGAGCGACCTACTCAGCAAGCTGAGGCAAGAGTGGCCGAAGAACGGCGCCAAACCATCCAGAAGGACGCGCCTCAAGTGAGCACACTAGTAGAAGGCCCCCGCGCCTCAAGTAAACGCGGCGCCCTGCCTCTTTGTGTTAAGTCACACCATTAGCGCCGAAGCTGTCCGGTTCGTAGCTGATGAACACGCCTGCGACCTTCGGCCCTGTTGGATTAAGTCGCGCTACTTAATGTCTAAAGCCTTTAACCCCCACCAGTTAGCACAGACAACTAGCCGCAGAGTTATAATTAATCCAAATAGTCTAGCTCTAAATAATCAAAAACAAGCAATCGGCGAGGCAATCTAGATAATCTAAGCCCATCGAAGAGGCGCTCTAAGCTGCCACCAGTGTGCACCGTCTTAATCTAAGTCAAAAAGTCAATCGGTAAGGCAATCGAAACTGGCACCAATTAGCACCGTCTTGATCTAAATCAAGAAAAGCCAATCGAAAGCAATAATAAGTCGCCGACGCATGAGGCAACCTAAATAATCTAAGTCTAAACTGAAGGCCCTCTGAAGCAGATCACGCGAGGCACGCCTCGTCGACGCGCCGCGAGTAAACACGGCCAAGAAGGGCCAGAATGTGTAAGCCCAAGCTGTTGAGCTCTATGCCATCAGCCACTGACTCTGCGCCCCAACTAAACACAGCCAGAGTAAAGTAATGCGTTAAGTCAAGCTCTTTACGTCTACCAGCCACCTCTGCGCCAAGGCCAACAAAACATAGCCGCAGTCTCTAAGTACCAACATCACAGACGTGCGAAGCCGAACGATTTAGATTGGCTGCCCATTATATTTTACACCAATATCGCAGCACCCTGCTAATTCAGAGTAGTTTCTTTGTGCCTCTATCTAATCTGACCCGGGTCAAGTGTGTAATCTCCGTGGGCTCTACTGTGTGACGCTTAGCATTGTAGTGCAGCCTCTACACCACCTAACCCCAGTGCAGTTTCTTCGCCTAATCTAGGGGACCACCAGACCGCGCGCGCAGCCTTGGGGGCAGCTCTTTCCCGGAAATCTTCTAGGCTCGCCAGACCGCGCGACGAGGATTAGGCTTTCGCCTTCCCTAAAACTGCTATGCGGAGGTGCCTGCGCTCTCCGGTTTGTCAGTATTGAGGCCTGCCCGTCTCAGGTTGTAGTTGCGGATCTGTCTCCTCCTCTGCTCTGATCTGGGCTCTTTGAAGTCGTTGACATCCTCAAAGCTGTGCACTTTTCTCACTGACTCCCAGCCGCCACACCTAGCGCTTTTAGTTTGATCATTGTGGGCGCCCTTGTCCATGTAGCGGAAGTTTAGCCGGCCATGGAACGCGATTGCTGACAACTGGTCGATAAGCAGGGGGCCGGCCGAGAGGATTCTTGTTATGTGCAAATTGGAAGACAAAGAGGACGCCGCCCAGTCTGATCTCCTCTGGCGCTTGTAGTACTGGATGTTCTGCGTCGTTGTCGAGAAGGATCCGTGTGGTCGGAGGCCAAGGCCAGTATCGTAATCGAGTAGCCAAGGCCGCTCGGAGGCATTCACCTTCTTAGCCAAGTCCTCGAACAGCTTCTTACCTAAGGCAGGAGGATCTCCGCTCCTCTTTCTATTCTCCTCAATCTTCAGCCACATGCACTTTTGTCGTGGTGTTAGTGCGGACTGTGGCTCTTTGTTCTTAGCCTTGGTGGCGCACGGCATTTTGGCACTTCTTGTAGTACGAAGAAGATGCTGGAGCTGTGCTATGTGTTAGGTCATTGCTGTTCTGTATCCACGTCGACGTCTTTTCAGATTGGTGCTGGTAGTAGTGCTGCTATTTCGCTCTGCAGCTAGTAGCCCAGTGAGTTCTTCTTGAAGTATAATGAGTGCAAAGAGCGAGACGCTGCGCAGTTAGTTCTTGCTATCTAGTTCCACTCGTTCTCCTTCAAGTTAAAGTTGTCATAGGTACTCTGCCAGACTACTGAAAATGTCTCGAGCTGTTAGACTACTGAGGAGGGAAGTAGCTACTGAGTAAATGGCATTTCGTCAAAGCTGAGTAATCTACTTGATGACGAACCAGAGCGGGCTACTGACCCCTGCGACGCTCTAGTGGGCGGCGTGTCAAATTAGCCACAGGATGAAGCTATGTGGACTTGTTTGACTTCTATTTTCTTTCTAGCGGAATGCCAGAGCCTTTATACTTTTTCAATAGCTTTCTATCTCTACAAAAGTAACGCTGTCAATGAGACAAGTTCGTAACTCTAGTTGTCTAGCTCTACCACGATAATTCGACAAATAAAGGCAACAGCTAGAAAGATAGTGCTACTTTTGTCCATCTTTCGACGTGTTAGCGTGGCAACCGCTTGTGTCTAGAGTTCAGCTATTAAGTAAGTACGTAGCACTTGGCTGATGTTGGCACGAGTATGAGTAGTCAAAACTTATCTACCCGAGAGGGGTCACAACTTAGTAGTCTCTTTCTCTTGTATTTGTAGACTAGGTCGGTCGACTAATGTAGCCCCAGTTCCCTGCTATTTGGAAGAAAAGTCGCTGTAGCCACATCTGAAATTTCTTTCATGCAAACAAAAACATAAGCCATGTGGATGAAATGAAATCGGATGTTGTGGCAACAGGCAATGTGTACAGGTGACTACGAACCAATCAAGAATGACACATAGAAAGCACGATAGGAAACCTGAATAGAAATCGCTATGCCTTAGATTATATGGACATGCTGACAGAGGACCACCTAGGCCAACGAAAACAAGGAGCACCAGAACGAGATCAAAAAGTTGACAGCACGCAAAGTTAGACTCGGACTTCAGAAAGTTGGGGCGATTTGATCAACAAGTTGACAATTACCATCACAAATTTTGCGAATCGAAGTACGGCTCGGACTTTGCGATCGAAGAACGTTGTCATTCATTCATTCACTCATTCATTCATTTATTCATTCATTCATTCATTCACTCACTCACCCATTCATTCTTTCATTCTTTCATTCTTTCATTCTTTCATTCATTCATTCTTTCACTCATTCATTCATTCACTCATTCATTCATTCACTCATTCTTTCATTCGTTCTTTCATTCTTTCATTCGTTCTTTCATTCGTTCTTTCATTCCTTCTTTCATTCCTTCTTTCATTCGTTCTTTCATTCGTTCTTTCATTCGTTCTTTCATTCGTTCTTTCATATGTTCCTTCATTCATGTTCGCAGTTCGGAATTTTTCTTTTTTGGAGCAGAATTCAGAATAGATCCAGAAGTTTGAGCTGTAACAGGACTCGTGAGACGTGCGTCATGAGTACGATTATGATGGCCATCTAATCGGAGTAGCGTTGACAAGTGCAACCACCACGAGCGCTAGCGCTAACCAAAATGATTGCTACGCTCAAGAATGCCGCCCGAGCTAGGCTATGAAGTAAAAGTATGAACTTGCAAGACGAAGTCACCTGCGAGCTTGATGTTGTTATGACTCTGCTCGACACGTGGTTTTTTATCTAAAGTGATGCATTTTTAACTGCATGCTTTTGCCATATGTTTTGTTCAGGAAGTGAAAAGTGTGCTGAGTCTTCAGTTAATTACCAAGTAGCCACACATTGAAGTTGCACGAAATAGAGAGACACTTGAAGCGGCAGAGCAAAATGCGCCGGCAGCATCCTAGTCAAGAATACGAGCGTAGGTGGAGACACTTCTAGATGAAATAAAACAAAATACATAGTGCGCACTTCGTCAACAAGGAGAAATAGCTGCTACAAAACGATGGGACAACATCAACAACAACGCAATACACGATAAGAACAAAGATGAATGACCATGATAATTCGTCGTATTTATTTGATCTAGCGCGACGGTGTGGCTGTGTCTTTACATATTAACCCAGAAATAACAAGACGGCACTTGCTTCACCGAAGCACCAACGAGGAATGACTGCAAGAAGTCACTTCATACACGAATAAAGCAGGTAGTTTCTGGGTGTGTCCCGTGATAGCAGCAGCTTCCAAGGAGTCCTACATATGTCAGTCGAGGAAGCGCCCCGTTTGATAAGATACAAAGCTAGCTGTAGCAAACCCAGTAGCTTTACTGTCGTGGCTACGTGAGTTCGAGCGCATGCTTGATAGAATTGGGCTGCAGAATTAGAGTTAGAAGCTTGATGTGTGTCGCCATGTGTAGAAAGCACTTCGCATATGCCATACCTCAATTAAAGATAAATACTCCATAGAGTCAGACTTGTTCGCCTATCATTTATCGACTTGCTCATTATTCAACAAGAAGCTACGGAGCGAGGAGCAGCTACAAGCTAACGCAAGTAAGGTCAAGAATGTACCCCGATAATAAGCTTAAGAAATGCCTCGACCCTAGTCTTACAGGTAAGAAAGTAAGCCCAGCACTCATCATAGTGCCATTCACTATTTAAAGTGGCCTACTGATTGGTCTACCGGGGGCTGAATGTGCACCCCATGAAGGATTACAAACTAATATCGCAACAAAGAAAAGGAAACGAATGCGAAGAACTAGATCTAGACCATCGTGGATATGTGGGCGCAACAGCTTTCACTGCACCGCTTCAGACTTCGATCGCCAACAAGCCGATAACTTAGCACAACCACGACTAGCTGCACCAAGATGAGAAGATGTCGCAAGTTATATCATCACTTTTTTCCAGTCGAAGATGAAGACGAAGGCATCAAGATCAGACTCTACTTTTTCAAAGAGAAACTACGAAGAGCCAACTTGTTACAAGATGAGGACAAAAAAACTGACACACTAACAAGCAAGATCAAGAGTAGAAATAGAGATACGAAAGCAGTCGGCACTATCACTACTCAGAGGCCCCTTGCTACTTGCTTTTGCTCTCCCTACCTCGACTACCACTACCTGCTTGTTATTCGAGCTCTGCCCCCAATTCATCTCAAAGTAGAAGCATCTTGGCGCCTTTATCTTCTTGCTTCCCTTGAAAGCGTTCTAGAACTTCTACCCCGAGATGCTCCACCAGATGAGTAAGGTGCTTCTTAAACTTACAATCTGGATGCCTGGATGATGAAAGTCTTCTACTACCACCCACCCTCAGAGGGTCTCACGCTGCTGTCGCTCCATCTTCAGAGCCGCCATCGATATCGAGAGACGAGGCGCTCATACTCGAGTTTAAAATTTTCGCCATTGCTTTGTAACGTCTGCTCAGCGGCCGCAGCGCTGGCCGTAGCGGACACTTGCACTTTTTGGTCAAGTGTCGCGCGTAGTATTCTGCAAATTTAAAAGCACATGACCACCAGTACGGTTCTTCTTGTAGTTTTGCACCATGTCCAGCCCCGTCGTAAAGTTTTCCCTTATTCCATCTGCCACAAAAGCACCAATCATGGTTCACCACGTTTCTCCATTGGAAGACGCCAGGGTCAACTTCTTCGGTTACCGGCTGGCAGAAGAGGTGGGTCTGCGTGCCGTTATTACGACTCACCGTGATTGTCGTTCTCTTCTCCACCACAACCTTCCTGCCCCCAACATTCTTCTCGCCCGCTTTCTTCACCAGAGCGGGCTGCTGCTGCTGTTTCGTCTTCGTGTTGTTCGTGGCTCTACTACGGACGGTGGTGCCTGCGGGTACATCCATATTGATGAAGAGCGCTGGCGGCGCGACCTTGCCTCTGAGGAATCGCTTCTTCGCCGTGGCTACTAGAGTTCCGCACTGGCTGCAGCAGATTTGGTACGTTGTTCGAGAATAGTGAGCTTCTAAATCGAGCCAATTTGCAGAACACCAGAACGCTTCCGTGGCAACGGCTGCCTGCCTTTTTCCCTCGTGGCTCTGGAGGAAAAGAGCCTTCTTCTGGACGTCTTCCTGCTTCATATCTGTGTCGATTTTCCACTCGAAACCTGCGCCATCTGCTGACGCTTTGTCGCCCTCCACTGCGTCCCCCGCGTTTGTGAAGAGCTCCGCAGCGATTTCATCGGGCGTCTTTTTCTTTAGCAAATCGTGATCGTCGCCAAATGTTGATTAGAGGTGGGTAGATGAAGCACCTCACTTTGCAGCGCAACAAACTCTATCTTCGAGCTAGTAACGTAAGGCCTGCACTGCCCTGTAGCTGTAGTTCGAAGTGAAATGCTTCATCCCTTAAGTTAAAGGCTGCGTTAGATCCGACCTCTTGCTGTTCATTCGGACATACTCCGCGCCCTCCTCTGAGTCTTTCTTGATGTACTTGTGCAATTTCTTCAGAGCCAAAATCTTCGCTTCAGTTCGCTGTTCACGCTCTTGCGTCTGCCGCTCCAACGCAATACGCCGAGCCACATGCCTTTCGTTACGGATCTGCTTCGCTGTTCGCATTTTCGAGCTGGCCGCCGCGACGAGCAAGGCCCTAAGTCTCGCATATGCTTGGCCAGCAAATAGCGGCAGATCATTAAGCGACTCGCCGGTTTCTTGGTTCTGTCTGAATATGAAGGAACAGCCAGCACTGTTGAGCAAGTTGTACGCCCCATCCACATCCAAGCTGTACGCCATCGCCAGAAGACGCACCAACTGGCGATAATTGAAAACCGACGCAGTCTGTCGCTGTAGAAGATCTACTAGTAGCTTGAACTGTGGCTCGCTAGAAGTGGCTTCATCCGGTTCTCCAGGCTGCACACTTTCAATCGGTTTGCGATCCTTATCGAGAGGCTGAGAACGTGACGCAAACATTGAAAACTTCGGCCTTGTTAGGAAAAGATCACTGCCGAGGAGAACCGTCGGAGGCAAAGCCCTGCCACTGTCGGCGCCAGCTACTCGCTGGCCCTTTTTTACCTGTAAAGAGATCTTCGGATGAAAGAGCATAAGCTTGCTAATATTTTCCCAAATATATTCTACTCTAAACAACAAAGCCCAAGGAAACGACGCCCACCTAACTTCAATGCCGGAAGCGCCAACACACGCCCCGCCCTGGGGCGCTTCCCATCGGTAACGTGTCCATGTGGCAAGACAACCAACTACAACAAACAAAGAAACCAACCCGAGAACCACAGCAAGGCACCCTCTGCCTGCTCTCACCACCAAAAGAGAGAGCATAACAAAGAAGAAAGAGAAAACACGCCCAAGCCCAGCTCTGTCAGCCACGGAGCGAGAAACCCGAACCACCACCCGGGGGGCTTGTCCTTTGGTGCCACCTATCCACGCGCGCTGTCTGGCTAAGTCAGTCCGAGCCATGCATCTCCACAAACAACGCGAGCACCGACGAAGGCAAAAGCGAAACTGCAAAGACATCACGACCACACACAGAAGAGAGCACCGCAACCGACCCGCAACACGTTCAACGGCTGACCCTGAGGCTTGGGCGTAGAAAAACAAGAACCGAACCCAACCCCACACACACACACGCCACAGAAAACGCCAGACGTGCCACAGAAAAAGCGAGCGCCTCAGGCGTCAGACTCTCCCAAGCTGCCGAAATGCTGTCAGCTAGCTCCTGCAGCTCCAGGGGCTTGCGTCCTTGTCACAAGGTCCGCCCTGGTTTTCAGTGAAATCCACCACCTTGCTCGCCCACGCGAATGCAATACCCCGGAGGCGCGATTTTCTGCGCGAGCGTGTCACTTGCAGAACGAGGCACGCAAGCGCTTCCACCGCGCCGACATTCCACGCCAAGCGCCACACCGCCGCGGCGAATTCTCTGCACGCGCTCGCCATCGTCTTCAACTGGTCCACACGCCCAGCCATCTCCTGCGCGCAGTCTCAGGCCACACGCTTAGCCGTCGCCCCAAACTGGTCCACGCGCCAGGCCATCCCCTGCGCGCAGTCTCCCGCCACACGCCCAGGGCGCAGCATGTGCGGCGGGGTCTATTCTCACAAGCATGGGCAGCGCGCGCACCCACGCGCACGCGAGACAGGTGAGGCAGCGCATGGGGCAGGGGATGGGCCTGGGCTTTGTCTCCCCCAGTCCAATCCAATGACCCACCAGCCCACCCTACTCGCTTTCTCTATAGAAACCACAAAGCAAAACGACTCGAAATTAATAACAAGCCAAAAAGTAAGAACTTAAATAAGCTACCAGCCCTCCTGGCGGAAGTAGCTGCTCGCCCTCCTGATTGTCCTTCGGTTTCGCTGTCTTTGCGTTCTTGTTCTTTGGCTTAGCCGCCATTTTCATCGCCTTCGACGCTTTCGCCAAAGTCGACGGGGTACTAAGATCCGACGAAGATTCTGGCGCTTGCCCGGCAGGCTCACTGCTGCGAAACGGATCACTGATCGCTTCGGGGTCATGATCGTGGGGCTTTTCGTCTTGCTTGTTGCGACTGGGTGCTGCACCGTGTGAGGCATGACCGTCTTCGCTTCCACTATCATACAAGTCTAAGAGCACTGCGTCGTAGTTGTCAACTTCAATGACGTCGCCCGGGAATCCTTGAGCGGCAAAACTATCCCCAGAAGTGTTGTTTTTGTCAGTGTCGCTTCTCTTCGTGGTGTTGTTTTCGGCATCGCTTCCAGACTCCTCGCCACCCTCCTCATCTGATGAACCTTCGCCCGCCAAGGCTCTCAGTTCTTGATCATTAGGGCCGTCAATGAGAGAGTGAGAGAGGTCCTCGAAGATTCGAAGAGGTGCAGGCGCTCCTCCTTCTGCTGGCTCTTTCTCGTCACCCGTCGTTCGCTCCTGATGTCGCTTTAGCCTCAGGCGCTCCTCCTCGAGACGCTGCTGGTGGAGCTGTTGCTGTTTTTTCGCGCTGTTCTTGCGGTGAGGCAGCGCCGGACCAACATGAAAGCCACGACCAGACCCCAACTCCGTCACTTTATTTGCGGAGTCCGCGCTCGCAATACGACCAGACGAAGAGGAAGAGGCCGTCGAAGAGTCTGCTTTTTTTACCACTGGCGTTTGCTTATTCTGACGGATAGAAGCTGCTTCAACTGCAGCCAACTGCGCCTGCGCTCGTTTTAAGGTGCTAGGGTTTCGAACGTCTACATCCTCTAGTATCTCCATTTCTGGAATTGTTGTCAGCTTGGCGCCGAGAGCTTTAGATGATTTCAAAACATGATCCAAACCACTAGACTCGCACGTTGTACTAGAAGACTTCAAGTTTTTCCATTTGTCGCCGAAGATGTTTGACGGTAGGACAACAGCGGCGGCAGGTACAGGACTCCTCTTTCGCCGTTTCACGCTCGAGCTCGCCTTCGATGATGATGATCCCTTTTGGTCCTCGTTGTCATCACTAGGACTACGAGTGTGCTGCTGCTCATTCTCAGAAGCTTCAGCACTCCTCGCAAGGGCACGCACGCCCTCATGATACCAATACTGGAAGAGACGCGGAAATTAGTGCTCAACAACATGCTTCTTTGTGTTCTGCGGAACATACTCATTCCCCAAAAAGAAAAAAGGGAGAAGCGAGTTTGTTCTAGCTTGGTTGAAGCGAATTGTTGATGGCGAGCCTTAAATTAATCCAGCGCCAGAATGCTGAGCGACTGTGTTAAAAACTGTATTAAGTACGCTGCGACTGGCTTCTGCTAAGAGATCACTATACTCAATCGCTGCGTATTCCGCCGCCAGCGGTTCACGAGTGTCCACACGAAGGTATGGAATCTGACCCGGCCCGTCACACTGAAGAGTAGCGACCGACATCCGCTGCCAAGGCACATACGCATTAGTGAGATGCAGTATGATGGCGTCCTTCTGTGGATCGAGGGCCCTGTATCCGCGGGCAGGACGGAGCCGAAGACCACACGTGCGCGACTCACGCACTAAGACAGGACGCTCCGCTGCTGTCGGTGGAACCTGATTGATTCGTAGACGCTTCTTTGTGACTGTGGCAGACGGAGGTAGAACAGGTCCAAAGACGCGTTGCTGGGAAGAAGAAGAAGTCGAGCTTGTTGAGCTGCTTCTGGTTGTAGAGGTAGACGCGCAACCGATCTCCTCTAGTGGGACTAGATGAAGAGTCAACGTCTCCGGTTCCCCAACGTCTACAAGCTTGAAAAAAGTGCCAGACTCTTCACATGGCTGCATCAACCAGAAGAAGTTCCTCTGCTGCGCGTTTTTGAACATGTACTGAAAGAGCTTCATCTTGGCATACAGCTGGCTGTACTCTTCATCCGCCACAAAAATTTGCTCGCCAATGCATGCACCACAGCGCTCCATGTATGCGCAGTCAGGTTGCGTATTCCAGTTGAATATGAACTTCGAAAAGCTTCGCATTTGCTGGACCGACAGACCATGGTCTTGCAGCTTCAACGTTAGGAAAGACTCGAGCGACTTCGCTTTGAAGAGATTGCGGATGCTGCAGCCGAACTCTTTGAGGAAGGAGTTCTCCAGCATTCTCACAGCCTCCTCCGTCTCCGGAACAGCGTCCACGATGGAATCACGCGGCAGGCTGTGGACTTTGTTCGAAAATGCCTGCGAGAGGCCACGACCGGAGCGGCCTTTGCGCGTCATCCTGCGCCCCTCACACTCCAAACGATACGTCGTCCAAATTGTAACGAGCAGCATCTCAGTCGCGTGCACTATGCTGGAAATTTCGTTAACGCCACAATTTGCAGCAGGAGGTGGATCAGTCTCATCACCAAACTGGACTAAGTCGCAGTCTTCTTTGCCATGTAGTGGCTCGAAGATGTCACCTGACGGCACATGCGCGGAATCCATAAGGCGATCGCCCCAGGTGAGGATGTCCGAATGTTTTTGAAGATCGGCGTCTACCTTCGACATGAATGTCACCGACCAGGTGGTTCTGTGATGCTTGCTACCATATTTCAACCACGCGTGACTCGCTTTGTGGAGCTTGGAAGAAGGGTCCAGCGTGTTTTTTCGTGCACACACGGTCAGATGATGCAAAAGCGACCATCGGTTGCGCTCGTCCCGCAATCGCACCAAGACACAATACGCCCGAGATTAGATCTCTAAGATTTGTCAAACTAATAAGTAACCTTCTATCCACAGGCACCACGCCACTGATCGCAGTGAGATGCCACAGGATCACTCATCAGAAAAAAATAGTATCAACTAGACTACCGCTAAGCTAAGCCTTAACTGAAGACTCGCTCTCGAGTTTCCGCTCCTTCGCTGGTTGCTGCCTCCGCCTTCAAAGCAGCCAAAACAGCTGCTCGCGCTCGCTCGGTGTGGCGCCAGTCTGCACACTGCTCCCCGTTGGCAACTCCTCCATATATTATATGGCTGTACTTCGAAAGATCCGCCTCGTCTTTTTCATTGAATGCCAAGAGTTCTAGTCCACAAGGTGGCAAGTTAGAAGACGACGGTGAAAACCGTGAAGCCGAGGACGAACTAGAGCTTGACGAGGAAGATGCCGCAGCACGTTTGGCTGTGGTGATCGGGCGAGATTTGGCTTTGGATGATTTCGCCAAAACACTTCCGCCAAGACCTTCTGGAGCCGTGTTGTAGTGTCGAGGCCTCATCGTGCTAGCAAGCAGTCGTGGAATCATCCGTTTTCCAAATTCGTTTAACAGCCAGGCGTGACGTTTGGCCGAAGCAGTTTCTGGATTGTGCGCCGCCACAATCGCCGTAATCATGGATTCTTGGAGAGCCTCCTCCTCGTAGTCATTGTAAGCACCCAGCAACAACGCCGAGTTCGCATGTTGCGTAACTCGCTCGGTGGACAACATTTGTAGTGCGCCTCGTCTCAGGTGAGCCTGAAGAAACGGGATCAATTTATTCGCAATCATCGCCATCTGAGGTTTACCCGAGTCCTCGTCGGCGGGGCCAGCAAACTCCATGCGGCTCAGCGCAGCATTAGTACCATCATGAAAGGCGAACATCGTGTCCTGAGGAATAATCGCGTGATAGTAGAGCCTCGGAAGAGGCTCCTCAAAAACTACATCCAGCGACTGCCTGGTAGTACAAGCTGACGTCCTCGTGTTCAATCTGTTCAGAATGAAGATCTGCGCCGCGCGTCGCTCGGTTTCACCAGTGTCACGGCACAAGAACCCGTCAGAATCTAGATTCCCTCTAACCTGAAGGTTAGCCGAATGAAAATACTGCCCGCATTTTTTAGAAGAGTCAAAGGTGCAACACGTTGGGACCCAGCTAGGAGTCTGCTTCTATTTTCTTTTTTAGAAAACAGGAACAAGGACGCACTTCAATCTGATTCGACTTCGATGTCAACTATACTTTTCCCCATAATGTTGACAACCAGGTGAAAACTGAATGTGTGTCCTCGGTTACGCCATGATCTTCCAAAAGATTCACCTCGACAGAGGCGATTCCATGTTGTCTCGTCCAAATCCAAAACGAAATTGGTGTCCAATTCTCCGTCTCCCTTCAGCTTTGTGTTGCCCTTGGTCGTGCGCTGGCGTTCTTCCTCCGCGTCATCATGTTGTTGCTCTGGTTCCTTGTCGCGCGTCTTTTTGCCACTAATAGCCGTCTTCGTGGTCTTAGTTGCCATCTTCATCGCCCTGTTCAGTTTTCCTTTTCCGGTTCCGTCGTTTGCACCTGGGTTTTTAGGAGTGTAGATTTTACCAGCAAGAACAAGAGCAACAAGATACTCAAGAAGAACAAGGAGACCACAGGGAAAAGTAAAAACGAAGTGTATAATCATTACTGTTGTACCATACTGCTATCATATGTAATACACCGTCCCGACTCCTGGAAGTGACGTAGAAGTCCATCAAAGCACAGCTTTTCTCTATTATTACAACAAGTGCAACAGCGTTAGTTAGTACCTTTATCAGCCAAAAAATTCTCGCCATCGATGTCCATGGGATCATCGATATCCATGGCATCATCGACATCGACGTCCATGTCGTTCTTGCTCTCATCTTCGTTAGCAGCATGGACGCTCGGCATCGGCACTGCGTCAGCAGTCAAACGAGCAGCAACTCCCTGGCGACTTGCTGGTTCCAAATGCCCGACGCACTCTCCCAACCACGAGCGAAGCGCGGGACGAGCGTCGCTCTCAGTTCCATCGTCACAACCAGCCTGAGCTCTCAGCTTGTCGTCGAGGGCACTAGATTGAAGCTGTTTTTTATCAGCCTCCAGCTCGTCCTCGCTGCTGAAGTCACAATCTTCATCACTCCAATCTATATCGAGGCCCATATGGCGTCGCTTCGATTGCTGAGGCGCGCAAGCAGCACGCGACGAAGGCCACGTAGGACGAAAGAGAAGCTTTCCATTAACTACTTGCGCATCGTCGGGATGGAACGCGTCTAGCGTTTTCGGCTTCTTTTGAGTTTTCTCCCTCTCAAACAAGACCACGCACGACACAATGATTTGATTCGCAGTCCAGAGCTTCGTTCCTCGTCCTGCCTTGTAAGAAGACAGCAGGAACCTGGCTCCTGCACAACGATAATACCCTACCAATGCCATGGAAACCATCCAGCAAACGAAGCCGTCGCGGGTCAAACCAGAAGAGGCGTAGTCCCCCTCTAACTCGAGCCAAGGCCAATACGGGGTGACCACCTGCATAATGAGGTCCCAAGAGATATTAGAGACTTCTAGGCAAGTAAGTTTTTAATACTCGTTCACTCATCTCAGATGCAACAACATAGTTACTGGAAGCTTCTTCTACCGCTTCGACTTGGCGACTCCTAGCACAGACATCGCCATCGTTATCGTCTCAAAATGAACTAGGCCATAATCTGAGCATCTTCATCCGATAAGCGGCGGACGAGCCCTTCCTCCGGATAGATTCCACTTCGCCTGGCAATCCCCAGAATGGTGCTTTTCATGCTAAGCAACTTCGCCATTGTACGCCCTCCGCACGATCGATACATTTCCATGATCACTGGACATTAGAGCGGAAAACCTGAGCAAAAAGCTCGCTCGAAAGTACGCCTAGCTACAGGTAAACTATACAAGCAAGCTCCAAGACTACAGCTATGGTTATTTTTGATGTTGCCGACAATGCGTAAGCATGAGATCACCAGGACTAATACTGAAGTAAAGGCAACAGCTGAGAGCACGCTGGGCAAGCAGTCGTCTCTCGTGATTAGAGAAGACTCAGCCTCGTGGCCGTTTGACTAGTATCCTACTTCCTGGCGACTGCCCTACGGCTCCACGGAGTCAAGTCATTAGTCAGAGACGAAAGACTTCGTATGACTAGCATGTAGGTCGAGGATTATACTACAACTACTGCACTTTATCGCTCTTATTTCAGCAAGAGAACAACGACTACCATTAAAGAATCCAGACACTAATGCAGACCGAAGCCAAACTCAAACGACCCTCCGCACGATGACATAACTATAAGGAAATAGATAAAAAAGGCCCAGCCGCTGACACAATAGGATGAGAAAGTGGGCGCTCTGAACGAGGTTCAATAATTGTTAGACGTAGAGCATCAACACTAGAGCAGCTGCCTGGACCAGGAGGGAGTAAGTACATCAATCACTTCTATGTCTATATCTAGGCTATGGAGCACATTTCGCTTTTCCAGCATCCAAAGTTCTGCACTCGAACGGCAGCACGCGACTCGTGGCAAGGTGTTAGAGATGACTAAAGAAGCAGGAGGCTCCACTACTTCGCCAAGCCTGAAGTGGCTCCGGGCTATCTTAATTCTGAGCGACGACAACAAACCTCCCGAAGTGGTCGCTCGATTTCACAGTGGTGCTGCTTGAAGTTAATTGATGAAGCCGAGGCCGAGGCCGAGGGGCCGAACGATGCCAAAAAAAGTGCATCACTACGACTACGAGCAAAAAAGCTAAGGAAATGACTATGACATAACTTTATCATGATGCGCGCGTCGCCGTGTGCCCAATCAAACACGTTACGGACATGAGGAAGATACTTGTCTTTTCTCTGCTCGATGTAAGCGCTGCCAGTTTTCGTCGATTCCTGCTTGCGATATTTTCGAGATGCATGACGAGCAGCAAACCGCGACTCGCTCTGCTGGGCCTGGGTCATTAATCCAGGAACTTGCCTCTTAGCAACCTTGCCTCGCGTGCCGCCAGAACCTGCCGGCTTCCCGTCAAGCCCTCCGCCTTGAGTTCCGACCTCATAATGTGCTTCGTCATCATCGAACAGGCCTCCACCTCCTCCATCAGCAACCAAGAACGAGCATGAAAGAAAGGCGTCGAGGAGATAATGGCGAATAGAAGAAAGAGTAAAGGGGAACCGTCTAGGAGGGTGCTTCCATGTTGAAAGCTCCAGTAAGTAGTGTCTAATTGTTCAAAGAAGAATAAGGAGTACATGCTCAACGTTATTTAAGTAGAAGGCTGAGACTACTAGGGCCCGGGGCCGGAGGTGCTTACGGTGCTACAAAAAACTCACCACGGCTATAGAGTGCGTAGTATGTAATGGACACCAGTACGCCAGAGCGACAGGCACACTCTGCAACAAGCTGCGACAGGTGAACCGCAAAAACAGCCACACCTTGCCAAACAAGAACAGAGCGCCACGGCCTAGTATTCTGAGTGCAATTAGTTGTAGTATGCGGATGGCTAAAAACTATCAAAATCATGATCAGGCTAAAGCTAATTTTTAGACATAGGCAGAAGATCAGACAAGCCGCGCCTTGAAACTCATTTAGTGCGCGCCTCTGAAAGACTGACCCGCATGCTGCGCGTCTTCTCATCTTCAGCGTTGCTGTAGCTTACACTTAGACCCACGCATAAATTTTGCCCGCTTACACCTGGAGCCGGTGGCGGTTGATCCAGGAAAGGACCAAAGTCATCCCCATCAATCGGCAGTAAGGCATGGTCTCCAAATTCCAACCAGCATGGAAATTTCCGCGACCCTTAGAAGATTGCCATTACTACTACTACTACGGAGGAGCGATATACTAACAAACGTAATCTCCTATAAGCTTGCGCAACTTAGATAGTGTAGCCAAAAATCTTACTCCGCTAGAGATGAAAAAGTAAAAAGGTCCCCATCACAAGACAGGTCTTTATATGAGTAAAACTCAAACACGGAAGGAGCGACCTAGAAAATATTAGACACCACTGCCAGGCCTATCACCTCCACAACTTAACGCCAGCTCTAGCAACTCTAATACTTACAGGCGGCAAAACAAAATAAACCCTACCAGGAGCAGGCATCCTCTACCCGTAGACAACAAACGCAGCGGCTTGCGTCTAGCTGAGAAAACGAAGCGTCTAGGCCTAGCTGAGAAAACGAAAGGAAGCTACGGCCAGCAAGTGCAAGCGTCGAAAAAAAACTTCTCTGAGTTAGTAGCTTAAGTAGTTCCATGATGTATACTCTTTGCCTTTCCTTAATGTTCTGCGCAAGCGTCTTGGGTGAGTATCAGGCTGCGAATCGGGCCGAAACAGAAGTC